ATATAGATGAAACAAACTGATGCGTTCGGTTCTTTATCTGGAAAATCATCGATGATGCTCCTTTGACGATGAACACAAATCGCCCCATACAGTCCGATGACCTGGTTTGTAAAACACGACCTTAGGTTATCAGTAATAAATACTCCAATAAACCACAATATGAGTTACTGATATTTACCAAAATTATCTCCAAGATATTTGCGAAAGCAATAAGGAAATTCCACGAAACGTCACCGAAACTTGTACCCACGCTGGGAAGGTACACAAAGATATCAGCACGCTTGATAACTCCGGAGAATTCTCCGCGATCAAACACGCCAGACTCAGCAAGATGAGCGAGAATTGCCCAAACCAGCAAGATGAATCCAAACAGAATACAGACAAATAGGTTGAACACATACCAGAAGAAAGAAATCTGCGATAAAAAACACATGTAATTTATGAATTCCAACTTGGGTTCTTCTTCATTTTATCAGGTATAAACTAACCTTCTCTGATCTTGTTCTCGTTATTACAAAACGTCTAGAAGGCATATTGATCAAATGATCCATATCATAACCGATGATCTAGGAAGATTCCGGTCAAATAATGGTTTATTTTCATTTTCACTCTTTTTTATGAAACAGTCAATATTGTGACGTCACAAAACACTTATGTTTTTATTTGCAACGCCAACTTGAAACAAAAAATATCAGCCTACCAGAACACTATGATTTTGAAGTTCAAATAAATATGTTGAACATTCTTCGTACAGAGTATGGTATTTCGCCGGAGTATGAGAAGTGCGAGGAGGCTCTGATATTGGTAATAATTAAGATGCACCCGATGAACTTATTAGACTCGACCATACTAACATATATACGCAAGGCGCTTAGAAAATCGGAAATATGAACAAAACTGTGACACATCCAACAATCACCATTTAAATGAAATTCTTCGTGAGGGGGAAACGGATTGGCACGTGGACAGCCAGTTTTTATCTTTAGGACAACGCTCTCACGTAGATTCGTTCTGAATAAGATACTAACATACAAACTCAATAATAGTTAATAAACATGTACGGGCAGTGTGTTCCGTTAGCTCGAGACTAGTTGAGATAGGCTTCAAATAGTTGGACATTAGCAGCCATTTTTCAGATTGTTTTATGTTATGGCACACCAAAAAGGTCCAAGTTTAGTTAACAACCACCGGTAACTTATCAGGGGAAGCCGACTGGCGAGTCGCAGGTTAATATACTAGAATCATCTTGACATCTATGGGAACGGATTTTCATATTATTTATCTCAAAGGAATGACAAGATGGCGAACTATAGTCTCTTGCCAGTCCGTGCCATTCATCTCAGATGCATGGACTTGATAGTTGAGGCAGCCTACACCTACGAGCGACTATGTGAACCTCCTACCATGGCGATAACTCTGATATTCACTCGCGCATAATTAACAAGCACTTGGCAGCCATGCTTCAAAACTATTCTTATCGATAGTGCGCCTGAATACCTGCATGTATTAATTGAAGAATCATTGACTAGAAAAAAAAAACGAAAATTAACAAAAATAGAGATTACTCTGTTATAAGTGCTTCAATTTAACAATATTTAACAGTGTTTTTTGAGGTAAAATTAACTCAAACATAAAAACGGATGGATTAATAAAACTGTTCATGGGAGTTCATATGGAGCTAACTCTCTGGTCATCTTCCCTCGCAGTTTCTCTTTTCTTTTCTCAGCAACCTCTTGCATGTGTATTTCCTCTTCTTTTTGTTTAACTTTGATTTCTCTCATTCTCACTTTTTCGTCTTCCTTATGTTCTTTTATGAGTTGTTTTCTCCATTGATCTTCTATCACTCGCTGAAGATTGAGGGCATTTCTTTTATGAAATTCAGTTGATATTTTATCTGTATTATTAGGTATTTCAAGATGATCTTTCAAAGTTGTCCGGTTTGGTGGAGGCTTTTGTCTTGGCGATGTGACAGAATGCTTTGCCTGTTTACCTGGTGATGTTTCTTTCGTTCTTGGACTGATTCGAGTGCTTTGGCGAGTATCGCTATGAAAAGCTTGGGAAGAAGGGTTAGCCAGTGAAGATGGGCTTCTTGGAATAGGAAGAGTTGGTAACAGGAAATGATCTGTAAGTGAATGCGATATACGAGACCATATATTTAATGATGTGCTGCTTCTTATGGTTTTGGTAAAATCAGGATATTCAACTTGTCCTACACGTAAGGCTTCCAGAACACAATCTTCAGTCGCTGCAGAATCTTGTAAAGATACGATTAAGGACCAAGCAGCAGAGCGCATTCCTTCTTTTAGTTTATCTTCTCGAAGTGCATGTGTCAAATGCAGCAAACCAGAAAGTGCCCCGTAACGTACTTTCCAACTCCAGTCTGCCGGATTGGAGCCAGCACCCCTAGATGAAGTTTTGTCATAAGGATCGATGCGAGGATTACGATATTCAAGTAGATCAACTAGTCCGCAACTTTCAATACAAAAATTAGGAACGCCAGCTCGAAAAGTAGTTACATCAGCATCCAGCCATTTACCGAGCATGGCTAATTTCTGTATTGGAGCTGTTGCCCCATGAAGACAAATATCTGTCAAAATTTGAGAATACTGATAGGCGATTTCCCATCTCCAAGCGGATATTCCAGTTACTATTGACTCGCTCATTTCACTCCTGGGAGTGTTAGGATTTGAAATACCTGACCCTCGGGTGGGAGTCAATCGCGATGTTCCTGGCAAGTTAGAACTTTGATTATAAGAATTAGTTTTCGAGCGATTCATTTCAGATTGAAAATTACTTTCGGCAGTTGTGTTTCTTTTTGTGCTACGTCCACGAGGTGTTTTGCCAAGAGATGAATCAAAATCAGCCATCATTCCCTGCATAATATTTTGAAAAGAGTCTGATTGAACATCTCGTGCTGATTCCTCTAAATTATCTGTTGCATTGCCAGCTGTATATTTTTTTGGAGAAGCAGTTGACATCATGAATTCTGTTGTTCTCGGTGTTGCTATTTGGCTTATAGGAACAGCGACTCCTCTTGCCAGATCTTGAAAACTCCTGCAAACAAATGAATTGGCTTTTGCAGAATCCCCTAATATTGACAAAGCAAACAGTGAGTCTACCCAATCTTCTTGACAAAAATCTTTCGCACAAATTAGAACATCAAGAATAGCTCTTTTTAAACCAATTTCTTTATCTTTGCATCGCCATACATGAAGCGCTTGATACACAATTGGTCTTATCAGAATCGTAGGCATCTCATTAGGGTCGTCTTCATTTTGTTCCGTTTGAGATTCCGTTGTATGTGGGGCAGTAATAATACCTCCAACTCGAGATATGAATCGGATTGCGAGCCAAACTCCAGGGTAAGATTTATACAGCATTTCATGGTCTTGTATTCCTTCTAAATAGGTTGATAAACGAGATTTAAATTCATCTAATTGGATGAGATTATTAACCAAGTGATGATAATATAATCTGACAAAAACTAAAAATCCCATTTTTAAAAGTCTGATTTCAGCTGTTCTTAGTTGAGTGCTGTTAATGGTATCAGTACGTAACCAGTATAAAGTACTTTCAGCAAGAAAAAACAAAGTTGGTATATTTTCTTCATGGACAGGTGCATGATTCAGTGACTGACACAATATTTCAAAACAGTCTTCTTGCAATTTTCCTTTACATTGTGCTAGAATTGCAAGTTCAGACCAAGCCATTGGTAAGTCAACATGATCTCCTTCTCCTTGAGTTAGAATTCCTGCTCTTCTCTTACTGTGAATGAGAATCCTTTCAGCTTCTGCTCTCAGTGGTTCTTGGCCCTCAAAAGTCGATGCATTATATCGCTGGACAAACTTTTCACAAACCTCTAAAGGGTTTGCACGAATGTGAGCTCCGGCAGCAGCTGCTGCTGCATTTTCTCTCGCATAGTTTTGTCGTAATAATCGTTCCTGCAAAGCCAATCGTTGGCTGTGTGATATGATGCCAAATTTATGGACAATTGGAATTTTCAAGACTGGCATTATTGGTTGATTTGGGTTAGTATGGAAGACTTAAGGATACTTCACATTGTTATGACTATATTCAAATGGTAAAAATAAATTTCTAATTGATTAAAATTATCTGTTTTTAAAGTAAAAATTTAAAATGAATTTTTCCATTCACATGGATATTTGATAAATTATTTCTGGCCTATGTCAAACCATATCCTATGTTCGAGAACCACTGTCTGGTTCTAGTGTGTTATATTTTACCTCAATATTCAAGTATCAAATGTTAGAATGACTGATAACTATCAATTAACGACGCCATGGAAAGTTATAATGAAATGTAGGTTTATTAATATAGCTATTTAGCTAAACAAAAACGCCTACATATCCAAGATGCAACAAAACCACATACTTTAAAATATTAATGTGAAAAGATTACCTAAATGAATAAACAGTGCGAATAGAAAATTTTCACTTCCGATTCCACTATCTTATCATAAAGTAATATCAACCTATTCAGATGATGTATATCCTGAACAAGTATTGGCGACTATGCCACTGTTTGCCGGTATCTGACTATATAAACTAATTGAAAAAACAACTTATACTAAATCAGAATTGGACTTTTTCAACGAAACGCTATGGAGGCGGAAAGTATGTAAACAGACACCATGGCCACGGAAGAGACGCTTGAATGCATTTTAGCTCTTTGGTGACAGCATGTGTGTCATTACAACTCGGCAACCTTCCCGCTAGTTGTCGCTCAAATGCTTTGCGCCACAGTGATGTGGATTGGGCACGTGCGAGTATTGTGCAAAGACCGGTTGGTGCTTGTTTTTTCATCGTTTTTCGGGAAGGTATTTCACGAAATAGTGACTGGTTTGCGCCGCATATGACTATTTTTTCTTGGTAGTGATATGAATGAACTGGATAGGACGTTTTGCTAAATACTTTAGTTGACTTTACATAGAATTGAAAGTACCATACATCAGAGTATCATAGCTAAAATTTAGCTGTAACAGTACGCTTCTTGGATGACAGTTTGCTTAGTTCTGTCGCTTGGAGGGCCTTATTACATCACTGCGACGTCATAGTGACGTAATTTTTAAACGAAGTAGTTGGGTGGGTGTTGGGTTTGACATATGCAAAAATTGTCATGCCACGACCACGACCAGACTACTGCACTAGAAGTACTTTCAGACTTTAGGTACGAAACTACACTAGATCTAAAAAGTTTATCATAATTTCGAACCCTAACCCTAACGTTTATGACTCAGTCGCAAATTTTGGTTTTTATTTGAAATTTGTAAGAATAATCGTCTGGGATTTGGGCTATTTTTGTATTTTAATTCGAAATATTTTTGCATCAAAATATAGATGTTACTGATAGATTGGTGTCTCACTGTGATGAGCTAAACTTCTAGCAAAAGCACAATAATTATATTCTGAAATTATCTTTTTTTCTTAATATTGAGAAGTTATTGCAGTTTTGAGACAAATTTATTTTGTCTCTCTTCAACTCTTAGTAACTACAGAATTAGGTCTTCCCATTTTGCACTTCAAAATTTTAATGCATATGCTATATATATATTTCTAAAAAGAATAATATAATATTCTGTATAATCAGTAGTAATATTTGCAAAGAAATAATTTACAATCGTAGTAAAGTACGGGACTGATTTGGTGATCAGCGGTGATTTTCTGATTCAAACATTAAACTATCTTTAAAAACTAGTTGTTTTGAGATATATTTTGAAAAATGACACATCAGACAAACTGCACAGCTTTTCAAAATGAAAATAATTTGGCAGTTTGCTCACTCAACGGTGTATTGCATATTTGGGATGTCGAAACAGGAACAAAAAAGGTTGAATACACTCCTGCGAGTCACTTGACGTCAACTTTTACTTGCCTGTCATGGAAAATTCAGCAGAGAATTGAAAAGAGAAAGGTAAAGATTTCTTGTTGGATTTTTATCTGTTTTTCACCAATGTTGAATAATTAGGAGATTTAAAATTATTGATATGATGATAAAATAACAATTACATTTTTTAATAATTTTTAGCAAAATGAAGCTTCTGGGAAGAAAAGAAAATCTAAAGCGTTTGAGGTTGATAAGACCGAAGATATAATTGCCCTTGGAACGGCAACTGGAGATATTTTACTCTATCGATACTTAACAGGAGAACTTGCTGGGAAATTAGTAAGTTATAACTATGTGTGGCCGGAATTACGAGCGCTGGGCTTAACTATGTTTCCAACACAGTTTAAGATCTCAGTTTCAGACCCCATACTCATCACTTAATTAACCAATCATGTAATAAACTGAGTAGACACTGCTATACTGAAAAGATTCGGGTGCTTTTAAAATTTTGTAGTGACTGCTTAAATGCTTTGTTTGGAGTAATATTCAAAAATTTAGCTTATCAATTTTTTTCTATTTTTGAATTATTGAATATGTTTGCTTTCTGCAATACATGTCCCTCATTATCCTTTGCATAACTAAAGAAAAATTAAGTTTACTAGAAGATAATCAAACTCCTGTGTTTCTGATTCTGTTTTCGAATTTAAAAATATTTTTCGTACATACTTTAAACAGTGATATTGGCGTTCAGTGATATTGTTCAGTCTTGCGTTTAGTCAAACTTGGCTATTCTAAATGAATCTTTTCATTTTAATGTTTTTTTTGTACAATACTACCAACTTACATTTCAGGACGGAGAACATACAGGCAAAATCACTTGTATATGCTGGGATCCATATGAGTTTCGATTACTCTCAAGTTCAGAAGATCAACACATAGTACATTGGGATCTGAAATCTTATAAATCCATCTGGTATGATTAGACATCTGATTTTTCACTAGTAGTCTGCTTACTCATATTTGAAAAAAACGCAAAAAAATAGTTGAGCAAACTGTTGCACGGAACAAAAATATAATTCAAAATTTTCAAAACTTCAAAACTCCTCATATTTTATAATTTATAGATTAATGAACTGGCATAAAACAAAATTAAATGAACTTTATTTCACTATTAAGTATTTTTATTCATGGATCCCTCTATTCTTGTTATTCGTCACTATCAAGTATCAATCCGACAGGGAACTGAAGGGTTATTTAGTTAGTCCCAGAACTAGGGGTGTTGGTGTCTAGTACAGTGTTTCTCAAACTTTCTTATTTCGCGGAACACTTCTGTTCTCTGAGCTTATTCGGAGTGTTCTGCGAACCAGGGATCCAAATCGTGACTAAATTACTGGCCATGGCGTTCTCGGCGACCATACTTTGGCACCTTTGGGTCATGAAGGAGAGAGGCCTTGCTATCTAAACAGGCGGACAGGCTGTGTCAGTCTGTAAGGCATGGCGTTTTTGTTAACTATAGGCCTACTAGTTTACAGCAAACTTTTTGATTTTACCATGAAGGCTAATTTTTTGGGAGCCACTCATCTGTTTTTCCTTTTTATTTCCTGGTGTTCCGCGAGGCAAGATAAAAAGCGTGTTTCGGGGCAAAAAAGTTTGAGGAACGCGGGTCTAGCGCATTGTTGGCCACTATAAATGCCATGATAAATTCCACCTACCTCACAACTTTGCCTCAAACATGAAATGGTAATCGGCGATGCGACTTCGAGCATTCTTTGAGAATTAGACATGCATAATATAATGTTAGTTATACTTGTTTCTGGTCACAATAAACTGATTTTTTTAATATTATTTATTATTGAATTTTAGTAAATGGCAAGCAGATAAGAGAGGTGTCAACAGTATGTGCGTATGTCCCAACTCAACATTACTTTCAGCTGGAAAAACAATCAAATTATGGGATTTGGAAACAAAACAATTATTGAGGGTAAGAAATATGGTACTCCCGTAGTGTTGTACCAGGTTAGGGTTAGGACATAATTTTATTCCTATTTTCCTTATTTTAGTTCTATTACGAGTTTTGGGATTGTCTGTGTTTGCCTAGTGAATAATATACCCCTGTCCATAGGTTTCAGTCCCTTTACACAACGTGATGTAAAGTAGACAAACACATTAGTTACCTCCATATTGGAACACGCTTCTGGAGCGCCAGATATACTACTATGCAGAAACTGCTTTCTTTGCAACACTCAAGAAAAGTAGTAAAAAACGACCAATCAGTTTTTTTTTGCAATATATAATTCAATCCGTGAATATCTATCTATACTTTAGGGGAAATTCAGGCGAAATATATCTAGTTATAAATAAAGATGGATGAAGTCGAATAGTTTACCATTTGGAATACATAAAACTCTGAATGAATTATTTCGATGAATTATTTCGAAGTATTTCAATTTTTCAGAGTTTCGTAGGTCATGCGAGTCCAGTTCTTGATTTAATGTATGTTAACATACCGGCAATATCACAAAGACAAGATGCAACTCCTCTAGAAATGGTCGAAGGTTTATATTTTTTATCATCTGCAATTGAAGATAGAGTTGTGAATATTTGGTGAGTTGTTATTGAGTTGGAGCTTTGAAATACTTTTATCAAAATACTGGTGTTATTATATTTTTTTGATTTTATCAGTGTCATTTAAAAAAAAACAGTAAAATTATTGAATAAACTCGGTTACAACTGAGAGCATGTATATTATTCGAAAACGAAAACATATTTTCTAATCTCCTGTGACAATATTTGGAAACTCTCACTATTGTAGTTTAATTATTTAAGCCAGATTTGGCAACGAAATTTCAGAAGTCATGATTTTACAAGGTAACAAACTTCTAAATTGTTCAAATTTGATAAAAAAATTCTTTAAATATCTAACGTTTCAATAGGCACATTAAAAAGTTGTATTCTTCTTCTCTAGATGTAGATGAAATTGTTCTATTTTTCATTCTAACCTTATATTTTCAGGCAAATTCAAAGAAAACACAGAAAAATTGCTGTTGCGACATTTTCGTTAAATTCCGAACCGATATCTATGGCTTTGAAATCACCAACGAGCAAAGATAATCCGATCACTTTACTTGTTTTAACAAATGAAGGAGAATTAAATATATTTTCGCACACATTAAATGGGTGAGATTTTTTAAAATAAAATTTTCATTCTCAAAATTCCCTTATTTTGGAGTTTTGCTGCAGATTGAGTTTCATAACTTCTTTGACTTATAATTATGGAGGATTGGAATTACTTGACTTGTTTGTAATTGTTGATCATTTTTCTTTGATGGGCATTTAGCAGACACTTTGACAATCTGCGCCAATCACATTGATTAACCCTTTTTTTGGCAAATTTTTGTGGTTGAAGAGTGTAGACACCCATCTGCAAATTTTGCACAATAATTTTTATGAAATGATAGCTGCACAGTCGCTCTTACATCGGGAATTCCCCAGATTCTAATAATTAAACCTTACCAACAGAAGGCTGACCTCGAGTAACATGAGGTAACTTAGCAACTATGAATGTCGCCTATACCGCCGATATCTATTCACTTGGACATACAGATTTAATGGAGTTAAATGTATCGAAACATTTTTTCCATTTGCACAATTAATCTATCACACATAAGCTGTAATGCCTACTAGACTCGATTTGTTTATTTGTTTATATAAGCTGACCCCCTGAAACGATTTATAAAAATTCTTATATAAGCCGACCCTACATATCGTACGCTCTTATCGTCAGAACTTGGCATGGTTTGAGTTGTAGCTGTTGGAATTAAGTAAAGCATAATGTCATTTTGTCTGAGTGAGATACTTGTTGTGCGCGTATAACCCGATCCTTTAGTGCGATTAAAGTTATGTGCGTATAAGCTGACCCCTCAGTTTGGGGACTTTTTTTGAGTTTTATATACGGTAAATATCAAAATGTTATGTTCTGGTTTGTGAACATTGAATTTAATTTCAGGCAAATCAAGAAACCACTTAATGTGCAAATGACTGTCAAGTTGGTTGATCCTTCAGCAAAACAAATCAAAATATTATCAGCCACATTTTGTGATGAAAAAGACAGCGAGACTGCTACAATTTTGATTGCCTATGGAACGACATTAAAAGTTATTTTCGAAAAATTGGTTAGTTATTTGTTTCCTGTTTTTTATGAATTGCAATTAAGTGGTGAAATAAGAAAATGGAAATATACTGGAAATTAAATGTGTTAAAATAGCATTTATTTAGCATTGATAATCGAATGTAATACAAGTCCTCAAGTAGTTTTGAGCATTGTGGTTTAGGTATCTCACACACGCTTCTACCACATTATCAGACGAGGTATTGTCATGAATTTAATTTTTCACAATTGTAAAATAATTGAAATGTTTTGTTCCTGAATTTGAAAACTTTGCTTGCATATTTCGTCACTGTTATTTACGGCCAAATTTGATCTTTGTAAAAAATTCAATTATAAAATGAATTATGATTTGTGATAATGAATTCATCTTATTCACAATTGCAGAATCTTGACAACTACACAACAAAGGATGTTTGTATAATAAGAGAAGATCCAATGAAAGTTAAAATCTCACAACCTGAAAATGCTTTAACCGTAAGAATTTGATTCTTTAATTGCTCACGGTTAGAATTTGATGGGTTTTCTTGGAAATACCATATATTCTCATTCCCAAACATGAATCTCTTTGTTGAAATGTTGATAAAATTGAATTTTTTTTAGGAATACCATACCCAGGGTGTAATAATTTTGGTAATTCCATTCCTTGCAGAAATAGACTCCTCCTTAAACATAGTTAAATGTCAGTGGCTGTCTGTACCAGGCATGGTCGTAGCGAAACACGTGAATGAGTGAGTGTTCTATAAAATAATGAAACTGCATATTCATGGAGCATTTTATTTGTCCCTTTCTTCGTTGAATATTACTTGAATAAGGATCAATGATCTTTTGACCATGATGGTTCGCAATTGCTGGAAGAGATTGTAGAACAAAATCTTGGTAATTTAAAAATAGCCGCGTTGTTGCGTATAGTCTCAATCAGGGGCGGACACTTTCCATAATTTTGGGGGGGCGAACTTGGATCGCCTACCGAAAAACACCGCGCCGTGTATCGTCACGTAACAATAACCTGTCGGTGTCATTCTCTAAGTATTAGCATGTCATTTTGCTACTTATATTTTGATTACCTAGGCTGCTTTGCTCGGACACAGAACTTGCGCGTCACTGAACCAATTTCTTGTATTCCGCGAGAATTAGCCCACGGCTCTTGCTAACAAACAGAAAATAACAAATTTGAGGTCGGAACTTCCCATTGCCGTCTGCAACAAGCACCGCGATTACGCGCTTGTTAAAAGAGCCGCCTATTCAAGCGTATAATGATTTTTTCTATCGATCCATGACAGCCACGAGATTCTAAAATGTCCTTATAAATTGATTTAATTGTGTGCAGCGTAACTCGCGGTTGCGACTTCTTACGTCAAAATAAAAATATTACTAAACTAAAGTACCACGGCGATATGTGGAAATAAAAATATGAGATAAGCTGTCTGATGTATTTAATTTTAATACGAATTTTTGCAATCTTCCGAACTCGTTATCGCCGTTACAAAAATCTCGATATCTGATATAAAATCCTATATAGTACAATTTTAATTCATACAATGAAAATAATTATAAAGTATACTAGTAAATCAAAAATACAAATTCACCGCCTCGAAATCCACGCGGAACAGTCGCCGCAATTACGCCACATGTTAAAAGAGCCGACTTTATCAACGAAAAATGATTTTTCACTTGTGCAAAGTAATCAATCAAAGACCGATACGGGCATATTCAAAATGTCTTGATTTATTAATTTAATTGTCTTCAATTTAAACTGCGGTTGAGTCGACAAAACAAGAGCCACTCTAAAACACGACGGCAAACCGCGGACATAAAAATGTGTGGTAAACTGCCCGTTTATATATTGTTTTGATCCGTATTTTTGCTATTTTGCGAATTCGATAAATTTGAGATGTACTTGTCACACTGGCTCCGCTCAATCGCAATGTTGTCACTCCGATTATTTTTAAAGATAAAACCTTTCGAAAAATTCATAAATTCTCTGTCAATTCTCACGTAGTAAAAGTTATTTCGGTACAATAAAAATACATAAATAAATACAAAAAGTGATCGAATATACTTTAATTATCTTATATATCATCACAAACCGGGGAAAAGTCGCGTTGTCAGATTTGTTTAATGTTAAAACAAAAATTTTCGACGTCAATTCAAAAGTAATGGATAAAAAGGCAAATCCCGCTCACAATTGACCGTGTTTCGATTTTAGTGACGAAATGTTTTTAAAGGTCAAGCAAACACAAATTTGTGAAATTTCGCGATTTTCGATGCCTAGAAAAGCGTTTTTAGACAGTCGCGGGCCTCAACAAAACCTATATTGTTTACAGTTTTAATTTTAGTATTTTATATTGCCGCTTTTCAACTTTTCGTCATAGTAAATGCTTTGATCTTTGCCCGCAAATTATGCTGGGCCTTGCACGAAATCCATAACGTGAAAAGATACGTCCAGCGGTGAAAATTGTTTATAACAACTTTAGATCCAGTTAATTTTTTAGCGATAATAATTAATTGTTGTAATGAAACACAGTTTGCCTCTTTCACTTCTCTCGCAAGTGCCAACAATAACACTATTGAAAGATTTTGACAATGAGAAAATATATTAAATTGTACAAAAATGAATTAGTTGTGCAAAACCGTGGCGCGTGATCAGCGGTGCGTTTGAAGACGGAGTATTACCCGTGCGGGCGCGCATGTTTCACGAAAATGTGAGGTGCTCCGAAGGCGCTCTGGTCCACATTATTGTAAGAAAACAGTTATAATATCGGTGACTATTAACCGTTTAATTGCGCTGGACTATCGCACTTTTCGGAAATGATAATTTTGTAAGTCGGGAACAACATGTATTAAAATTTTTTTTGCAAAGTTATTGGGGGGCCACCGCCCCCCCTCGCCCCCCCGGGTGTCCGCCCCTGGTCTCAATCAATATTTTGCGTTCTATTCCAGACGAGAGAACCGATTCGAAATAAAAATGAAGTTGTGACGTTAGCACCAGGAATACCAGGTCACGCTCAAGATATATCTGCAATGTCTGAACAAACAACAACGATCAAACATAAACGAAGGAAGAATACCGTTTCTACCAGTGAATCAGAGGTTTGTATGTATTTTTGAAGCATCTACAATCAAGATACTGCAAGGATACTTTGCTTTTGTAACACTGTCGATATTGTTCAAAAAGTGTAACGTTTCACGGCGCAATTACATGGCCCGCAAGTCTGAGTGGGCAGATTTTTTGTTCCCTGTCTGAAAACTGTGCCCAGCCCCGATCTATAAAATACTGCAAGGATACTTTTTACATATGAGGCTTTTTTCTAGTATTAATGTCCAGAGTTTTTTTTTAATTTAAAAAATCTAAATAAATACTGAGTACTTGGGAGTGAGTATCCTGCATTTTTGCACGTTAGAATTTAGATAGGAGTACAAATTTATATGTATAAATTTTGTTATCCTGAAACAAGTAGTTAATATTAGTGTCTTTGAAGAACCATGTGTAATTTGAAATTTGAGTGAAGTTTTGCCCTCTCTTCTCTCTCTCTTCTTGGCCGAAATTTGAATCCACAGTGCTTCCAAGTTTTCAAATTCGAATTCTTCTGTTTTAATTCCAATTCATCTCCAGTTAAGTTTGTTTAAACAAATTGGAGTTTTATAATAAATATGATCTGGTGACATTTCCTGCTTATATTTAGTTATTATTATTAAATTTTATTCAATGTTCACTTGTAAAGACGTTTGTTTTTTGCAGATGACACTTGAGGATAGATTGAATGCGATTGGTTTAAAGAAGGAAGATGAAGGACAACAACAACAACCTCCTCGTGCAGATTCACTGTCTGTTTTATTGGCTCAAGGTCTTCATAGTAATGATAAAGAAATATTAAATGTAAGGTGCCTGTTTGGAATTAATGATTTTGGTATAGAATGCTAGTTTCATGTAAAAATTGTAAAAACTTTGCTCTCACTCATGGGTGGGCAAGGTTTTCGGACGAGGGGCCAAAAATTTTGCCCACCAAGACTGGCGGGCCATGTAAGTGTGATGTAAAAAGTTACACATAACCGAGACAAAAGAAAGTGGTGTGAAAAGCGCGCTGTCTAGTTGAGGGAGCAAGAAAAGTTTTGTTAACGTCCCTTAATACAACTACTCATGTCCCTAAATTACAACCTACACAGACTACGATCATAATCTAACGAGCCTATTATAGGGCCAGATTGTATCACCCAGTGGACCGCATTCGGCCTCTGGCCGTAGTTTCCCCATGTCAGCTATATATACAAATAAGGAAGGATCTTTATGGCACAGCAAAGCTTACCTGATCTGGTGTCTGTGCATGGTGACGTGTATGAAGCTGAAATCGGGTCTTGGATCTTATGATCTAACTATATTGCTATTGTGAATCTCAACATTTATGTTTACTTAATAACTTATGAATATGAAAGACTCGAGTGACCACAGGAAAAACAAATTACATAGAAAATGCTTGCTTTCAAGTTGAACTCAATTTAAAAATATTTTTCTTTACAGAGAGTTCTGCAAAAAACTAATGAAGATCTGATCTACAACACAGTAGCTAGACTTCCTCTCTCTCTCATTGTTTCACTGATACAAGATCTCACTACGAGGATGAAAACTTCTCCTGCTGCGTAAGTTCACTTTTTCATCTATTGTTAAACGCCAAAATCTGGCAACTGACTCTTTGGTGGTTCGCTCATCAGGCTAAAAGTTGTCAATCGCTGCGAGTGCTGGAATCTCAATCTCTATTCCCTACTCTCTTAGGGCCATTCACTTACTCGCTGTTCGGTTACAGCTGCCTCTTTCATCGACAAATAATTGGTTAACCATTCACATTTTAACATGGACTAGTTACTGGGCGAGTTCATTAATCCGTCTTGTCAGCTTTCATTTACCCTATAATATAAACGAACATGGCTCAGTATTATAAATTATATTTTCCATTTTTCCAGAGCATTTAAATTTGTGAAATGGATGAGAATAACATTAAAAGTTCATTCTTCGTATCTTATGACGGTAAGATTTATTTTTTTGTTGCATTCAGTTTTTCAAACATTTCAAAGGTTAGATTGAGAATGACTTGAATTGAGAATGAAAAAATATTTAGATGGAATGATCAATCTGACCATTGGTGAATTCTTTTAATTCAGGGCAGTTATGAGTGACTATTGGGATCAGTAAAATTACTAAAATATTGAACGAAATTAAAGCTGAATTTTTCTATTTGTTTTAGTGGAGGCAGGTACTATGAATTCTTGGAATATCTTTGCAGTTTTGCCTGAAATAATTGTTGTGCACAAAAGACTATTAAAACTACCTTACAGCTGGAGCTATGGAGTATGAGAGTCGGGGATAATTCACGGGCAACTCCAGTAACTTTAATAAACCTTGCATCCCGGCTCCCCATACCAACTCTGAGAAAATTAATTTTTGACACTTAATTGTCTGTAGAGAATGCTTAGTCAACCTGATGTCTTTTTAGTTTTGGTTTAAAATGTTGAAATCGGAATATCACTATTGAAAATTTGTAATTCTGACTCTCTCCAACAGAAAATTTATGCTTTGACTTCGTGCGACCACAGTCAAACATTTGCTATGACTATCTTCGGTATTCCTGTTTTCTGTTTAGGTTGATCAAATATTTACTTGCTGTCAAAGTGTCAACCCACACTTTCTTTTCCATGTTTTGGTTCCCATAGGATCAGTTCATGTACGATTTTATTCTTGTTTTTTTAGCCCTTGGTCTTTCGAATTTTTGGGATACACATAAACTAACTTAAAAACAAAAATCTATTTTATAGTTGCCGGATCTTGTTCCGTTACTAAGTCAGTTGTATCAATTGATGGATGCAAGAACAGAAACTCACAGCAGATTTGTTAAATTAGAAGGAAAACTAGAACTTCTCACAACTCAAATCAAATCGAAGAAATCAGCAGAAAATAAAACAATTGACACAACACCAATGTTTGTTTATGAAGATGGTAAGATATTTTCTCAATGAGATTGTGGTCATATTATCATTGTCTTAGTCGAGCGTTTCTCAACTGCGTTCCACCGAACGCTGCTGTTTCGTGAGCTTCTTCGGTTTTCGTCAGCAGTTCAATATTGTTAACCTCCGGGCTCCTGCCTAATTTCTAATCATGAAGTTCATCAATTGATCATCAATCAACACTTTTTAATTTTATCTTAAGCTAAATTTTTTGGAAACCACCTTTCCCTTTTCAATGGAAGAGTTTTGAACATGACAAAGTAAAGGTAAATTTGGAGGGCCCATAGTTTGAATACGATTAAACTGAGTACCATCTGCTTGGTATAATATCTGAGGGTTCAGTATTTGGAAACTGTTTTCATTCAGCAATGTAAAAACTACCCGAAGTACCCTGATTTCTATTCTCCATTTCGGAAGCTGCTTAGCTTTTTATACTAGCGTGTAATTAACTAGCGTATATCACCTCATGTATATTTATTATGACAGAATCTTCAGATGAGCAAGAAGATATATTAATGGATGATTTGCCCGTTGATCCATCTGATTCCTCCGATGTAAGTATTTTATGATTGAAATATGATTTATTTAGTTCTATATCTAATTCACATGATAGCTGTTTGGGTGAAAATTTCTGTGAGGTTATATTGTTGAAATTGATATGGAATGTATTCGTATAAGTTGGTTTCACAAATTTCATTATCTCCTATTTTTCTGATTTTTATTTGCTTTTTTGTTAAATTTCAAAAAATAGTCATCGCTCCTAAACTTCAATTTACTTGGTCCACGTCAGAACAGCGCAAGTTAATTTTAAATTGCTATGGATTTAGTTATTTTGATCTTCATGGCGATAATTTTAAAATTGGCATACCTTACTCCTTGAAAAGCGGAAAGTGAAATTAATGTTTTTCTTTGTCTATAGCAATTTCTTTATTTGAAAAATGCAAACGAAGTCAGTTTTTACTTTAAACTCAAATTTTCAACATTGTCTATTCATGAAACTTGACTTTTTGTATTCTTTATACTTCCTTGATCTATTTTTGCTTTGAATTGCCAGTTTTCATTGAATCTTGCTTGTTTTGCCATAGAATGACTGGGAAGAGATGTCAGAAAGAGATGAGAAAGGAGAAATGGTCATTGATGAAGATGAAACTGACAGCGGAGTTGTTAATGGAATGTTGGATGAAGACTAAATTCGCTAATATATTTCCTCATTTCATGTGGCACAAACTTGAGATAGATTGTTTGACCATATTCTACTAATCCCAATTTATGTGCTTGGCTGTAAAAACATTTTTTTTGACTATAGAATTTCTGTAATATTAGTCACTGATCTATTTGTAATTGATAAAATATGACAATTACAATAAACAAACTACGTTGCCAAAATAGTAGCTTATATGTCCCTATCTTCTACAAACAATTTCTAGTCAAGTCATAGTTTGAACGTCAAATCTCTACTTTTTACATTTAATTGTATTTTCAGGCGCTCCCAGAAGTATGTGTACCAATATGGAGGTAACTAATTTTGTTTGCATACTTTATATCAAGTTGTATAATGGCACTGAAGCCATGGCCAGGTGGTATATTCACTTGGCTAACACGGACAGTCTCCGAACTCGTAATAGAGCTAAAATAAGGAAAATCGGAATAAAATTATGGCCTAACCTCAAACTGGTATACATACTACGGGAGTACCTATTCTCAGAATATTTTTCATATTCCTTAGTTTCAGCTGTGGGTGATTTTGACTGAACATTTTGTTGTGCAGAACTCATTATAATGTTCAAACTTACTCCCATGTATATTGTCCAATGAATTAGTCTGTTTCATTCCGACGCTCAATCTAGACTGGTAGAGTGGTAGCCACACCAGGGACCTCGGTTCACACTATTGGGGTGTCTTTCTTTTCTATACTGCTCAAAAACCCTTGACTTTATGTTTTAATGTGACTTGCAACTGGATACGACAATATTTGATAATGTTGCAACTTGCAACTCAAAATATCTTGGTTTACAATTTTTTCCACAAGTTTAGCTTGTCATCATACTATGTTCCAGTTACCTTTATAATGCTACACTGAATCTCCTTATTTTTTCTAATGCCTATTTTTTGACTTGAAATTTTCCTGCCAATAATTTCTCTGTGCTTTAAATGAATATGACAGAATCGTGTCATGTGTTTCATAAGCGCCAACAGGTTGACTCCGATTTCATGGACTAAATATTTGTTTGATAATTGGCATGCTGTCGATTATGTTTGTTGAATTTGCTTAGCCTTTTTGAACATTTTTGTACATCAGATTTTGGAAACAAAATATTTCAACAAATCGGATCAATCGCTTTTGCATTTATACCTATTTTCAGATTTATTGTTCAGTTTTGCCTTTATTTGAAAATTGCTCTTCTAAACAGTGGTTTCATACTCATTTTAGTTGCATGTATTTAGTAGTTGATATTTTTTTTTGGTAGCATTCAAAATATAGCTAGCTGGGATTTTATTCAAATAGAACAATGCTATTCAATGAAACTTTCTATATTAAAAAACATTCAACTGACTCGTTTTGAACAAAACTGGCTTTGAACAAAATTTTCCCCAGATTCATATAGAATTTTGAACTTGATTTTCATTCTTTTTGCAATGGAATATTTATTATTCTCAAGCCCCTGCTACTTGAATAAGCTACTTCGAACATGAACCAAAATGACTCGCAAGTAATACTAATTCATGCATACTGTCCTCTTTTGAAAAAATCGGAACAGTTCCTTATATTGTCCACATAATAACAACCTATTATTCTCTTATTTCATCTGTGTGCTACATACAGGCCTCTTGTTACTTTTTATTTCATACGTCCTAACGTTGGTGCTTTAAATCTTGACATATAACTGCCTTGTTTGCGGTGACTATTTTGTCAGAATTGTGACATTGATAGAATATGTAATCTATCCTAATGCTTAATTTTTGCAATTTATATAACTGCCTCTTTTCTTATGATTGTCACAGTCATTTCCTGAGACTTTATAGTGGATACAACCAAGTCTGTTTTCAATTTCAGAACTGTTGCAAGTATGTATACTCTTGAGCGCCCAACTAATCTCAATCTTTGTTTTGATGAGTCTTATATTATTTGCCAAAATGAATAATGTTATCAAAGCTTATCTTTTTTGTTTTCTTTTCCAGTAAATTATAGCAATGCTTTCGAGTCAAGATTTTTGCCATCTTACTCGTAGTATTTTTAAAATCCGACTTAATCAATATAATATTTTGCCTCAGACTTAAATGATTACTTAAAAACATTGGCAAGATTGATTCTTTTTTTTGGAAATTCTGACAATGACTTTGGGATATTTGAGATTCCTTTCTTTCAAGTCAAATATAATATCATTGAAAACATATCACTAATCACTTTTCAGCATGTCTGTTAGAATAGTGTAAAATTTTTTCATTCAAATTGATTAGAATTCTATATTTAACTGCCAGTCTAAGTTACTTTTGGAAGACATTCATTGAAAGGCTGTCATATGTTCTTGATCAGCATTTACATATTTTATAGGTAGTTGAATGCATAATAAATCTTGATGCTTTTATTATTTGCCTACTATTGTTTTTCATTATAATTTTAAGCATCTTAGTGCTGTTCTGCACCTCAACGTGCTCAGTCCATTTCGTGCTGCTATTCTTAAGTTGTGCCAATTTAAATTGTATATAATTAATTATTATGAACTTCGACCTGAAACAACTTTTCCAAAATACTTATTGAATTATGTATCAGGTGATGTTTCCTTCTGATCATTTTACTGAACAACATGTTTTTTGTTCATTCATTTGGTGGATTATTTTTTGCGAGACAATAAATTGGGTCTACAAGTGCCATCAGAGTGTGTCAAAAAGTTGGTTGAATAAAAGTTGCTGGTTTAGTCTGCCATATAGATGTCTATAGACAGAGGTTGACACCAGAATTTAAAGCAATTATTGTCGATTTAACATAGCAATGCTGCGGAAATGGCTCGGTGGGAGTAAATTCTTGTTGTTCCTAATGAAGTGTTGTTGTGTTATCTATGAATAACACTCTTTATTTGATATTGTTCCACACCCAGATATTTGAAGTCGAACATATTAACTTATAATCAGGAATGTTTTGTCCAAGCAAAGCTCCAGTTTCATAAGAATTTCCTGTCCGCACCAATGACTCTCAACTCGATTTGCCATGAAATGTAGAATTTTTTTGATTTTCCGAAACTATACCATTGAACATGCCATGTGCCAATGCCTTCAAACTAGCCCAGTTGGAGGAAATTCAGATATGCAGACAGTTCGTTGCATATATCATTACACCTCATACTGACAAATCATTCAGATTTGCACAGAGGAAATATGTAAACGGGTAATATTATAAATGAAAACAAGTTTGTTTTTCTAGATTTAGCAAAACTATGTTGCTTATTCGACCAAGGCATGAATACAGTTCTATCATCTTGACTAAATCACAAATGAGGTTATTCAAAATTTCGTTAGTATATGTCAAGAACATTGTAGGTCCACAAACGCAACCCTGAATGATTCCATATTTGACATTGAAATAAGATAATTGCATTTTTAAGAAGAAGGGTAACAATTTGGTAGCTGAATCAGTTTAAACCGTTATATCAGTGCTATAGAATGAATTTGAATTGTGGGAAGACAATCTGATTCGATCAGATCGTTTGAGTTGTGATTGAAAAAAATCTCTACTTGCACATAGGTTTCAAACAAATTTTTCCTCTACCTTATGATTCTTGTATTGAAAAATACCATATACAAGAAGAAAATTTGTTTTCCGCATATTGTTTCAATTGAAAATTTTGACTCTGAATTCAACAAGTTCTGTGATATCGCATTTGAAAACGAGAGCTTTAAAAAGTCGAAAAAATATAATACAAACAAAAATGTCTACTCTGATCTACAACACTTGTGATAAGCAGTGGGATGGACAAATTTCGCTTCATATTTAGCTAGTGTACACAAACAACAAACGATTAGCCAAACGCACTCATTGACGTAAGCAAAACTGCAACACACCATGCTGGAAGTGTGTATTCAGTTGTTGAACGCCTGAATGATATATGCTCATATGCGCCTTTAAATACAGTGGTATATGCTGCTATACCAGCTTTCTATCCCATCCAGTGAATGAACACACAAAAATTGCTAAAAACTTAAACTTATAATATCAATCTTACAAAAATATATATTTTTATTTAACGAAATACTAATTCGATTAAAGGTAACGACTAAGTGCACAGTAACTGCACTTCTCGGTCATGTGGCAGAAAGAGGAACTTGAATCACAGTTTAAAAAAATGAAAGTTATGTATAATAATCAAACTGTTCCTTTTCATCTTCAGCAATTACGCTGAGTGCTTTTGATATTGTGTTTCGAACCACAATGGCTGCATGAATATCCATTGCAAGTTCGAATTTGTCCTGATTCTCACATTCTTTTGCAATAGCTTTCCATCGTCTTTTAACAAGGTCGTTGTTATCATAGGCATCTTGACCATCCTCATAAATCACTTTTGATAAATCAGAAGCAGTGAGAGGGCTGTCATCAGAATCACCAACTTTTTCTACTTTTTGACCGTTGTAGATTTTATCAAGAAGTTGAACCTTATTATAAAATAAAGAGTAAACAAACAACTCTTTGAAAATACATCATGAATCTAATTGGTAGAATCTTTTCTTAGTAGTGATATTAACTGATTAATTCATTTGTAAAACCATAACACTATATTGTAATTAAAACTACTATTATGATTGAAAAGCTGTTTTTTTTTATACAATTTTGCAATTTCTCTCTGAACAAGGCTCTATGTAAGCAACCACTGATACACAAAAAGCTACTATTTTTAAAAGAATTGTAAGATTTCCAGTTTGGCCTCGGCTACCCAATTTATTGCCTCTTGGGTGAGGTGATTAGCATGGGGGGTTTAATCACAGATGTTCAGTATGTGATGTTAACATAATTAGATGAAATGTTCTAACCACTTAGTTTGGTATAGCAATAGATGAAGCTTATTTAGATAGCAAGGCCCGTCAGCCTGTTTGTCGCCAGTTGGGAGACAAATTTACGATCCAGAGGCACTGAAGTATGGCAGAGGTCACTATGGCGACCAATTCAGTCCCTCCCAAGTTTGATTCCTGTCCCGCAGAACACTCCAAAGAAGCTTGTGGAACAGGAGTGTTCCAGGGAACACAGTTTGAGGAACGCTGGTCTACTGCATATAAACCTACACTAAATTACAAGTCGCCTTATTTCAAACAATCATAACACAGAAAGCATTAAAATCGCTTACCGACAATATCTTTCCATTATCTCCCACTTGAATCAAATGTATTAAGGAATGACTGAGTGGTATAGGTAGTGGAGATTGATAACTGATGTAACGTTCACTTTCACCACTGGCAGAATCATCACTCGCACTATATTCATCTGGAGTTGTGCGACTCAGAATCCAAACAAGATTTTCATCCATGCATTGTTTTATTAATTCAAAATATGTCTCTGTACAAGAACAAAAAAAAGGCAACGATCAGCGCATTGTGTTAAACATTAAGAACATGCTTGTCAGTCACTTTTCCTTTTAATACTGGCTGGTAACCTTATTACAAACAGTCTAATGCCTTGATTATTTAAGCCATCAGATATGAGTGACAAATAATGGTTGGAAAAAAGGTATCTTATCCTCATCACAATGAATTCATTAATGGCTCGACAGTTGCCACATTATGCTCACTGTTTAAAATATGCTCACCATCACACTGTGGTTCTCATCATGTAGCTGCAAGTCAGTTCACATAGTGGCCAGTCCGACACGGCACCACCCAAGCCAATGCATCCGAAACAATAAACTGGTGAATGAACTATCCCCATATCCAACCTGGACTGGCAAGCAGGCGAGAGCTGTAGTCCGCCATATAATTAAGCCAATTTACTGGTTTTTCTAATTTTCGGGATATATATGAAAGTCCTATCAAATCCTTATCATATTAGTAACCAAGATGGTATTTAATTAGAAAGAATCAAAAAGGCAGTACAGACTAAATGTCAAAAGTTCTATGTAATGAGTCTTAACCTCTTGTAAACTTCTCAACATGGGTATAGTCCAACATTCCAGCAACTTGTCCAATCTTGTACAACAAAGACGCAGCCAATATTTTGCATCCAGATGTTTCAGAATACATTTTCTGCGCTGCAGCTAAACAACTATCTTTATTTTGCGTACAAGATTCTGCATATTCACACAGTCTGTCAGCAACTGCTTTACATGATTTAATACATCCTTGTGTTACCCAGTGTAATACCATATCTGGTCGATTTTCATTCAGTGCACAACTGTAAAAATCGAGATAAATTTTTAAAGATGATCATGGACTAAAAATACTTAGACGCAATTGAAAAATACCATTAAATGATGATGGTTCAATAACAGAAATAATTAGTCAGTTCAATGTTCCAGTTGGTTAAAATCGTTTGCAGTAAAAGCCACACTGATCAATTCTAGAAACTACCCTGTCTGGTAATTTATTGCCTAGTTTGGTATATTCAACTAGACTGTTTACTGGCAACAGTAATTTATTTGTTGAGTGATACTTGGCTCTGTTTTATCTGAGTCATGTTTTGTTGGTGCTTTATCATTTCATTGTGTACTGCTTTAAGGTGCTGCTAACGTTTAAGGTAAATAAACCCTAGTATTTGTGGATGGATTTGTTTGTAAAGTAATAAACTAAACTTAGATTACCACACCCTGCAGTTTGCAGTTTGCAATTGCAGTTTGTTGCATATAATCATTTACGAAAAACTTGAATCAGCTCATTGCTCAATTGAGTGAGAAGACAAGAATCTTTTACATGGTAAACATGGAAAACCACAGTAAGTTCAGCTTTCCATGAGCGTTTACTTGTTACATTTTTGTTCTTCTACATTTACTCCAAATTCAACCTATCATCTAATTCAGAAGATAAGCATTTATCAAAACTTACGGTAATTATTTTTTTGTCAATTTGACACCATTGAAAATTTTTGACATATTATATTTTTGATCTAAGTACTAACGAATACTTGACATAAAATACAAACTCACTTGACACATTCATATGACATTTCTTCATCAGCAAAATGATTATGGGCAGAAGATGAATACATGAATGCTTCCGCGAACATGAACAATGGAGTTGGAGTTCCAACATAATTGATACTGACTTCTTTGAATCTGAAACAAATAGGCAGTATTTTTCAAAAGTACAAAATATTCAAAACTATTAGTTTATTTCTAAATGTTTAGTCAGTCAATTAAATAAATTATCGAAAGTGAGTTTGTTTAAAACCACAAGCGAAATTTTCAGCATTTCCCACCGTACTGGAAATATGTCCAGTACATAAAGAATATAATATTAAAATCAAAAATGGTATTCCAGGGTATAGGAATTGATAAATAATACAATAACAAAAAAATTAAAAAAAATGCCTCCATTCGTGTAACCAGAGTGTAAGGTATCAATGATACTTTAGGAAAATCTAATGGTGCTTGTTTTAATCAAATTAACCTCAAAAATGTTCCCATAGCTCGAAGAACTCCTCTTGGACTGATCGCTGCGTGGGTTGCAGCATTTGCATATTCACCATCGTAGAACAATTCATTAAATTTCTCAATATATTCAAGAATCATTTCAGCTTCTTTTTCTCTCGACGGATCATCGTCTTCAAATCCAGCCTATTTGAATGAAAGATGAATTTAAAAATGTATCATAGAATGAAATGTACTAAGATTGAATTGATATGATAAAGCGATTGAAGAATGTCTTGAAGATATTGTTCTGTGACTCATTATTTGGCACAATAGCATATGTTTAACACTGATTACTCTTTGTGGATTGAAGTTCCAATTTCTGCATTTCATACTGAGTATCCAGATGAAAGCCAGTGGTTACTAAATGACTGAGCCATCTCATTAACTTTCCTCTCCTGCAGTATGGATACGGAAAACATTATATCACAACATTATATCACAATAAAAACAACTCCTACATCTTCACACAATGTTAATGGGCATTTTTGTAGGGAAATGGACGAAACCTCTTGAGGGCTTCAAAGTTACTGGTATGTGGAAACTGCTTAGCTATTCCATCTGATAACAATATGATTTCGGAGTTTTTTCAAGTCATTGATCGATTTTTGTATCACATATGGTGATATCCTAATTCTGGATAGTTTCGCAATAGCTTCTAACATTTAAGTGGTTGCTTGAATATCTTTAAGGTAGTTTCTAAACACTTCTGGGTGAGTGCATGCAGTCTTGTATGAATTAAATTGATTACATTCCTATAAAAATAAACTACCGGTAATGCATTGTTTTTAATGTACAGCATCAACAAGAGCTGAGTGTTAAATCAGGATCGGACTGTAGGTAGAAAATTAGAAATACACACTGCCGTGCTCAGTACTGCAAACTGTCAGTACATTCTCTATCCAAGAAAGCATACCACTTGTGAAAACAAAAAATACTTAGAATTACATGAGGACTATCTATCAGTAAAGAAGATTCTCTCTTCATCGAATAATTTGTCACTTTCTTCAGAATGTAATCTGAAAGACCTTGAGATAGAAATAAGATGACAATTTAAAAAAAAAAATTTCACACCTTAAATCCAAAGGATTTACTTAGGTTGAATATATCACCATCATTGATATAATTAAGAAGTACCATAAAAGAATTGACTAATTGCAAAAAGTTCAAAAATAAACAACTTTATAATATACTGGTACTTCAATATGAATATGAACACCAAGAATTAAACTTCATTAATTTATTCAAACTTCCTGGGAAAATTTAAACATCCTTGCGCGATGCGCCACATCGGCGAGCCTTTCTCTTTTGTTTAGTCATAATCTGAGTCTGGTATAACTCACTTCCACCTTTTCGGTGAAGGGCAAGTTCCTTATATTCACGGGCAGCTTCATTAGCCATTTTCAAAAGTTTATGACGCTTTTTCAATTTCGCGCAATCTATAGCAAGTTGTTCTTTTTCTTTCATTTTCTCTTTAAATTCTTGTAACATTTCATCCCTTTTCTCTTTAGGAACGTACAATGTTTTCTTTTGTTTCCTGAGTTCTTCAATAACAGAATCTAAATTCTCAACTGCCGACTTCAAAGTTTTTTCATTTGTCCAGTCAATAACTGGTAATCCTGAAACAAAAAATTATAGTTTTTCCTGATTTGACCAATACAAATTGTACAAAATAATATAGATGTAGAAGATTATACAGGAAAAACTCAAGTTTGAGATTTAGAGATAATATTGTGGCCAACAAGTGGTCGAATATAAAGACAACTTTATAATTCAGATATCATTTATTATTACATATTAAAAATCAGAATAAAAGTTTAATAGAGAAATCTACACATTTTTGTATAAAACTTCAAATTAATACCAGGAATCGGTCGCTTCTCGAATTTTTCAGTTTTCGTTGTCATGGCAACTGAGTCTTCAACATTAACATTGTCCACATCATCAGTGCTACTGTTATCCTCCTCACCAATTTTTAACAACTCATTGAGAGTATTTTCAAGTCTCTGGTTATCCGAGTTTAAGATAGAAAGCCTGAAATAGGGAAATATGATTTTTATGAATTACCGTACTTTTCTGTCATATTTCAACATTTCCAGTGTTATGTCATATTCAAATAAAATTGCCATTCTAGAATCCTTTCTACAATTTAGGAAAATCTAAAAAAAAAACATAATACATATTGAATGCACTTCAAAAATGTTATCACAAAACATGATATCATTGCGTAATTAAAATAGAATTTCAGACACCGCCTAAAGTGAATTTTCGAAACATCCCTATTATGAATATTGGCCCTCTGCTAATGGTGCTCGACTGCAGTCGATGTACATTCTCTATAAAAGAGAAGAACATTGCAAGGATAGATTAATCCTAACATTTTTATAGAGTGTTTTGCACATTTGTTTATAAAGTCTCTAGACAAGCAGCAGTTTATACATAGAGCGATAAAGTTTTTCAGTAAAGAATTTCTTACTCAACTCAAACCATATAGTGGGCGTGTGGTAATGATATATAAAATATGAATATCTAAAACTAATACAGTCCTACTAAAAATTATTTCATTCATGATAAACCCAAAATCTCTTTGCTAAGTGGAATGTTAGGTCATCAAAGGTATTTGTTTGGGGTTATGTCCATTTTGTATTTATGATAGGATCAAGTAAAATATGTGAGATTGAAGGCTTTGGCTTTGTCCAATTTTGTCTTTTTTTTATTCAAACAAATATAGATCATTAATATATATCAAAACAAACAAGAGATATTTGCCTACTATATAAAACAATATCTTCTTGAAATTGAAAATAGCAAAGATTTGAAATGAGTAATAAAAATCCTAAAATTGTGAAGGTTTCTATGGCACGAATATAAAACATTTAATCGAGACATATGACAGAAATTTGGTATTGAACAACATATAAGCTTATTCATATTAAAAACGGATTGACTTTTGATTCCTTCCTTGGCCATATAGTTTTTGGACCCATATGTTGTCATCATACTTGATGGCTGCTTTTCTGGACCATTATCTATGATAAATTTTCAAACACATTAAAATTAATTATTCAGAAGCTAATTTATCTTCAAAACATTTTAACTACAACACCTGTTTTCCAGTTCTTTTTGTCGTCTTTGATAACCGTTAACAGTTGTAGGAAGACTGGACAAAGTTTTTATTTTGACTTGTAGAAACTTTGCTTCACGTTGACCTGTTTTCAATGCGGCAATGCAGTCTTCATATTCTCGTTTAATGTCTGATAATATATCCTTATATACTGTCACTTTGCTAATCAACTTGCTGAATGCTGTGCTGTAAAGCCATTTTCACATATTAGGTTCTTATAAAAAGCCAAATTGCTAGATTGGTAAAATATGTCCTATGTCAATTCAAAATGTGTCATATGAAATATGTCAATTCAAAATATACAGACTGCAGATTGACAAAAGTTTTGATTCAACTTCCGAGTGAGGGAAATATGGCCTTCTACTCTCGTTCCTAATTTAGAGAAAACCAAATTTTGTTCAAAAAAATTCTGGTATGCAAGCCTTCCTCAATTGTCTGTTGAGAATGCTCAATCAACTTGATGCATTTTCAGTTTTTGTTGGAAATTCCTAAGGTAATAATCACAATTTCCAGTCAGAAATTACATCTCTCTATTAAAAATAAAATATCTGAATCTGAATTTCCAAAAAATTTGAAATTCTTACTCCAAACACATGGAAGACTCTGGGTCGAATATGAATAGAAACATGTCAAAATCATACTTCACAGCATGAATATAAACCATTGTTTGAAATATTTTCTTTAATATTCAATCCAGTTGCCAGGCAATAAAAATCTTAAATTGAAATCTTGGAAAATGGAAAAAATTGGATCATATATGCATATCGAATACAATTGATATATATTCTGTTTTTTTTTTTGTAAAAATAAGATCATAGTATTGTCTTTGGCCAAAAATGCAATACATAAACCCAATCAATTCCTAATCTATAAGTAAAATATCTTCAATTAAACAGATCTAGTGGATGATCCAAAAAAATATCTTAATCATTTTGTATGAAAATGAAGAAAATTTACTTTACACTTGAACTTCTGTTTGTGCATGATTGTAACCAAAAGTTTCAGTAATCTTTGCATAAAAGTTATACTCTCTATAGAATATTTTGCAATTGACCTGGGTTCTGTTTCATTAGGATCACCCTGTATTAGTAAACTTATCATCTTACCTGTATATCCAATATCTACGATCATCTGGTCCTGGAGTTGTACACCCAACTTTTTGTAACTCAGTTTTAATGTAATTTTGAACTTCTTTCAATGCTATCTTGTCTCTTTCGCACACTATTGGTGGCAGTGGTGGCTTATTTCCATGCAAACTTCGATCAGTGTATAGCAATCTTTCCCCAGCATCCATGCTTTATTAAACTAGAATATACTAAATGCAAAATGTTCAAAAAACTATTGGTACCATACTTGGATAATAATTCAATCTCATTGTTGGCTCGAATATAAGTCCTACATTATCATGCAAAGATTTAATTCACAATGAAATCAGCATTCTGCTATCTAAAACATTTAGCCAAATGGGACAAAATATCATGGCATTTTTTTGAGTGTGAATCTCCTTGTAACTAAGGTAAATACCACAGTAGATGAAAGAAGTAAAAATAGGTATCAGTATCCCACTAAAGTTGTCTGTCTAAAAAGAACAGATATGAAGAGGCAGTGTTGTTTTGTTGTCAAAGTAGAGAACATCCTTATTCTATTCGTATGTTGTCACAATACTCACAAAATGTTAGCATTTATTAGGCAAAATGTTAAATAAAAGTAAACATGTTAATCAAAATGACACCAATTTTAAACTCGAGATTCTTAAACATGTACTGGTAATAGTACCAGAAAATGTATTGTCTTAATAAAAACCAACACCATACTAAAAGTACACAAAAAGCGCAGTGGTGAAATTCCCAAGTTTTGTCAAAGCAAGGGAATTAGTAATCAAGTAGGGAGAAGTAAAAGCTGAAAAAAACGACTAAAACATAAAAGAATTGAACAATCAATTTATCATTGCCAATGCAAAATAAGCATTGAAATGATGCACATCATTAAGAAATTCAGCAATGTAATGTGCGGAAGTGAGACAACAGTTCATATCTGCAATGATCATTGTGCTTCTCTGAACGCTCGTGATCGTCCTTCATTCTTGTAGTACCAATACTCGACACTTTTAGTTTGCAAATCCACTACTGGTTCTCCAGAATCAGCAGATAACGTCTCAAATACAATAACAGTAATTGGTTCTTGATCTGCCATTTGCACACATGCTTCACCAAAGGATGGCAAATTTATTATGCAATCTAAATTATTTGTGATCCGCATGGTGGCACATTCGAGCGAGCTTTTTTGGTATTGCGTAGTACGACAATGAGTCATATTATATAATATGCTATTTTTATTAAGGTTCACTGAATTCTATCTTCTCTCTGAAACTATCTTCGAAGGTTATATGAATAACCGGAAAAATATATCGACAATCTTGATCCGATCGAACTTTACCAAACTTACCACTTAGGAAGCAATTAGTTATCAGTCTGCACTATTCCAATATCAAGTGCCAATTCAACACTCAAATATCTTAGCCGATCAAATTTCGCATAAATAATGCTCTCTTACAAAATTATACAGAAGGTATTGAATACATTTATTGTGTCAATATTTTTATCCAGTTTAGTCAGATGTACACAGATTTTCATTAGGTGTCAGGGGGTTATTTTAGTTTCATTTAGCTTGATCTTCATTTTTGATAATACTTGGTGGTTAAGTTGATGTGAAATATTTCAAGTATTACATTATCCGCTATTCTAAATGAATATTCGATTTGAATTTCTTGGATTTGTCAGTAGTTGCATGTGATCCTTCTAAAAATTTGTTAAATAATTTTCACTGCCGGAGTGCCCACAGCTTTGTCTTAAGTAAATTAAGGCGTGTATGTGACTTTGTCTTCTATATATTGCTAAAATACCCACATTTTCTGATTAAGTTTGAAATAATAATACAAGGTACCATATCTTTATTCAGAAAAATTTAAATGGTTTTTGCACGCAATACGGCAATAAACATGCACAATACTGTTAATATAAATAAGGCTGCAAATACTTAACATACTGCATGCTGTCATGTCTAGCCTTTTTCTAATTCCATGACAAGTTGATGAAGAATGAAAACAAAATTACATAACAAAAAAAATGAACTGGTGTTCGTATTTCTACATCCATAATAAAAAGTAATACAGGATAAAAAAACGAAACATCCTTTAGCAAGTTTCTTGATGATAGTCAAGTTGTAAATTGCTTATAAATGCTCTCCAACGTCCACTGAAATCCTTGTAATGATACTCGAATGTTCCATCATTTAGATTGATCCAAATTTCTATGTTGGATTCTGTGTAATTCATCGAATCATCCATCTTGTGATGACTTGAAGATTCAACTTTTTTTTCTTGCGTTTTGTTATCCATTTCACGAAGCAAGCACTTCAACAGGTATGAGTAGCACTCAAACGTATTCAGTCACAATAATATTTTCTTTGTTATGTTTTTGTCACGTGATTTATTTTGCCGCCAATCACTTGAGGTCATTCAAGAGCAGTAGAGAACATTGTCTACCTATTGCCCAGACTTTTAAAAACTCACAGGATAGGATGGAAACACGCAAGTCAATTACTTTTGATATGGCACCGCAATAAATACTTTGCAATATCATTTATTGTTACTAGACGTGTGGGGAATTCTCTGTTCAAGGTATTCTAATATTAATAATTTCAAAAATTATGCGGCTCTCACATATTTCTGACTTGCGGCTTTCATACTGTAAAATTTTGCGTTCAAAGTAATATTACATTGCCAAAACAATTATTAACTTTCTAAGGTCAATCATGATGCTAAATATAACCCTAAAAAATACAGAAAAAAATTTATACAAATATATCTTTTAGAAAACCAAGTTTGTGCAACTATACAACCACAAAAAGTTTCGAATTAGCCAATAGCTGTAACAATTATCAGCAAACAAATCATATGCAACTCAAGATACTTCTAATCTAGCTTCACTTCAACTGCATAAACATGACCTTGCACTTTCCACTATACTATCGAAGGCAAAATATATCACTTTAAGATAATAAGCGTTTTTTGATCATTCATATTTTTTTTATCATGATATATTTCTCGTCTCTTGATATGTCCTAAATATGATTGCTCAAACACTTTTGTGTCATTCAATCGTTCAACATATTGCTCACAAACAAATTGTTTCATATGTAAATTGTATGTAGACTTTATTTGATTTAAACGTAGTCTTTTCTTGACATTTAATTCATACATACATAACGTAAATAATCAATTTTTATAATCTTAAATAAACTCTGTCTATAAAAATGTTTTATTGAAAAACTTGAAAATGTCCACTTCATTTTATGAATCTACTCCGTGTTATGCTACTACCAGTTGATAAAATGTGAAACATTTCGTTTTACAACGACTGAAGGAGGAGAAGAAAATACCATTTCAGGCCAAAACTGAATTTGAATTCATCTATTGATTTAAGTGGTCATCATGTTAGGTGAATAATATTTCAGGAATAAACTCAATGACTCATTTCTGAGCTATTTCTTTAGTGATGTTCTCTCTATTTACGATTTATAATATCATTTACTGCCATATTAGATATGACTTTATTTTACTTTTAAACTTGTCGTCAATATCAAATAAATTTTTTCATTGTTAATCTATTATTGAAGTTGAATTTTTTAACTCAGTGTGCGTTGTGCATGCAACTGTGATATAAAGATAGAAAGATTCTGAGCAAACGAATGAATACAAGATTCTAGGTTGCAGCTTTCTTTAATCTGCTCATGCATTATTTGCCCAATTTGTTACAATTTCACATTTTCTCATGAATCCTCAGTTTTAAATTATTGTTATCATTTTGTTTTTGTGCAAACATATTTTCAATTATTTGCAACAGGTTTCTTTCAACTGTTTTGCGAGTGTTCAAACATAGGCCAAACATTCGTGAAATAAATCGTTAATTATTGAAACAATAATGGTTTGAAGCAATTTGATAGTCCTTGGTTTTGAATTAAACAATGGGTTAGCATGGTAATTCATTTTACCACATTCAGACATACAGTTGTTGTAATGCAAACTGGCAAATTAGTCTACACCAAATAGCCAAACTAATGTTACTATTATGCTGAAATGAAATAATATAAAAGTATGAGAAACTTATGAAATTCTTTATCAGCCAGATTAAATTAAAGAGATATTATAAAGTAAAATGAGAAAGAAACAACATCAAAATACAGTAACCGCACCCTGTAACTTATGCTTCATCATTACTGCATTCTGAAAATGGCACACAATTAATGTGCAAAAACAAAAAAGCATGAAAAACGTATTTTCAATGCGTAAAAATGTAATTAACAAGTAACCTAACATAATACTACTACCACCGTACCATAAATGCACTTACGGTACCTTGCACTGTACCGCCTGACTGTACACAAAACGGCGCGGCGGTGTGGCTCAACGGGCTAAGCGTTAGGAATACGCTCACCACCGCACCTCTAATTAGGGTGGTGTAGCCAGTCTGCGGACGATTTCATTCAAACCGCTATAAAACAAAAACCAATATTTCTAACCCGTTAATTTTTTCACCGTAGGTGCATTGGCATTTATTCTACACGCTGAACTTCGAATTAACTTTCTACGACCAGGGGTTAAAGCTATACAAACCACCAAAGTACGACACTCTGAAGACGTATTTGCGACCGAACGACCAGTGTGCGACCACGGATTTCAAGCCTTGAACATCGTTTCTGCTGCGTCGAGACTAGAGCATACGCAGCCATGCGTGAAAAAAAGGGCTTCTAATTGCATTTCTGACCGTCATATATTTTAAGAACACGATTATTTCAAACAAAATTCTTCAAATTATAAACAAAGCACCGCATCACAGCAATCAAACAGACAAAAACACGGTGGTCGCAAATTAGTTGACAAAGATATTATTGACGTATTGGAAATGCGCACCCCCCTACTCCCCCTCCTTTGAAGATAGAAACGCGAAACTTTAAAGATGGGTAAAAGAAACACAACTCTACCCACCTGCCAAGTTTCATCTCTTTATCACTTATATTTGTATGGATTTTCAAGCTTTTTTGAAGGAACAATGGGTAGTTGGCGACATGGTAAAATGGTCCGTTTTTTTTCTTCGGTCAGGTTTTCGGTCATAACTTTTTTATTTGTGGCCGCATTTTAGTGTAATTTCGTAGAGCTACGAGGGATAAGTGGACGATAACGCGTGAGAAATATCGGCGCGTTTCGTTAATTTTTTCGGCATTAATTTAATCGATGAAGTTGATGGTCGCAGATAGGTCATGGCCGCAAAGTGGGTAAGCCACCCTACTCTGCGTGGGTTCGCAAGTTCGAATCCCATGCAGGGATGGTTATGTGCGTGAGGATTGCTGGACTCCTCGCCGACGTTGGGTGGTTCACGTAACCGCTGGTCGGTTACGGCTTCCTCCACCACCAAGTCCATGCTTCCGAAAACAAAACAATACAGTAAAACTAATCCCATACCCGACTTGGAATGGTAACCGGACGAGAGGCCGTGGTTCGCCATATGGATAAGCCGTCTTATCGGCTTTCCTCTCCCCCGGGATAAATATGTAAATCCTATCCTATCCTACACAATATTCCAGTGTTCTGATATTTCTGTATTCCATTCACTATACAAGCTTTTGGTTAAAATTTAAAATGTTCAGACTGTCAGATTATCATCTAATGATTTCTTTTCATATTCATTTTGTGATTAATATATCCAAGCACAAACCTGTTTCGCGTAACAGCAATAATTATCCTTATCCTTAGCTGAAGTTCAATTTTAGGCAGGGAAATCCCCGCGTCAGTTGTCCTAGCAACGGTCATCAAGAGTTGAATCAATAAAAATCCTAAATTCCAATATTAAAACAACAGGTTTATTAAATATTATTTTTTTATAATAATTTTATTAATAAGAAAAAACATTTATGAACAAGATAATAACTTTAACCTCTTCAAAAACAAAATCGACGTTTTCGCTACAGCGTTTCTATTTGCAGCGGCGGCAAGGACATCCTGCTCTTTCAACCATAAGAGAGCTGGCGCTTGCTCACCCTCTCGGCCTGTTTTGAATTTTATTATTTGTTATTCATTATCTATATTTTCGTGGTACGGTACCGGTATTTCGTTTATGTACCTATATTATTAAGTTAACGTATGGTACGATATGGTAAAATAGGAACAAGATTTATTTGAGGGAAAGGTGGCCGATAATGAGACACGGCAATCCAATCATATTAGCATTTTTCTCTATTTTGAACAATGTCCGGATGTGTTAGCAGGCACAACTGCACAACTTAATTCATGTAATTACTGAATTATGTACCGGTAGCCCATACAGCTACATGCAAAAAATATTCAAATGGGTTAGGAAATTGTTGAATTACGAGTTAGACTAATTCATTTGTTTGTATATTTTTTTAGGGTCTCATGTAGTTTCGTACCTATTGACCTAACATACAGATATACGGTACTTCTAGTGGGTGTAGCATGACAATTTTTTCACGTATCAATCCTAACTCCCACCTGACTACACCACCCAAAAATTACGTCATTACGACGCCCACTAGAAGTACGTTAGGTAGGTACCGTACGAAACTACACGAGACCCCTTTTTTCAGTTTTTATTTGTTTGTATATCTTTCTTTTTACTTATGTCTCGCTTTTTTTCACTCCCGACCTCATGTCTCGATGATTGTGTGTGTGTGCGTGCCTAATTAGTTTTGATACTGTAAAACTGGGTAACTTTGGATGATTTCACTATACTTTAATCAATACTTCTGCCGTTTGTTGTCCAATTCGTGGTAAATTAAGTAAATGTAATTCTCTGCACATGTATTTAATTTTCTCGACGGTCCGATCATTTTTTCTGTCTTGATTGTTTCATTTTTCATTACGCTACTGAATATCTAACTTGGGATGGTGAATCACCTCCCTGCGTCACCGCAACTCGAGCGAAAAGTGCGTGTGTGAAGACAAAACATGCTTTGCGTCGTTGCGTAAAAATACCAGATGTTCAATCCATGTCGCGAGTGACTATGATTATGACGACGGTGTGATTTCCGGTGCGGCCCTTTCAAGTCGTTTTTAAACTATAATATCTTGTTTCTTTTCACCTTATCGTAACTTTAGATCGAATATTCACCGATCATAGCCGATTTTATCGTCTGTTGCACGACAAAGATATATGTATTTTGTCATTACTTTTTAGGTAAAAATAACAAAAACAGGTGAAGGTTTTGCTAAATTTACTAAAACGAAAACGCGACAAAGCATTTGGCATTCCACCCATAGTAGGCGAAAGACGATTAATACCGTTATTGTTTTGATAGCGTTTAAACACTCCACATTGTATATAGTCGAACGGTAAATAATATTAAACTTGCATGTGGTTGGATCCTTCATTAATCGACCAATTCAAATGTCAGTCGTGCATAAATCACACCAAAACATCGATTCAGCAATTGGCAACTTTCATTTACGGTAAATAATTTTGCTAAATAAACATTCGTTGTCATTTTTATTAAATTTAGTGGAATTACATTGTCAACATTTGACACAATGAAAACTGTTAGTGTATTTATTTCAACCGAACTTGATCCAATCAAACAAAATATCATTGCTATTTCAAGTCTACGTTAACTCGTCGGTGCCGGAATGTCTGGCGTTAAATCTGTAAAGGCGACACAACATGGTGCCGTCTTCGACGTGAGCGAGCAGTCTTCGACGTCCGGGTGACGTCAAATTCAACGTGTGCATCAGATGCTATTATTCTGCAAAATGAAACAAAACATTAAATTTAATTTTTTTTCTCGCGATCAGTCTAATTTTTTACATACATTCTTTTTGCCCTCTATCGAATGACGGTATTTTGACGAAGTTCGCGGCGGTAGGCATCCGAAGTTTCCCGGTTTTTATGATACTTTTGGGTAAGCGAACACACACTACTTCTTTCATCAATATCTTCCCACCTAAAAACTGTACACTTCAAACCGTACTTGGGGTTTCGTTTGCTATTTCGATTCTATAATCAGTTTTATTTATTTTGTTCTTATCAGAAGCCGCTGTGACAATGTGATGACTGAGGCGGCATGAAATCGAAAACCAAAAATTGAAAAAATACTAAAATAAATTATGAATGCATGTCACCGTTCCATGATTAAAAATCAAAAATATATCTAGGAATAATTATAATACATTCACACAAAAATCAGAAAATGTAAAAATCGATTGTGAGTTCTCAAATATTACGTTTGAGCGGTTTAACTTATGTATATCCAGTCCCATGTGTAAAGAGAGCAGTCCAAACTTGATTTCATTTAAACCCATCTTCATGCTTGCGTACAGTATTTGCTTGAAAATCTACCATTTTTGCATCCCAGTTGTACATTTCTAGCTCTGCAGTCTGACAGTCAATAATTTGCAATTTCCAGACTTATGTGATCTTTTATTGTTTCTTGATGTCACTAAGTCTACAGGTCTATGATTTACTTCTTGAACACATATCTTCAGCATGTTCACACAATCACACTTCAGCACTGTGGGCACGCCTCTGTAAAAATCATCCACTGCTGCCCTTTTTCATGCTGGTACAAGAAAAAAAAGAGTCTGTTTTGCTATTTAATAAAATGTAATGAATATCACATGTTAACTGTACTTGCAATAATGGCAGTAGTAAATACAAAATATGAAGAGTAGGTACACGATTAGCAAACACAAAACATCACAAGATATCAAAAAAAATTTCCCCTAAATGTCTCATCTCATTTACAAACAATTCCAGAATTAAGAATTTTTTTTCTGAGTGAACAGAAAATGTTTTTGTTAATAAAAATGTGAAAGTGTCAACTGTCAAGAGTTACATTACACCAAACATTTTCTCAGCCACATTCTCGTTATAATCTAACGTTTGCATTTGTTTTGTTTGTATTTTCCATTTATAAAACAGTCTTTCGATTCTTATAGCTTTTAAGTTTCAAAGAGATGGCCACTGCATTAAGAATTATTCCAAAGTTGCGAAACTTCCAAAGTCTGGCAACAAGATGTTCTTCGATTGCCGTCAGAAATCTAAGTCATAATATCACAAAAAATGCATTAGAGCCTGCACAACACAAGTTTTTGTCGCCCAATGTGGGAATTCTTCATATTCAACATCGTACAATGAGTCAAAATCCTACTAGTCAAGAGGAAGTCGAAGATAGAGTTTTAACGGTTCTCAAATGTTATGACAAAATTGACCATGGAAAGTTATCTCTTGGTAGTAACTTTATGAAGGATCTTGGTCTGGACAGCTTGGATCATGTTGAAATTATTGTTGCGATGGAAAATGAGTTTATTCAACTCATTCCTGATAATGTAGCTGAGGTTTTGCTTACTCCACAAGAAATAGTCGAGTATATTTGCGATTGTTATGATATTTGCGAATAATTTTCATTCGAATTTTAAAAATATAGTCTACTTTGTGGTGCTGGTCTTACTGAGTGGTGTGTAAAGGCCGCTACAATATGTCTTTCTCGGAAACATCACAACGTTTTCGTGCTACCATAATGTGATTGTCATCACTAGTCAAATGGAACAAATATTTTATTGTGAATTAGCTCATAGGCATAATTTTTAGGCAAATAAATTTTGAATAGAAAATTGAGTTTGTGTCATCTAGTAAATTAAAATTTGATTCATGCATTGGCATTTGGGAATAATATTATTCTGTTCAACTCTGCCACTGCATTACTCACCACTAATGGAATTATGCATTCATTCTTAATGCTGACTGCTAAGTTAATGATAAAATGGTTGTTTACTACGGTATAGTCAAATTGTCTTATTAGCTTGCCAGTTCTTTGAATTAAATATAAAATCTCATATTGGGAAGTGCCAACATTCATTCGTTTATTCATATTGTATAATTTTTTGACATTGATGGTTAATTATGGGTATAGTATAAAATGTCACAAAAAAAATAATATGAATTGGCAAATTATATGTGTAACTTTTCTATAATTCTATTATTGTAAAATGAATCTGAAGCTTGGAAAAGTTATACAGTACTAACGCCATTGTCTTTTCCATTGCCATGATTTTCTTATATGTTTGTTCGTGTTTTGATGCGAAATTTGCTGTTAATAATTTTTGTCTTTGAGAGTAAAATATCTATTCTGTTTTGGGTACAATTAGGTAGTAGTATTTATGAGGATTGCCTAAAAAGAGCCTGAATGACCTTACCAGTCAAAATATTGAAATATTTTCTTCATTGTTCCAATTAATTTCCGCATGCATGCAAGACTATTATCATAGCATTCGATACACCTTCTCAATTAACCATTCTGTGTTTTATTTTATTTATTATAGCCAATAAGCCAGTTTCATTATCTATAAAAATGCCATCACCTTCTAGAATTCCGCGGCCAAACAGGTATGTGTCGAAAAAAACAGGAAACGAAAACAAAGTTGAGACGAAAAAATCTGTACCATCATATCAAAATAAAAATAAAACTGCACATTCAAACTCCAATGAAGTTGAGAAATCTATAAAAGCAGAAACAAAAACAGTTGTAAAGGGAACAACAATGGCAAAACAAAAGAAATCTCCACTTCGTGTTGTCCAAGAAAATAAATTCCGACAACAAGAAAAGAAAGAAAATCATTCAGTTCCGAAAACAACTTTCCATGATAGGAGAGGTATCTCTGAAATTAAACGTTCTGAGCAAAACCTCAGATTAACACTAGATTCTATGGAACATGATGTGGAAGCACTAAAGCACGATTTGAAGTCTGTTAAAATGGAACTACAAAAATCAAATAATGATGTTATGAATTTGAGTGAAAAGGAGATAAATTTACAGGAAAAGATGGAATTTTTGAAAGAAGAAAACACACGTCAAGCTGAAATTTTAGAAACGATTGATAGAGATCCAGTAACAATGTCAAAGCTTGATTTAACTCCTGAATTTAAATCATTATTGGTTTCACAAGAACAAAAACAAATAACTGTTGCTTTTGATTTGAAAAATTGTCTCACAGACTTGAAAACATCTTTAAATGAAATGGATGAGCGGTTAGACAATCTCAATTTTGAGAATGTCACAGAATGATTTGCCTATAAGAATGATGAAATATTCGTTGTGTAATTGGACTGGTGACCAATTGCCGCAAGTGTGTGGGAAAAAAATATCGTGAAATATGCATTTTATTATGAGTTTGTCATTTGTATGAATCGAACCGAACTGAAATTATTTTGTATTCCAGACTGAGATGACATTGTAATTAATTGCCTTTTTATTTTATTGACTTGTTTATGTATGTTATGAGTTTGTCATTTGTATGAAACGAACCGAACTGAAATTATTTTATATTCCAGATTGAGTTGACATTGTAAAGAATTGCCTTTTCATTTTATTGACTTGTTTATGTGGAAGGAAATGTTTTTTTCTGGTAATATCTCAATTTGTCCCATTTTGATATTAATTTGTGAAAACAGAAGATCAGATTCCCCCTCCACATATAACAAATTTTCAAACCAAATTTATATCAGGAATTGTTTTATTTTCTGCATGAATTATATTGCATAGTAGGTTCAAAATCACTTGTTCTGTCATACTTTTAACCCATGGGTTGTTCTATGTTCTTTCAGTGAAGATAAACTCTACGGAAGTGTTTAAATATAAATATTAGTAAATTTAGCCATTTTACAAATTACAATCATATGGTCTATTGTATGTTCTGCCCTATCATTTTTTTTAAATACACTCATCTTTTTTCAGCTGTTGAACAAATTTTCAGAAATATACAGAAGACTGCCTTTACTTATTTTAACTTTTATTACGGGTAAAACCTCTTGTTCTCAAATAATCATAATGTTCACATTTATATCATAATATGTAGAGAAACATTTTCTTGAGCAAATATATACAGTTTTCTTTTTGTTGTGGTTGATCTTAGTTATTTGGATTTTTGTTTTTGTTCAGTTATGCATTGTATTCACTAGGGATGCAATCTCAGAACTTTGGATAAAGATTGTTCTGGGTTCAATGCTATTTTTAGTTTTTTATAAAGGGTTTTGTTGTATATTTCTAATCTTTTGTTTAAAGTGTCTAAATTCTCTGATATTATTGCTAAAGGCTCGTTGTTATTTGAATACACAGAAATTTCCATCTTTTCTGTTCATCATAGACTCCATCTTCTCTATTTTAAAAACATAAATATCTCACTGGATGGTCAAATACGTTCCAAAATAACCAAATTTTATTGTCACTTCATATGTTATGTTTTATCTTCAAATCCAAATATGGAATATCTAAATCCCAGAAGTGTCTTCTTTTATTAATATCAGTTGAAGGTAGTGTTGTTGTAGTTATGAGTCAGGAACTTTTATATTTGTGATATCGTTCTATGTGAAATGTAGCCTATTATATATACTTTGTATAGATTTTTTGTAATGTGTTATTTTCAAACTTGTTTAGCAATCAGTCAATGATTTTTAAGAAATATTTTAGTTTTTATGTACTTGGATGTGCCAAGAAATTTTATTTGAGAAGTTTGAGTGAAAAAGTTTGCACAACACAATATTTTATCCAAATGCAACGACAATCGTCAAATTTTAAAGTTTTAAATGTTGCTGAGAAAAACGATGCAGCTAAAAGAATATCTGAGATTTTATCAAATCGGAATTCTCAAAGAGTATGTAATACTTTTTTCTTGTGCGTATTATAATGAATTAAATTTTTCAGTTTTACCTATTCACCCATCTTTTTTGTCTTGGTTTAATAGGCATAAAATGATAGCAATACTGGTGTTTGATCTGAGAAACTGTTCACTGCTGATAAAATAAATAGGATAATGCCATTCGCTTCCAAATGCCATCATGCAGATCATTCCTAATTTATCAAAGCTATGTTGAGATAGTAGACTGGGATCTGCAAAATTCTAACTTCATAAATTCAGGCTGTATTAATAACTAGGGATGGGCCGGGATTTGGATCCGGACTTGGATTCGAGTCGAATCCAGGCATTTTTTGGACTCTGATTCGATTTCGAGTCCACATCATTTTTACCGAGTCCATAATCAATTCCGTTTTTACTAATTTACGCCTATGTTTGTACTTTTGCCTCTATAAATCCCACTACATTGAATAGTTAAAATTCAAGGTTAGATCTGTAACAATATCCCTCGTGTGCATTATAAACACTCCTAATAAAACGACGACAGATATCCAGATAAGATAACGCAAGTTAAAAACTATTGATTGCTTATAACAATGATGTTGCGCCAGTCGCCTTCAAGCAAACTATCAACCTTTTTTGGTATACATGTGGTACACAATAAAATATGAGTTATTGCAATATATTTGAGTTTTTGATTCGCCTAAAAATGAAACATACTCTGGATCACCCAATGTGGAATCTCATTAAAATCGAGTTTATTGCGTGCAATCCTTTCGCTAAAAAGGCAATGGAGAGTGTCAGAACGTTTACATGAACTACTAAATCGCAAGCAGATGTACCACATTGTATTGACGACGAGTGGCATTTCTCTACCATATGCGCACACAGAAATATCTGGAATTATGGTAAAGCATTGTAGTCGAAAGCTTTTTATTTTTCATATTGACATATAAGAATTCCTGAATAGCCGCCCAGGATTGATGCAAGGTGGGATGGAAATCCAGTTCACAGCCAAGGCGCACATTGACCCACGTTTACGTTTGTATTATGGCTGCCAAAAAAGAGAAAAAATATATATTTGGAATGATTCAACAGCTATCTGCGGAACCATTAGGCGAAAAATATGAACTACGACGTATGTTTGTGAGCGCACAATTCCGTAGCATGGTCAAAAACACGTTTTTCTGCTTTTCCATTATGACGTCACAGACTCGGCAGATTCGATTCAAGTCCTTGACCTATACTCGGATTCGTCGAATCTCTGTAATGCCAGACTTGTCCCATCCCTATTAAAAACATAGTAAATCCAGACTTGTCCAGAATACCTCATATTTTCATGAATAGGAACATTATAGTCATCTTGAATTTGCAAGATTGGAAAGTTTATAGAAATAATGCTTTCAAACTTTCATTTATGTTTTTACTGTTTCAGAGGGAAGGATACTCCCAATACAACAAGATATATGAGTTCAACTATTCCATGTTGGGACGGAATTGTCACATGATTATGACATCATTATCTGGTCATCTTATGAATTACGAATTTACAGGCAGCTACAGAAAATGGTTGGTTGCTATTTTATTTTGTTATTGGATGAATTGAGAGTATTTGTTTCATCAAGTTTTGTGATAGTGGATATTATCCTCTGTTGTTGTTTATCATGTAAAATCTCATTTCTGGATGTTTTGATATGATGAACAAACAATATTGTTCACTGTATTCACAATATTGAAGAGAAATATTTATTTTCCAGGACATCTTGCCACCCAGGATCTCTTTTTACAGCTGAGATAGAAAAACATGTGACAGAGAATATGACTGGAATTAAAGTAAATATATGAACATTTGACTTGAGTGAATGATATAATGGCTCGTGATATTATGATAGGATAGGGAAGACGAAGCATAGCGCAAAACTGAGGTTTGGGTAATACATGATTAGGATCGAAGGTATGGATACAATGCAACATTTTGAATGGTTTATTCACCCAATTGCAAGGTGTTGTTCATGCGCATTGACTTGTAGTTTTGATTATTTCAGCCATTTTATATTTTGGAGAATGGCATTTTGTACCTTGAACCAAATGTAGAAAGTAGGTTTAACCCTTTTTTCCGCTGTATACAATCGACTTTATGTACCATTTTATAATATGTAATGACCAGTTAACCAAACGTACAAGGAACAACCCCAATATCTCTTTAAAAACTTATTTTCGCGTCTTCCTACTAAAACGCGCCCAAATGACGTAGGCGAAATCGTTCGACCCTACGCGTGTAAGAAGAGAGAAATTTCAAAAAATTTTGAGAGAACGTTTCACACTCTTATCGCTTCGATGAACACGTGTTACAAAGAAACGAAATTCCGAGCGCTCTTCTGAAAGAGAGTTACGTCACCTTTGCAGAAAAACCAGACTCAGCTTCGCAAGCGAAGCGAAACGCGAAATAATCAATGATAAGTGAGAGCATGTCCACGATAGTTGTCTGAAATCTTTGTTTGTTTATTATGTGCGCCAAATTGTTTCCCGCTCGTTCAAATGACTCATTTTTGAAGTAATGACAAATACTTTCGTGTATCTCTAAGCTTTGAAATACCTACACAAATAAAATTCACTTAGTAGTAAAATAAAAAATTTACAAAAAAACAAAATGTTGACAGATCAAGCACGGATCATAGTTGGATGCTCAAAATGATTTAGTTAGTGCGGAATACTTCACAAAACATGAACATAAACGTAAAATAGTCCGAAAATAACTATTATGACCAAGGATGGTAGTACGAATATATATGTCATACGCAGGGATGGCCATTTCCGAATACTAAACTATTCCGAATACATTCTAAAATAATGTTTTCGAATCTGGAATTCCGAATACATTCTAAAATCGAAAATAACACATTTTTGTTTTAGTTGATTAAAACCCAGTAAATTAGGAAATAAGCTTCAATAGAAATATCAGAATGAAGCCACAAACCAACAGTATATGTACACAAAGTAATTGATAGTTTATAGCTATCAATAAAAAATAATAGCAACTTGTTGTGACACAGTCAGTTTATTAACATTATTCACTTTGTACAAATGACCATATGAAATAATAGCCAATGAGTTGTCTGACGCTTTCTATCATTGGTACCATGATATTATGATAATAGTCAAGTCTATTGACAAAAATACTACTTGTATTCAGATAATTGTGTATATTTTCTGAGAGTAATAAAATTTATTGGCAATACAGGCAACAACAATCGGAAATCCATTATGCATTTAAAAATCCTAATATTTAGGCCTGAGGTATTCTACTACCTACCAGTATATTGTTATTATGTGTAACATAATGTTGTGTTTGGAATTAGAAATAAATTAGTAGAGAATAGATGACCACCACTGCCAGCGCCCAGCCAGGATTTTCGAAATCGGAAATTCCCATTGCCGCCTGTAACACCCACCGCGATTTCGCGCTCCTTAAAAGAGCCGTCTTTTCAGCGTATAATGATCATTCTGTTACGTAAAATATTCCATCCATGACAACTACGAGATCTAAAATATCTTTATATATTAATTTAATATGTCCAACGTAACTCGCGGTTGCTTCTTCTTACGCCAAAAAAAAAAACATTACTATTTGGTCCACGGCGATCTGTGACCTAAAATTAGATGATGTAGATTAGCCTGATGTATTTAATTTCAATACGTATTTTTGCAATCTTGCCAACTCGTTATCGCCGTTAGAAAAATCTCAAATAATTATATAAAATCCTGTTAAGTGTAGAGTATAATTCATTTCATTCAATGAATATACATATAAAGTTTAGCAGTAAATTAAAAATACATATTCTTCGCCGCGATTATGCCAACTCGACTTTTAAAACAAATAATATAACAACGAATATATTTTTTTCTGTTGTGCAAAGTGATGAATTCGTGACCGACACGGGCATATTTAAAATGTCTTGCGGTTGCGTCGACAAAATAAAATCCTCACACCACTCTTATATACCATTGCAATCCGCGGTCATAAAAATAAAAACGTGAGGTAAACTGTCCGATTAAATATTGTTTTGATCCGTATTTTGCGAATTCGGCAGATATTTAGATGTACTTGTTAACAGTGACTCCGCTCGATCGAAATGCTGCCACTCTGATTATTTTTAGATAAAACTGTTCGAGAAATCCATAAATATGCTGTAATATCTCAGAGTAAAATTTATCTCATCACAATAAAATTGATTGAATATACTTTAGATTAATTATATTATATACATCCTCACAACCCGGGAAAAAGTCGCGTTTCAAACCTTGTATTGTGTTAACATGAAAATATTCGACGGCAATTTAAAGTAATGGATAATCAGGCAAATCCCGCCCTCAATTAGTGACGATATGTTTCTAAACGCCGACCAAACATTTGTGCCAGAGGCACACGAAATTTTGCGATTTTCACTGCCTAGAAAAGAGTTTTTTAAATTTTCGCGGCCTCAATAAAACTTATATTGTTTACGGTTTTATTTTCAGTATTCTAAATTGCCGCTTTTCAATCAAAAAGTTGCGTTGTCTTTAGAAACTCGCCGCCGATGAACGTATTTACCAGATTCACAATTCCGTGCGCGTACAAAAATAAAATAAATGTTATAGTTATGTTGGAACAAATTTGTGGAAAATTTTCGTTTTAGAGTAAATAACACAATCGTAAAGGCGTTTACGGGCCTAAATAACATGTTACGCTGATGAGTGATGAAAACAATCACGCGCAAGTTTCTATCGAGAATGTTTTCATTCAACGGAAATGTCTTGAAAGCGGCGTCGAAAATGTGTGACGTCACACAAATATCCGATATTCTTATGAACGTGAATTCCGATATTCGAATAACGAGATATTCGAATACATTCGAATACTTTATTCGAATTGGCCATCCCTGGACTCATACGGAACAAAAGAGTTAAAAATCCCCAGTATTTTTATAAAAATCAGCTGATGATCAAGCCAAAGGTGTATAAAATCCTCATTTTACGGTTTCAATAGGCAATTTTGACCTATTTCTAATCCAGAAAACTTATGGAGAAGAATCCTCGAAATTTATTTCGATGTACGTAAAACGGGGTGACTTTGACCTCACGGGTTGACTTTGGCCCCATTTTGAGAATTTGTTTAAAACCCACCCAAATCTACTTTTATTTGATATTTCCCATTTTATTTTGTTTTGATACTGTAGTTAATAACAGCAGCAATAATTATACAACAAAAAATCTTGTCACTTTATGAAAAATATTTGGGAAAAAAAACTTTTTCATTTGGAGGGTCAGAAATAAAAAAATTGAAAAAAAAATCGCAACTCAGTACTTTTATTGAGAAGTCCAAAAAAGAAACATTCAATTGTCCTTATTCTTTACAGGTTGGAAGAGATATTCTCTGTGAAGGTTTTTATGGTGTTTGGAACAAGTTTAAACTAGTTGGGGGCGTATGAGGGAGGTTTTTTGCCCACAATGCAAAATTCCATGTAATATGGTACTGACTTTGGCCCACCTTATTACCCTATACAAACCTACTTTTTTGTTTTATTTTTCAGAAATAAAACGAATTTATTTTCTCATTCTAGTCATCCAGTTAATCTATAAATGTAAACAGTTTATTTCAAATCATGGTGAGAAAATTCAGTCGTGTTTTGGGCAGTAGAAGATACCATGATTATAGTGAGAAAAAACTTCAGCGAGCTCTGGAAGCAATTAAAAGGGGAGAATCGCAAAGAAACGTTGCAGCACAGTTCAATATACCTAGGAGTACTTTGAAGAATAAGTTGAAACTGAGGCACATGAAAAAATTTGGTGGGCAAACAGTTTTATTTGCAGAAACTGAGAAAATTCTAGTGGAGCACTGCATAGCCGTAAGCAGTTTTGGTTTTCCGATAGCACAGGAAGATTTGAGAAGCATAGTTAAAGCTTATCTTGATGCAAAAGGAGTGACTGTCAGTAAATTTCACAGCAATTATCCTGGAGTTGAATGGGTGAAAGCATTCTTAAAAAGGCACTCAGAACTAACGGTGCGATTCGCAACGAATATAAAAAGAAAAGGGCAGGGGTATCGAGTGAGACTATTGAAAAATATTTTGAAAACATCGAAGAAGAGTTGGATGATGTGCCCCCGGAAAATATTTGGAATTATGATGAAACAAACTTAACTGATGACCCAGGTATGAGTGACTTTGCTTTTAAGTATATACAGTACTACGGTATTCAATTTTTCAAGCGTTCTTTGTTAATCCCCTTTTTTAAAATATTTACTGCGTCAAATCAAATTTTAAACTATTTATGGTGTTATGTAAAATTTCACTTTGGCTTGCAGTCTAGTATGGATAATAAATATTACTGTATTGTGATCAAAGCATTTATTTTTAGGGCAAAAGAAGATAATATGCAAGCGCGGCTGCAAATACCCAGAAAGAATCCTGAATTCGACAAAATCTGCAATAAGTTTGATGTTCTGTGGGAATGCAGCAGGAGCAGTGATGCCACCGTATGTAGTGTACAAAGCCGAGAATCTGTGGAGCACTTGGGTTGAAGGAGGACCACCAGGGACACTATACAACAGATCAAGATCAGGCTGGTTTGATGGATTTAGTTTTCAAGATTGGTTTAATCGAATGGTGCTGCCTAGGCTGAAGCGTCAAAATGGGAAAAAAGTTCTCATTGGGGATAATTTATCCTCCCATATCAGTCCAGATGTTCTGAAATCATGTCTTGATCACAATATAGCTTTCATATGTCTACCGCCTAATTCGACGCACCTCACCCAACCCCTGGATATTGCCTATTTCAGGCCAATGAAAGTCGCTTGGAGATCGATATTGAATTCTGTGAAAAGTAAAGAAAGAAGGCAGACATCCGCAACGCTAAGAAAAGATGAGTTTCCAGCACTTTTGAACAAACTCTGCTTTGCTCTTGATGTCAGGGGAGCAAACAACCTAGTTGCAGGATTTAAAAAAGCAGGACTTGTTCCGCTCAATAAAGAAGAAGTTCTCAGTAGATTACCAAGAACTACGAGTCATGATGATTCTGATGTTATCAGTGAAAAATTTCTTGAGAAAATTTCAGATTTAAGATCTTCTGTGGCAAAGGAAACTAAAACAAGAAAGAAGGTTCAGGTAGAACCTGGGAAAAGCGCATGTGAGGAAGATGTGGCAAGACTTGAAAAAACGGTTTCAAAAAAAGCTCAAGCAAATCAAAATATTGAAGATTCAGATTCAACGGTTGAAATTGTTTCCTCAGACGATGAATGCGATGAAGCCTCTACTCCTGAATCATCCAACTCTCACTCTGTAGTTTCAACTGCTCATCACTTGCCATTTGAAGAATGCAACATTGGTGATTATGTTATAATTTCGTATGAGGGTGAATTATACCCTGGAATTGTCAAAACCCGCACAACTGACGGGTGCGAGGTGAGTGTCATGGAGAAGTCTGGATGTAACTGGAGATGGCCATTTCGGAAAGATCAGATTTTTTACGACTGGAGCAGCATAAAACGTTGTATCAGTCCCCCAGATCTCATAAATGCGCGAGGCATCTATAAAGTGTCTGAATTGAACTGAACTGACCTTTTTGCCATGATATCAACTGCTATGAATGAATACAGACATGTTTAATTTTGATTTTTGCAGTGCCATTATAAAATGGCCGATTTCGTTGAGTGTTCTAATTTTTTTGGGGTTTCTGTTTTTTTAAAAAGTCTCTGTGGGCCAAAGCCCACTGTAATAAATGTTTTCTTTGTCTCAGTATGGGTACAGCTTAATTTATGGGGAGAAATAGGCACTGGGCCAAAGTGGTACCGAAATTGCTGGTGACTTTGGCCCACCGTAAATTAAAAAAAATAATATAGAAAAAACAAATATTTTGGTTCAATGATTATGCACGACGTATACCCCCTCTAAAATGCATAGTTTGGACCCGGAATAGCAATTCATAGATTTTTAATATTCGAGATATTTTGACTGAAAGACCAAAAATGGGTCATAGTCACCCCGCTTTACGGTATACATCGTTGTGCTATCTAATTTTGAAAAATATGTACCGGTAATCAGTTTAATTTCTCTGTATTCATGGTTAATTTCTTTCAAGAGAACGCTTGAAAAAGAATGTCGGTCTTGTCAAGCTCTTGTAATATGGACTGATGGAGACAGGGAAGGTGAAAACATTGGATTTGAAATTATAAATCTCTGTCTTGCTATAAAACCATCGCTCAATGTTTACAGAGCAAAGTTTTCTGAGATTACTGACAGGTATGTAGATTTTAAAATCCTCGTCATAGAGTTCTTCACCAATATGAATTTAATGAGGACATATTGAATTCTTGTTGTAAAATTTAGTTATTCACATCTGAAATGTTTTAGCGGTTATAACTTCACGAGCACGAGTCAAAAAAATTTACTGTAAGTAAATAACATTTGTATATATATTTTGAAACAAATGATGGAATTACACTGTTTTTGGTAATTCGAGTGACATATTGGCTATGGACTATGGTCAACAGATAATTTAAAATCCTCTGTTTTTGATATTGGTATTTCAAATAACATAACATGTGTTGAATATTGTTCCTTTGATTGGCATCATTCATCTTCTATGCCACATTAACAAAAATAATCCACTGCTGAAATTGATTTCCAGCCTAGCACTCCGAGGTAAGGATTCGGATAATTCATCAATGTTAGGTCAGTCAGATTTAATCCTGAATAATTTGCGACTCCTGAATTGTGATTTTTACCATCTTGTAATGTATTTTAAGATCCATCAAAGCCAGTTGTCGCAACCTAGTGCGACCAGATCAAAATGTGAGTGATGCTGTTGATGTGAGGCAAGAACTTGATTTAAGAATTGGTATGTACAAATGCAGACTGTCGATGACTTTCAACGTTTTTTAAAATTCTGAAATAGCTGTTTCAATGATTTAATTAAGGTGTTTAATTGGTCAACTAAAATTTAATTATATACGGGAACTGCACAATTTCACACCCACTAATTAGAAATTTATTTAGCCAAAAGTAATTCAGAGTCTGACGGAGGTTTTCTTGAACACCCACAGCATTCGATTCCAATTTATATACTTATGCAGTGTAGATTAAAAAAGATCTTGTAAAACTTGGGCGCTCCCGTAGTATGTGTACCAAGATGGCGAACACGGAACATAGTATGTGTACCAGGTTAGGGTTAGGCCATCATTTTTTTTCAATTTTCCTTATTTTAGGTCAATTACGGGTTCAGGGACTAGCCAAGTGAGTCTAGTAGTATGTGTACCTGAAATTATGGCCTAACCCTAACCTGGTACACATACTGCGTTCTGGTGTCCGCCATCTTGGTTCACATACTACATGAGTAACAAACTTGTATCTTTCTATCTAATTAGTGTATTTTTTTATTCAACAGGAGCCTCTTTTACTCGATTTCAAACTTTGAGATTACAGAAAGTTTTTCCTCAAGTATTATCAGATAGATTGATAAGTTATGGAAGTTGTCAGTTTCCTACTCTTGGATTTGTTGTTGAACGATATAAAGCAAGAGAGGAATTTCAACCTGAAGCATTTTGGAAAATTGAAGGTATTGTTTTGTGTGTGTTGATCTGTTTTTCAACCCAATAATTCTATTTTTTAAAAAGAAGTCATCAATGCTGAATTATGTGAATTATGAATGCGTACCGTAATAACAGCAAAGTTTTAACCAAACGTTAAAAGTATGTTATATTAATTTGTGCCTGTTAATTATAATAAACAGCAAAATTCAGTGTAAAATATTGGCACTAAATGACCCAGACACAATTGAAAAACAATTTACCAGCCTTATCTTTAAGACTAAAAAGTAGCCGAATGGTCTATCAATTGCAGAGAAAAGTGTTGATGGAATTCCACTTGTGTTAATTTTTTTCTTTCTTTTCTAGTTTCTCACACTAAAGATGATTGCAATGCCAACTATTCGTGGAAGAGAAATAGATTATTTGATCAACTTGCTTGTCAAGTCTTGTATGATCAATGTAAAGAAGAACCAGCTGTTGCCACGGTAACTAAGATAAACAGCAAACCGAAAAGCAAGTGGCGACCTCTTGCTCTGGATACTGTGGAATTGGAAAAATTAGCTTCAAGGAAACTTCATATAAGTGCGAAAGAGACAATGCAAATTGCTGAGAAATTATATACAAAGGGGTTAGTATGTAAAATATTGGTCTTGGTGTGGATGTTTCAAGACGGATACAGGGCAGGAAACCCCTGTATTCTAAATTCCCAAGTTATAGCTAATTTGAAATGTCTTATAATTGAAAAAAAAGTTTGGTTTGTGTTTTATGGAGTAAAGTGTTTTTTTTTGCTTCTGGTAGATCAATACTTTCCTAGTGGAGATGCAGATTTATGTACTATTGCAAATTTTCTGAAATAACAACTAGGTTGTGGCTTACTTAAGTTTACATGAATCGTTGTTGTCATGTAATGGAAATTGAAATTAAAAATGGATGATATCAACATTATTTTTGATTGAGTCTTATTTTCAACAATAACCAGACATTGATTAAAAAGAGATATATTTTAAATCTGACCTCAGATGTGAAATACTTAAAAAAGACAAATTCCAAAATAAAAATATTTCATATTTTTCCAACAACCAGGAATTAAATATGTTAAACGAACCAATTTTAAATGTATTCAAAACCTAATTTGCTTTGAACATCCATGCCTCCAACCGAAAATTCATGAATTAAAATGAAAAAGTTTCTTTTTTATTTCAGTTACATAAGTTACCCACGCACAGAGACCAATATGTTTCCCAAGGAAATTGATTTAAATCGTTTGATTGGAGAACAAACGAATAGTATCACATGGAGTGGATTTGCTGAAAATCTTCTCGATATTGGTCCGACTCCAAGAAATGGATCGAAGACTGATAATGCTCATCCTCCCATCCATCCAACTAAATGTGGAAATGATTTATTGGTATGAATTTGTTTATGATTCCATATCCTCGGGTAAAAGCCGACCCTCTGAAATGGCTCTCAAATGGTGAGCATTTAGGGCATAAAAGTATCAGTTGAGGTTACGCAAGACTAACTCCCAATCCTTTCTCAATGCCTTTGTGCCAGGGATTCGTATGTGTTTAATGCGAGGATGCTGTAGCAGGAATAAAAATACCATAAATAATTACTTAATTATCTTTCTGGCTTGTGCTTCATTATCGATGACCGTGATTGAAATGAAGTGAGGAATACTCATTTTTATGATTCATTTAGAGTTTCATGCACTTTTTGTAGTATCGGCTGCGTCTCATTTTTATTGCTTTGTAAAGTAGAGGATTAAACTTTTAAAAAGTCACACATACGTTACAAAATCGTTTTTGTTCGGATTAGTCAAATTTATCATTATGTGATTGATATACTATGTATGGAATTTGAACCAGAGCTTTAGGCAGTTATCTTAATAAATTGGTCGTCAATTAGCCCACAACCTATGTCATTAACAAAACCATCTGCAGATACAACAGATAAGCAATTGTATCAAAAGCATGTTTTTTGTCACCCACATGTTCTATAATTTACATTCATTCCACAACTTTCGATTTTGTTGTTATTTTCAGGGAAACGAAGGTCGAGTGTATGAGTTGATTGCAAGACATTTTCTTGCATGTTGCCATAGAGATGCAAAGGTTGGTGAACTCTTTTAATTTTAATAATACTGGTATATAAAGGATGAATATAAGACCCAAAATGATGATATAGAAAGTTGATTGTTATATAGTTTATCATGGGTGAGAAATCAAGGTTCATAACAATATGTTAATTTTATTTATTTTTGGTAAGTGCGCTCAAAACAAATTTATGAGCTGTCAGCTAAATGTAGAATGGTTACTCATGCAAAAGTTATTTTTACTGGTGTAATAAGAGCACTACACTATTATGCTATCTTTGCCACAGAGAGATTAGTAGATACTGGTTGATACAAGACCTAATATTGCCATTCGTTGGGAGCAATTCATGATTCTAATTCTAATAATATGAGAAATGTGCATCATTTTGTTCCTTTTTGCAAAACCAATTTTTTGTATTATACGCATTATTCTAAGAAAGAATTGTCCTAATTATCTCCAAGTAACCTTTTTTGTCTAAAATTGCATCATTAGATAATTGTATCTTCTATTCATTCATTTCTTTTGTGTTTAGGGTCACGAAACAAGTGTTGAAATAGAACTTGGAGGAGAGAAATTCACTGCTCAAGGATTGATGATTATTGAGCGGAATTACCTTGATATTTATATTTATGAAAAATGGAATGCAAAAGTGAGAAAAATAGTTTTAAAATTTTTAAAAAAATTTCCGGAGATGGAAAATTTTTGTGAGAGATTTTTCGGAAGGCAAGATCACCACGTGTATTCACTCAAAAATGATAATGTGAGATTTGAAGTAGTCTAATGTCAGGAAAATTTACTTTCATCAATAAAAATCCCGATAACTCGGTGAGAAAATTTGACTTTTTTAACTTTGGTACGAGTACATTCAACAATTGCAATCTGCGAGTTTGTTTTTGGACATGAATGATCAGAATCTCATTTACTGTTTTATTCAAGTTCTAAATACGTAACTAGTCTAAGTAATTTTTAGAAAATAGATTGATATTTCATGGTATACTCGAAATTTTCATGCAACACGAAAGTTTTGGGATCGCTGCAATATGTTCTGCTACATTTCTTGAAATCCTAGAATTTTCTTTTAGTTGGGACAAGCATAGGGCAGTAGATATTTTTCATTCAATTCAATTCTCCAAAATATTTTATTTATTCAAATTGTAATTTGCTTACAGACAATCCCTGTATATGAAGTTGGTGAGGAATTTGAACCAAGAATCGAAATGACAGAAGGCGCAACAACTCCTCCTAATTTATTGACAGAAGCTGATTTGATCGCACTGATGGACAAACATGGGATTGGTTAGTAATCTTTTTATAAAAAGCAAATTTGATGAACACATAATTCAGAGGTAGATTCAAATTGATCACCAGTCTGGATTAGGCAGTATAATCTATTTTAACATTTATTTTCAGACACATGAATTTTTTTTACATGGAATCGTTGAATTTTAATTTAGTGTCCTCACTGATGCAAAGTTAAAATGTAGAATGATTCTATTTCCAATTGTTGTTATCTTTTAATTTTAAGTATTGATCTCAGCTTTAAACCCAATGCTCGCCGAATCACCCAGATCATAATAAATTGGGTATGCAGTTCCAAACTGAAAAGATTTTTTATTCGTCCTTCATTAAATGCTAACTCCTTACATAGCGATGGCTGCTTGTGCAGAGCCTTGTGGAGAGTGAACAGACAAAATGTACTTTTCTGTGAAACATTCAATATTTTTGAAACCGAATTTTACAAATTTTGTCCCAAGTTGTTGGGTTATTCTTATATCATATTGTATATTATTGTTTAATAAAATTTACGTATTTGATGATTTCTTAATAATCCAGGTACTGATGCGACACATGCAGAACATATTGAGACAATAAAATCAAGAATGTACGCTGGTCTGACTCCAGATAAAAGATTTTTACCTGGGGAACTAGGCATGGGGCTTGTTGAAGGTATGCACCTGTAAGACGGTAAATATTGTAGAAAGCATTCATATATAGTTCATAGTGTTTCATAGTTGCGTACAACTTTTATAGCTTTGAGCTTTCTTTTTTTGGATAAAGTTTGCGATTTTTCTTGAAAATAGGCTCTGTGATAATAAATATTTATGACTATTTCCATATTGTGTTATTACTACCCTTCATATATATGTACCCTTTATTAGTGAGTTTTGAAATACTTTTGTCATGGACGTGAAACAATCTAGATAAATATTAATACATGAATATCATGTGCAATTGTGCAAACATCAAATTAATGTGCTATTGGCAAGGTTACACAACAGAGAAAAGGAGACTTCGATGATGGTCATGGGTGAAAATTAAAATGACAACTGAAATCATATAATATTAATAGTAGTTTGATTTAATTTATTGCAAGTCAAAAACAGTTATGAATTAATTAATTCCACTCAACTTATTAAATATTCCTTATTGAAACTTGAAATTTTAACTTGGATTATCATTAGGATACAATATGATGGGATATCAAATGGCAAACCGAGTTGCGAGCTGCTCTGGAAGCAGATTTGAAATTAATATGTGATGGAAGAGCAAGGAAAGAAGATGTTTTGCAAAAATATATTACTAAATATAAAGAAGTTTTTGAAGAAGCGATAAGACAGGCTAAAAAGTAAGTTAGTTTTTATTGTCGTTTTGCTATAAGTAGTAGTGGCCGGAATTGAATAATTCACTATTCCAAATAGATTTTTAAGTAATGCTTTCTAAAATAGAATAGAGAAATAGGGATGTGCAATATAGAATAATTGGTGCTCCAGAAGTGTGTGTACCACTATGGAGGTAATTAATTTTGTTCGCCCACTTTACATCCAGTTCTGTAAAGGGACTGATAGTGATACCTATGGGCTGGGGTATATTCACTTGGCTAACAGACAGACAGTCTCCGAACTCGTAATAGAACTAAAATAAGGATAATTTGAATGAAATTATGGCCTAAGTCTAACCCTAACCTGGTACACACACCACGGAAGTACCGAATGATTTACTATTCTAGGGTAGTTAAATCGAATTTGTAGTATCTAATCCTATTTTATTTTTATTTACGGCCATAAAGCTAACCCTTCAACTGAACCCTAAACTGTTGCAATAACAAAAGTAACTCGTCTAACAGCTTTAACGAATTAAATAGAAGTCACTATCTATTAATCTGAATCTTGAAATTGTTTTATTGTAATGTAAATCATTTTGATATTGGAACGCACTGTGAAAAATCACAAAATATTAAAATGAATGTACCCAACTTTTTGTTGCAGTCAATGCAGTGTGACACATTTGAGCTCCTAACATGTTTGCCAGTTAAGCGTGATCTTAATTTATTATCAGTCAATTCTGCACTAGAAAAGATGTTCAGAGGATGCTGATATGGCTGGTATCCATGAGTACTTTATTGTTATTTTTTTCAAAACAGTTGTAATAGCAGTATCACTCTTCCACCATTCCAAAGTATCTAAGTTGATAGTCTCGATTTTTGTTTTCGAATAAAATGCAGTTTCTTCCGAAACGCTGGTAATCTCATCATTTCCCTTGTATTTGTCTCTACTGCTGTCGTGGCTTTACAATGCCACAGTTCATTAGGTCATCTAATTATCCCGGCTTTTTGGCAAACTCACAATGCTGGTCAAGAGAGTTGTTGATATATTTTGACGGAGCGTTTATCATTGATTCATCATTCATATTGGTGATCATTTGTGATTCCACATTGCCCCTAACCTATTAGAAATAAAAAACTGCAAAAGTTTTTTTTATACAAAGAAACTCACTTGAAGATCATCCGCTTTTTTGAAATAGCTAATCTTTTATCTTGGGTCCAGGCAAGTCCTGATGCTCATGTGGATACTCGGCTGAAACCCAAATCTCTCGTGCAGCGGGGTCAAAATTTTGTTTTTGAATAATGCCAAACTTTGTGAATCTCCTCCGCATGTATTTTTGGGACAATCCTTTGAATAATGGTATTACACCACTTATTGAAACATACTTCTCACCTTCCATTTGCGATCTGTTAACAAAATCATGTATATGTTATAAACAAAGTATATGACTCAAGTTATGTTTCTTCCTGTCGCACATATGATTACCTTAATTGGTTTAAGCTATTTTACTAGGGTTTGAATTAGTGCCCACTTGTTGTTTCTTAATTCCAAATAAGCCGTTGTTGTCGGTTTTACAATAAACCCATTGCAAAGCACTTAACAAACATAGGCTTGCAGTGACAAAGTATCTCCAGCATACTGTATGTGGAGTTACATCTTGAGGATACATCAAGTATGAGCTCTAGCTGGTGTTCTTTTTCTTATGCGGGCTTTTGAAGATTGTCAAAATTGAAACGAAAACAAGGTGTCTATCAGCACCTAATAATAGTGATATATCAAGTCAAGAAGAACTGGTATAAAATTAACTCCCTATTGCAGATTTAATTTGTGTAATCTCGAATGCCTGCTTTAAACACAGTTGCAATATGCATGCTACACATCGTATGTGTATCTGGCCATACTTTTCTTTCAGTTTTCCACAAGCATTACAAACGACATAGGAGCCCTCATCAGTAATCAGTATGGCTACAATTTGTTGAGGGGACATCTTATAATCTTCAATGACAGCTTCTGGCTCTGCTGCAATATGTAATCCTGAATGAACATCAATCACCTCTTTTTTGGCTGCACAAAATTTAAGAGTTAAAAAACCTCATTTATATAGAGAAGAGACACACCAAGAAAAGATTGTATTTTTGCACTGCACCATAGATTCGTTGTTAATGCTCCATATTTAACATGTTTCAGAACTTCTTTCATTTCCTTCTTAGTTTGAAAACTTTTCTTCAATATTTCGTGTCAGTGCCTGATGACATGGCATTTCATATCCGGGTGCTAATTCTTTTAATTAGTTTCTTGAAGTTTTCCCTTCTACAAACCAATCGGCCTCAAATCACCGACTATAGTATTTAAAATCAGTTTGGTGATCTTCTTGGATTTTGCGAGTGTGACTGGGACCGAAAATAATAAAAATATATTTTTCCCAGAAATTCAGTTCTGTGATATTTAGACTAACTCCTGATCAATGGAATTTACTGAAGCATATTTCACCAATGACCAATAATTCTATAGTCAATAATATCAGTAACTCTTGGCTTTTCAGTGTTTACTCATAACTTGCCCAGAAATAAATCTTCTTTTCTCTACTTCTGAGTGAGTACACATGATGGCTTTGTTTGAACAAATTCTGATACCAAGAAATAAGCATGCATTTTGAACTTATAAAGAATTGTTATGGGGAACGTTCCTGTGACTAGATATGAAATTTACCCGTATTTTATATAATTGTATTTAGACTTGATCAAGCTTTGGGTTGTTATTTTGGTGATGCTCAATCAGTTGAAAGTCAGAATATATACAATCCTATGGAAATATCAAGTCCTGTCAGACCTTGTCCATCGTGTGGTAAAGATATGGTGATTAAAAGGAAGAAAGATGGAGGGTTTGTGCATTTATAATTATAGTTAAGTTTTAACATAAGCGCACATTGCAGATGCTATGGATATAACCAAGGACAGAATGCTTATTTACTGTTTAATGTTCAATCAGTATTTTAATAGGAACTCGTGGAACCTAAAATGAAATAATGACATTAACCCTTGTGTAAGATTAACATTTCACTTTATAACCTGTTCTTACCCCAATAATGTTTTTAATAACAATTTTACCATAGATAATAGGTTGCAGACTTGCAGCATAATTCATCATTTTGCTTATTCACCAAATTGCAGATAAAATTTTTTTAAATTTTGTGTATTTATTCGGGATTTCAAATTCATTGTACTCGATTGTAATTTACCATTTGAATAAAAAACCATGATTCATCATATTCACTTTCTTCATAACTTTAATTTTTACCAAACATATTTAAAAAATACCTAATGGTAATTAAATAATAGTGTATGGTGAAATGATATCTAATTTTTTCTAATGTGAAAACCTGTTTTGATTTTTTTCAGCTTCATGGTATCATGCATGGGATTTCCTGATTGCAGAAATGCTGCTTTTATGCCAAAATCAATACTAGATGCCACTGTCGATGAATCAATATGTTCAAGGTGTCGACCTGCACCAGTACATAAGTAAGACATTTACAGAATGGAGTGAACTTCTACTGTTTATTGTTATCGGTGTATATTGTTCTGCTTGACAGATAGTTTTTGGCACAATGGTATTTCTTTGAACAGATACAAATTTGTTTGAATATTAGCAGATGTAAGTTGATATAATTCTGCATACAATCTGAAATATTGGTTGCGTTTATCTGCTGATTGTGGGTATGGTGATTTAGTAGATATTGTGTTGCTTCCAGATTTGCTGACATCTTGAGTGAGAGTTGCTGTGCATGCCAAAATGACAAAATTTGGTGGTTCTTCTGAAATTGTAATAACTTAGTATACCTAAGTCTATCTATGTATATATTGGCCTAGTCAAAAAAATATCAAAGATAAGTTGTTTTCATTTTTCAAATATAAAGTTATGCGGTAGAGTTTTTATTAATTTCACATTCTGGTTTATTGTTTCAGAGTAAAATTGAAGTTAAATCGCAGCAGTATTCCTCCATTTATGGATTCAGAACAAATTGCTTGCATATGTGGATGTGATGAAGATATTAATAATGTCTTAGACATCAGGTAGTTTAGTTCATCAATCCTCGTAATAATAAGATATATCAGGGGTTGGTAAATTACAGTTCGCAGGCCGGGTCCGACCCACTGAAGTGTTTCGCCCTGCCCACTTGTGTCTGCTGAAATTATGACTAGTTTTTATGGATATAAATTTCCGGTAAAAATATTGATGAAAATAACGTTGTAATGACCCCAATTCTTACACTGTGCTTTCTGTTATTCTGTTGTATTAGCTTTTGTAATGGACTGTTTTTATTCATAGTTTTCATATCAAGTTTTGACACTCCGGTCCAGTTACCAAGTCAAGTGGTTGGTCCACTTAGAAAAGTAATTGCCCACCCTTGAGATATGTGATTATTTCTATATTCAAGATCTTTTTCTAACCATTATGTTTTAGAATTCAAATGCTGTGCCATATCCTTGTGTTGGGTGGTTATATAGAATCTAAAAGATTACGGTTATTGGTCTCTTTAAATAAATATTTTATCTTGTATATAAAAATTGGCTACTTGCTTGAAGCCTTGGTCAGAGATAATGTATCAAACATGTGATAATTAAAATTGTTTTAAAGAATTTATGCGAGTATTTAATACGCACTGATATATTAGTAACCTTTGGGGTTTAAAAATTGCTACAAGGAAATGTTTCGGGATTCATAACAGCCTGTGGTAAATTTACTTATAATGCTTTTTGACTGTCATAATCACCACGCATGCCCTTTTTTGAACATTGCAACTATGACTTCTTTCTCAACAGGTTCCGACAGCTGACTCCTAATACAAATTCATCAACTTACTCAAACCAAAATAGCAGACAACCACGTGGTGGGGGTAGAGGGTCTTTCCCTGCATCATCCAATCACAGATCTGGACCAACAAGTGGCAATCGAAGAGGTGGAGGGGGTACACCTGGATTTTTATCTAGGCCTGGGGGTGGGGCTGGTGCCCCGAGAGGGGGAACGAAAAGAACATCAGGTGGACAAAAGAAAACTTATTCCACCTCGTCCAGCAGCAGTATGGACAGTGGCTATTCTGGTTCAACTTCTAACAGGTAAGTTTTTTTTTTAATTTGCTCAAAGCAAGGGTAAAAACTCTCCTCTGTGAGTAAGGGAGACTCATCTCTGAACAAAGTTTAAGGCGACCATCGCAATGCCAAGAAATACTGAACTGAAAGTATATATGGATTTATAGTTGTGCATTTCTAGACAGCGACTGCATTTCCTGACAGTGATTGCGTTGATCCCGCATATACAAGATTGATAACATGCTAACCAAACATCTGAATCTCATATAAATTACAAATATTTTTATAAAGGTTGAAATCATAGTACTGTGCTTTGATTAATACGCCTCATTCGTGACTTTGTTTGTTTGGTTTTAAATTATTTCGATAATAATTTCTGCTATAATTCCAATGTTTCCTTCTTCTAGCTCTGAAGCTGAGAACCAACCCTGCTGTAGATGTGGAATAAATGCTGTACAAAGGTGTGTTGAAATTACTTATTCTGGGTAAAATAAACTAGTCAGTCAATGCCAGTCTGGAAGAAAATTCAGTGGTCTCAAAATATAGCATTTTCTCATGCATCAGTAGATGCTTTTATCGAAAGGAACACATAGAAACAGTTGAAATGACTTCCTCCACTATCAAGTCCATGCATCTGAATACAAGTAACTGGCTGAACTAATTCCATACCCGACATCAACTGGTAACCGGACAAGAAGCCTTGCTTCGCCATATGATTAAGCTGACTTATCGGCTTTCCTCTACCCCAGGATACATATGGAAATCCTATCCCTATCTTAATTGAGATGTTATTTGGTTGAAGTCTTGAGATCTTTAAAAATATCTTTACTTTGATCAATAGACTGAAAGAGTAGCCTTGTCTTTATCTACAATCATACAACGTTTGTACAAATTTTTAGTCAACATTTTTAACACACGTTCAGTATTCCAATTTTAGAATTGATGGGCTTGCAAATTATCTGGTCTTTTCAAATTAAACTTTCATATTAAACATATTACGGTACCTTGTCTATCATTTTTGTTTCGACAAGTTTCTATGGTTTTCATTTTATTATGTTCCAAACTTTGTTTGCAGAACTGTTTTGAAAGATGGTCCAAATAAAGGAAGACAGTTCTATACTTGCGAAAAACCTCGAGATCAACAGTGTGGATTTTTTGAATGGTCAGATGCAGAATCTCGTAAGTTAATTATAAATCTTTATCAGGGTCAGCGAAGTTGATAATTTTTTTGTCAGAAAAACATGTCTAAATCACCTAATGTATATTAAAATTTTTGTATGACAAAATCGATGTTTATGCAGTATTTTAATTTTAATTAACCTGCTGTGGGCACGTTTTGATAAAAACTTGTTTATTTCTGTTATGTTCGTTTTTTTATCGTTAACATGATGCCAATTTAGAAGGCCAAAGTTCGTCTGGAGGCGCCAGAGGGTTATATAATGTAAGTAACAACAACACGAGAGGAAATCATAGCAGAGGAAGCGGAAGGAGCAGAAACTCGTCAACCACGTCACGGAAACCACCTACATGTAGTTTGTGCAAAGAACAAGGACATACAAAGAGATCTTGCCCTAACAAATGATTGCAGTTCGAGTTCCCAATCTGCCATTTTTCTGCCAAGTACCTTCACTTGCAGATTGCCTATAACTTACGTCCTTTTTCTTCCATAAGTACATATGAAACATTCGTATTTCACTGTGATTTTTCGTTGCTTAATATTTCCTTGCACCCTGTTTCTTATGTGAAAGTATGTACTTGTTGAAAATGACAAATGCCAGTATGAAGATGTTTCTAACAGAAAGTTGTTATATTAATTAAACACGGCTAGCCATTTCTTAGCTATTTTATGTTTACTTGTTCTTTTATATTCAATGATTCAAGGCTAATTTTAGCACAATTTTGTTTCTTGTAATTTGTATTGGAAATTCTGTGGGAAATGATAAAGACTACCAGTTTAAACTGTAAGATGGAGCACTATATTTCCAGAGAGTATGATTGAATTTTGCTGTGCGTACAGTTTGTTTTATAGACTTTTGTTTTTTACGAAGTTTAGATTTGTAAATGAAAAATCTTCCACATAATAAAACACAGTTAATACATTGATTTTGTCCAACCCCTAAAATATTCCTTTGTGTTAAATTGAGGTTTAAATGAAATTAAATCATATTCCGCAGTTAGCCGTGCATTAACTAAATTGTTGCACAAATTCACAGTAATAAAATAGATGTAATACAGTTTTGACATGCATATCACAGTATCCTTTTACAGTCTCACTGCCAAAATGTTGGATGCTGCCGACAATAAAATCGGCATCCACGACTGTAACTGCCACTATTATCGATCGTAACGACTGCAAGTCAGCCGGCCAACTCGACGATCTACGTTTCGCCGCATGTGGCGCAAATGGGTATACCCATGAAAACAGGCTTCTGTTGAATTGAACTCTGAGTCCAACACTGGTTTTTACCAAAGGTAGAAACACACAGGAAACAATGATACCGATTTCCATATTCTTTTCGAACTATATCGTTTTTTAGTTAGGTATAGCGGGTATATATTGTTAAAATATATTAGTTCGTATTGGCCAACCTATTAATGGTTAATAGTTCGTCAACCATAGCTGGCAAGCACCATAGTCATTTAAAAGATGACCTTGGAAGAGAGTAAACTCTTGGAGTATTCCAAAACTCACAATCGTACCTGGCAACAATACCTCTTCAAGTTAATTTTAGTATTATGGGTATGATTTATTCATTTAAATACTTCTACTATTTTCAAATATTTCACTTACACCGCTACAAATTTTACACGCTCACACGTTTTATACAGTTGCCAATTAAATTTTTATACACAAACCTCCGTAAACGCGACAATCGCCTAAATTTATCACATAAAATTTCTTGCGTGTAGTTATTTTGATAAGAATCTTTACGTAATAGGCAATTCTTGCTCCTCGCCACATATTTTTGTTGTCGTTGAGGTTATTTTCCCCTTCAATTATATATAGCCTTTTATCCAACAAAAATCTCGCCGATCCTTTTTCATGTATTGTCGGTGTCAAGTTGATCTCTCGTTGCGGTTCGTTAGTAACCACGATTGCTCGAGGGTGTTTGGATGATAAAACATACAAAAGCACGTTAAATTCTGCCAAACATGCTGCAAGATTTTGAGAAAGAAGTTGTAAAGTGACATTTTTCACGTTTATCACAATGTTAGATAATAACAAACAACAAAAAAACTATCATATATATATAAAAGATGGATTATACAACCACTGCGATATTCGTTTACTACGATCACGCAGAAGAATATTTGGACCTTCTGACGTATGCGTACCAAGATGGCGCACAACCTCAACTTAGGTCGTGTACCAGGTTGGGGTTCAGGTTGTGCGACATCTTGGTGCGCATACTTAAGGAGTACCGAATATTTAGTAAAGTAAGACAGACAATTCTTAAGGTCACCGTGCTGTAAATATTGGCGGTAAATTTGCGTTTTATAAACCATATATAATTTCTTATCGATTTTAACGATGTGTAACACATTTTTTGATATTTAAATTTTCGAAAAAACAGCGCATATGTTGTCCCTTTCGCGCGATCGATTATATTAATGAGGATTAAGATAAAATTAATATCACTAAAATTTACCACAGGTTATCGCCAAATCGAAAATGTTGCTAAAAAAAAGCTTAACAATCACCGTCTGAGATCTCAGGAGTTAAATAGAAGTTAGGGTTAATTGCGTTGACAGCTAGTTATGCATATGAATTAAAAAAACATGGTGATCAGCGTCGGACCGCTAAATTATTGGCTGATTTGGTCTTGCAGTATTTAGTGAATGATAAATAGAAATGGAAAAGGCTTATGTTCGGCTTGCTTTTTGGGGATCGCTACTTAGATTGTATCCTAGTTTCGAAGAATTTTAAATTAATTGGTCATTGAAATCAGTGGAAGAATCACGTGTGTGCTTAAAACAACAGCTTGACATAAACGCCATTTATCTTACTGACGGGGCTGTAATAGGTATAGTGCATTTAGCATTAAAAGAAAACTTACTATAGGTGAGGTGAAATTCATAGATGATTGACATGCAACAAAGACTATCATGCATTATGCTATAACAATCATAGCTGTAAGTTATCAACTTTTCATTTAAAAGAAAGACACACCGACCTAAACACTTATGCGCCGGTAGCCGCCTCGGGTAAGCTAATTTAAATTGTCACTTGTAATTGTCGTTGATGTGACTTCTCAGTTGCCAGATTGAACAGGAATATTAAATATTATCTCATGCAGTCTTTCTGTAATACATGCGGTTATTCAACAACACGACAAAATGCAAAGTATTGTTGCGTTGTTTTTGATTTACTGCGCTGGGGAAGCTTTAGCATTGAGGCGTGAATATTATATTGCAATGGAAGAAATAGTCTGGAGTTACAACGGTCCCGAATCCAGGTAACGATTAGGCTTGATAGGCCGTTGCAATTATCAATAAAATAGAATCTCCTGATAATACACATCTAGCACCGAACCGTAACATGCTTGAGCGTCAAAATCCCGAGTAATCGATCAGAAATTGCGTTATTGAAGTAATTATTGCTGGACAAGACTTACGTACTTAAAAATTGGTGTTTATTTAGTATATTAAGGAGAAAATATTTATTTTTGCTACATTTGAATGAGTTTCAATCGCAGTAATTTGTTTACAAATTTTTCCGTTCATGAAATTTACTACAAATTCTTCAGTCCATTCTTCAAGCGACCTGGGCCAACGAGGATTGGAGGAGACTTCAAAAAAGCAGTTTTTCGCCAATACACCGATTCAACATTCAGAACTCGAAGTCCGAGACCGAAGTCATTGGGATTATATGGTCCTTTTATTAGAGCTGAGGTATGACTTTGATTTGCAAGTGATTGGTTATAAAATATCTCTTCAATGTACAAAGAAGGTCTTTGATTAAAACAATTTTTTTTTCGCGAAAAATGATTCGGCATCTTTATTTTAAGTTTTATTTCACTAGTAAGTTGTGCCCACACAACAATATAGCTGAAATTAGTATTTATATCCAGGTAAAAGACACAATAGTTGTTCACGCTTTTAACCGAGCCTCCCGACCATATAGCATTCATCCACATGGCGTTTTTTACAAGAAATCCAGTGAGGGAGCGTTGTACTCGGACAACACAACATCCTCAGATAAAGTCGATGACACGATTCCACCCGGAGGAAAACATAAATACATCTGGGAAGTTAGAGACGAGTATGTAAAGCTGAATTTATTGCTATAAATTAATATTAAAATCACTTTTACACTATAATATAGAAGGCAAGAAGAAGTTGATAGGACGTTATTTTGTGAGGGTGCATTTGTGGTAGTTAGGGACGATGGCATGGGTTGAATCGTTATGCTTGACTATGTTGGAATCGGAGTTTCTACATCTTGACTTCAAATCCCATGTTCCCCACCTCACCCAAAGTGTCGTAAAATACGTTTGAAGATTCCGGTTCGTCCAAATAAAAGCAGCTTCTTACACATCGTCATATATCTTGTGCTTGTTGTACATAGCTGTGTTTGGAGAGGAATGGGCGTGCCCATTTATGGCTGAAAATATTCAAAATTGCGTTCTATATTCACTTAAATTTTATAGATATGCTCCCGGACCGGATGATCCAAGCTGCCTCACTTGGGCTTATCATTCTCATGTCCACGCCTCAAGAGATCAGAATACTGGCTTAATCGGAACTCTACTCACATGCAAGAAAGGTATGACCCATATCGCGTGTAAAATCAAAAGTATGCCCAATTTTATCAAATCCGTCATTTTACTGTTATGATATAATGGGTTACTATGATATTTTACAATACCATTTTTGAAAATTGAAACCTTTATCAAGCCCACCATTATGGCAAATTATTTTCTGGTGTCATTACATATTATTATATGTAGGCCAATACTTTTTCGATAAGCGTTGAAACTTAACTTCCGATATTGAAAATTGTCTGGTTCTTATTTTTGAGTTCCATAAACTAAATACCTCACAAAATTGATCACAAAAACCACAAATTACTTTTGTTTAAAACTATTGTCAAACTAATCCATATGATTTTTTAAATTTTGACTTTTTCAAATCTGAACTTGAAATCTGAATCTGTCTGTGATTAATTTGGTTAGGACAAAACCCCTATATGCGAAACTCCTTTTTTTGCCATCAAATACTTCTTGGCTTGGATTGGCCATCGCCCCTACATAATTTTTTCTTAATTTCTAAATTCTCATATTGCGTGGGGCGGGCGAGGCTGTAAATTAAATTGTATCTTGATTGACAGTGTTTACGCGACGGTTTCTATCAATTTGTTTATATGAAATTACACTTTAGCCTTTAAGATATATATTGAATCAGAAAAGTATGATATATTTTTAACACAATTGATGCGAATATGGTTATTGAACAATTTGTTTTGTTATATTATGAATATAGTACATTACATGATACTTATATCAAAGATTACGGATTTAAATGTTAATGTTAGTAATTTATTCTTGTGGTGTGGTATTGTATCTCAAAGACAAATCTACGCTAAAATATACAGTTGATATAGACAAATATTTTTTACCCCAAATTGCCAGAGTTTCTTGAAAATTGCCCTCGTCCGTACAACATTCAAATGGTCACATAGAGTTCAGGTTACATTTTAATCGACATTTAAATCTCGTTTAGCACTTACTCAAGTTCATGTTCATGTCAAATTATAACTAATTTTATCTTACGCCCTCGGGTACGACTGTGCGACGGTCAAGTTTACTCTTTAAATAATCGTGACATTTACATGTCTACTATGTCCTATTTTATCCTTACAATGTCGAGCAATATAATAAAAAAAAGTTAAAAATAGTTGTCTTGGAAAGTGGGAACATCTATTGATACTATAAAATATGATGATTTATCGTCCTCGTGAGATATTGGGCTATTTTGGATACTTTTTACGCCTATTAAAAAAAGTAGCATAAAACGAATATCATACACGATATATTCAAACTTGAGTTATTGAACACGAAATGTAAATATAGATCGTTATATTATTATTATATTGTCGTTGTTGTTCTTCTTGTTGTTGGTATTTTTTGATCGCCTGCAATGGCTAGGACGATCTACAAGTGAAACGGACCGTTTTTCTTTAGTGCCAAATGACTTTGTTACGATCATTATGCAGTGATGATAATGATAATAAATTCAACAGTAAATGGTCCGTGAAAATTAGAATACGACCTGTTGTCAAAATTTACAGAAAAAAAGTACTTGACTTTAATAAATATTTTTAAGTCTGTATATTTGTTTTCAAATTCAGGAACATTGACATCCGCGGGACATCGTACTGATGTAGATCGTGAATTTGCTGCCATTGTTTTTATTATTGACGAAAATGAAAGTTGGTACATTGACGAAAATATTAAGGCAAGAAGATAATTCAGTATTAATATGTTCAAATTATAAGTTTCATTCGAGCTTTACATGTTAATGCAATAAAACAGGAGGACTGCATTATACACATGTTTTATGAAGTTCATAGATAACTTCAAAAATTTATATGCTTATGATCAAATAGACGAAGTATTACGACGAAGTTGTGTTTCCATTCAATTTTTATTTTTGTGCAAACAATCAAATCAATTTAGTTAATAACTGTTTTAGCTTCGCGTTCAAGGACCTTTACAAAGGATAATATTTAATTGTATTTTCTGAAGCCTGTTCTGAGAAGGTGATACCTAAACCTTTTTTCACGGAACCTATCACATGAAAACATTGCCCAAACTTTTATCGTGATATTTCTAACCAATCTTTTTATTCGAATTTTCAGAATTACACTTTGCAGCCAGATAGTGTGGATAAAAAAGATCCAGATTTTATTGAAAGCAATTTGTTCTATTCTGTGAATGGACATACTTTTCTAACACTTTCGACTGAAATGTGCAAGGGTGATTTGGTGCACTGGCATATTATTGGAATGGGATCAGATCTACATACAATGCAATTCACTGGGAATTCGGTAATATAATGTACTGCTTATAACTCTTATTATACGTTGCGCAACTGTTGCTGAATCCCACCTGTAGAGTCACATTGTAATACGTAACATAATATCAATTGAATACATGTATGATAATATTATATGATTACGAAGTCTTAGCAAGCTCAAGATTTCTACCTTCGGTGCCAATAATGTTTATTCAGATAGAGCTCTTTGACATACAAACTTAAACAAATAATGTCATGGCTTTTTGAGTGATTAAAGTTTATTGAGTTCCTCTGAGTATGGTCAAAAGCACTGACTCGATTGTGTAAGTGCAAGAAATATGATATCGCTAAATGTTATGGGTTTAACCGCGATTTGAATATAAATTAAAATAGATGATACTTTATAATCTCCACGAAATTCGGATAGTTTGATTTGGTCTTGTATAGGAACAACAATATAACAAGATGATTGTTTTCGTTATGCTAATTCTGCCACATTTCGATAATTTTTGATTGCCGCAGACAGTCTATTTCAATAGAGAGAATGAAATTATTTCAGCGGCGTCGTTTCAAATGTTGGAAATTTTTTTCATCAGGTGATAATCAATGGACATCGCGAAGATACTGCGACTTTGTTCCCGGCAACATTTACGACAGCAATTATGAGACCCGATAATCCTGGCAAATGGCTTTTTGGATGTCACGTGTCACACCATGCTTCCGGCGGTAAGTTTTATTGGACACGTCAGTGGACATAACGATCGTTTCAATATTATGTTGTTGTTCTTATTCTTGTTCTTTGACACGTTATGAAAAAGTCGCTTTTCTCTCTGATTACTGGACCAATTGCTTTGAAATTTTTAATGAATAAAGATTATATTTTTCACTCGGAGGCTATTATTATTTTTTTGCATGACGCCTATAAAATTGGCCACTATGTGGCGCTACGTGTCCATATATTTGAGCATAGCTCTCTTATTTCCACCAAGGCCTCTGTAATTGTTATATTCGTGAGAAGAATTACGTTTCTGCATATTTGCGACATCTCGAGTATATATTTAAATTTTATGGACATTTGAAATACACGTCAGTTCAAGATATTTGTAGTTTATTTTAGCGGACATGCCAGGTATATGTCGAAAAAGTGTCAATACAGAGCAATTCTTTTCATTTTATATTCTTTGGTGTCCGATTCAAAAGGGTCCACAATTATTTTAGGAATGGTGATGGGATATGAAGTGCACGATAAGTGTGGACCTTCATTTGGGGCAGAATTTGGAAAAGGCTTAGGAAGTGTTGGCGACACCATTCGGACATATTATGTCGCAGCAGAAGAAGTGGAATGGAATTATGCCCCAACTGGAATGAATATGTTCAGACAAAAACCAATTGCAGAAGATGGACAGTAAGATACCAACTTGTAGTATAATCATAAAAATACCGCATTATCGTGTTAATCCTGGGTTATCTAACAAATTACTTTTTGTTGAGGGATCGGGACTTTGAGTTCAAAAATTCTGAACTGACCCATACGTAGTTATGATCTAAAACCGCAGCAAAACCAATTTAAATTCTTTCAGGTACAGTCATGAATATTTTAGGAAAGGCCCAGATAGAATAGGAGGAATCTATATCAAGGCGGTTTATAAAGAATACACTGATGATACATTTCAAGTAGAAATGGAACGTGATCCTGTAATGGGAATCCTTGGTCCTGTTATTTATGCCGAAGTTGGGGAAACAATACATGTTGTATTTAAAAACAAGGCTAATCGGGTGAGAATGCCAACACATATTATTTTGTTTTATTAATTATATGGATTTTGAATTGAGATTATCTGATCTGAATTTAGCTAAACGATTCACATGTTAACTTGTTGTTCAATATTTCCCATCGTTTTGTACACAGGTCTATGAGATTGAACCACACGGGGTTTTCTTCAATAGCACAGTAAAAGTTGAACCAGGAAAGACTCACACATATGTGCGGTAAGTATAATTAATATAAATAATTTTTTGTTTTATACGGAATTGTTGTTTTTAAAATGGAAAACCATTAAAGTAACTGTTCTATAGAGAACAAATTTAGTAACTTGTAGTTGCTGTAGGTCTGATACATTTTACTGATTACCCCAGGCCTGTACCAGACAGAGTATCGCCACTCGAAAAAGATGACAACTGTGTTACACATGCGTATGCGTCGATGGCCACTATCGATGTTGACCAACATACCGGACTGGTCGGCCCCATCGTGATTTGCAAAAGAGGTAAAGAAAATTGATATCACAATTGTTGATATACTCATGACTTATCGCAAATAGAATATTTCAGATTTATTATTTTATATTGTGAAGTGATTTTCTTCTTTTAATAGTCTTGATTTTCAATTATATAAAAATTCCTATTCTAAGGAAAATCGGAGATAATTTGATATATGATTTTTAGCATCGATATAAACTTTGGAAAACGCTGTTGAAATCGCATCTATTCACAACTGTCATTTATTTAAACAAAACAATTACACTTTAGTATTTCCATAATTGTATGATGTTTATCATGTAATACTTCCCGCATTCATTATTGGCTATTCATTTTGAAGTGGTAACTGAAAGGCATATCCGTTTCATAGGAATTTTATCACATGACCAATCATTCTATTGTTTCGTGCGTTTTTTCTAGCTTATTATTAAAACCTGTTCTTTCTTTAAATGTGAATGATACCGTGACTGGTGTAGCTTATTATACCAAAAACAGTTTTAAAGAGGGATCAATATCCGTGAAATGCTATCACAGGTATGTTAGCAGACGAAATGAAGAAAACAGTATATTACATGTTGTTGGCAACGTTTGACGAAAACGAGAGCCCGTATCTACAACAAAATATTGATGCTTTCGCTGGAGATCCTTCATCGGTTGATAAAGATGATGAAGATTTCAAGGAATCAAATAGAATGAGATGTGGGTATTAAAAATAGATTACAAGTCAATTGCTGATTTGATACTAGACACCGTCGGTGTTGTAAGAATGATCTTGGTAACTTAACAAAGTAATTTATATTAAAGTCATAGCCATAGTCAACGTCGGCATAGTGCTCCGTTGTGGGAAGCGCATGTGGCACAACGTTATTTCATCACTTCAGTGAAATAGTCTTCAATGGAAATCGAAAAATGATGCATTATGTTTTTAACGTAAATTAAAGAAAAAATGATAAATTATTGTGAAATTGGAAGATCTTCAGAATTCCATGTTTTGTTTTATCAGCGATTAATGGTTTGACGTTTGGGAATATTCTTGGAGTGCAGTTGTGCACTGAACAGTATACCGATATTCGTTTATTATCTATTGGTTCTGATCTGAATAACCATGCCTTCATATTGGACGGAGCTGCAATGAAAACTAGGTGATTTTATCTTAATTCGTATCTCAAATAAAAAAAACTTTTTAGAATTTTGGAATGAGTTTTTGTTCGTATAGAAATCGTCTCTAAAACGATAAATAGAAATGAAATATAACACGATGGGGTCTCCGTTTGAAGTTTGATGATATCCGGTGACGCATACTTAGTATTTGGATATATGTATTTTGATTGGTTATGAAACAAGTTTCCCTTGTTTTGTTATCGTAGCTTTTGGATGGACTATTTTTTATATATATTCAAATCCATTCTTGTGTTTAAGAAATGAATACACGGGCATGGCTGGAGTATTCCCTCACGTAATCACAACGGTAAGTGTATACCCCTATGAACCTGGTGTAACGTTGTATGGATGTCACGTATCAAACCACGGAAAAGGAATGCTTGGTTTTTATGAGGTAACCTACATCCTACATACATTCCTAATTGTTGTTAGAATTCTTTTTCATTTTTGTTGTTTAGAAAGAGCGCTTTTCTCGTTATCTAGTAGACGAATTGCTTTGATTTTTCATTGATAAAAGATTGTAGCGTGTTGTTACTTTTACTTGTTTTGAAAAACTCTGTTGGCTCTATGGGATTTTTTTAGTGTGTGCGATGACGGCATCGAAATAAAAAATTGCGCATCTTGTGGCGGTTCCACGTTCGCGTTATTGATTTGATTGCCAAAATCATGAAGATTGCGGTCTGCTGTGACAGATTGTATACCCCTATAACTTCGCTTTGCGTTCGTGCCCATATATTTGAGCACTTCTCTCTTGTTTGAAAATGTCATACTTTTGGGTAAAACAACGATCCTTCTTAAGCCAATGAGTAATTAAAAATATATAATTAATCCCTTTCTGAGAGACTCTTTCCGAATCGCTTGGCGTTAACAATTGTTCCAATAGTTGTCTCAGAAATAACAATTTAGCGAAGATTTTTGAAACCGATAGTAAACGTTTTCTGTAATCTAATTCTTAATCTTCTTCTTACCACGTTAATATAACCTGATTAACTTGTGAGCCAATAAAAAAAAATTACAGTGTCTGTTTATTTTCTACAAGTCAAAATACTGCAGTGACCCGAAGCCAAAATTCCAGCCTTCTGCTAAACGGACAATTTATCTCGGCATTGTTGAGGAAATTTGGGATTATCTTCCTCGTAGATTCGATCATAAAGGAAATTCTGTTGATGATCCAGAGCATATCGCTTATTTATATGCTCACCAGGAGAATGGAAAATACATAGGTTGGATTTTGATTTCAATTTTAGTCTAAGTTTAATTCATTACAGTAATGTGGTGGTTTCGCAATTACCATGAATATGTAGATGAGAATATGAAGTTTATGAAAAACCCTAGGGCTTTGGGCGAAAGAATATTGAAAGCGCAAGCGACAACACAAGGCAGGCTGGAGTATCAGCTTTTAACTTCTTTATAGATACACTATAACACTATTGTAAATTATATATAATTTACATTAAACGAAATATTTCATCAGTTCAATTTGATATATTTTCAAAGGATCAAAGTATAAAAAGTCTATTTTCTACGAATATACGGATGCCACATTCACAGTTCGAAAACCAAAACCAAAGCATCTTGGATTCGAAGGACCTATCTTGAAAATGGAAATCGGCGATGAAATAAAGGTGAAATGATACAATTTGTCGCTTTTCCCTTTCTAACAAATAACAAATTTATCCGAGGGTTATCGTTATGATCGAACTTGAATATATTTCAAAGGTTGTTTTTAAAAATATGGCAACTATTACGTTCAATGTACAAGCCATCGGGATACATGTGGCTGGAGTCATGCAAGGTCCTGTACCACCCGCTAAGCCAGGAGAAACCGTGACGTATACGTGGCAGGTTAGAATTTATAGTAAACACTTATTTTGTATAAAGTCCACGATTTTGCCTGTTTTAAGCGTTTTCCGATGGGCTATTGTATAGGCTACTCATAAAAATAATACACGAGTGGATTTTTGATTCCGTAAATTGATTTCATAGTATGACGTAATTTTGCTATTTTATTTCATTACTGAAATATGAATTTGTTGATTTATGAGTCGGCTAATAACAATTCGTTACCACAACCATAGGCCTGTTTTTAACCATCATTTTCTGATTTCGGTTTGAATAAAATGTACGTTTATTTTATGTATTATAATGTTTAAAAAAAATATTACGATACAGGTAAGACCGGAGTTGGCTCCAAATCCGGATCAACCTGATTGCTTCGCAAGTGCCTATCTTTCTTTCGTTGACTTCAGAAGAGATGCCTACAGTGGTGCTAGAGGACCCATGGTCATATGTAGAAAAGGTGCGGAAGCTTTTATGTTCAAAATCCTTTCATTCTAATTTACTTAGAGATTCAGAAACAAGATTTAATATGCTTCCAGGAACTTTGAATCAAAAGGAAGGAGGAATGGCAGATAAAGAATTTTCTTTATTATTTTACATTACTGATGAAAATTTGAGTCATTATGTTGATGAGAATATTCGTGAATTTGCAAAGGCTGATCCAGGAACATTTAATAAAAAAGATAAATCTTTTGTGGAAAGTAACAAAATGAATCGTAAGTAAACGACTTTATTTTATTACTTCAATTGTTACACATTTATGAAGGCATGGTATATGATGAAGACATATCAGTGTATTACATAGTCCAGTAGCCTATGCCAAAATCAATCGAACACTTTGTGTGTACTTTAAGATATTAATGGATATATGTATCATGTTCCCGAATTGAATATGAAGAGAGGGGAACTTGTGAGATGGCATTTGTTTGCAGAGGGAGAAGAAGACATTCATTCGATTCATTTCCATGCTAACGCATTTGTACACCAGTAAGTTTATTTAAAAATTAACGCAACGTAAACGCAGTCTGCTACTAAATACGTATTTTGTATTACGCTGCTAAAATAATGTAAATAAAATTTGATCAAATAAATAATTTTTCATGACATATGTCTACGATTCATAGTTCCAATGCAGAAAACAAAGGCGATGTGTTTAATTTGTATACTGGACGGTATTCTACACTCTTAATGCGACCGGATGCTGTCGGTGAATGGCTTCTACATTGCCATGTTAATACTCACGTAGATATTGGAATGGTTACAACATACACTGTTCACGACCAGACAGGTAAAAAGCAAAACTGTTATATTTTCACATTTATCCTTATCTACCATTGAATTCAGACACTCTCGTCAAGTAAAACCTATATTTTATTATAGACAACTCAATGCAATAAAGCTTCAATATCTTTTGCAGCTATCTGTAAGCCGAAATGTAGTCCATATCGATGTGATTCCAATTCTCATATCGATTGTTCTCTTCTCGGTATTGGCAAAACATCTCATTTATTGAGCGACAAGCTTCAGGTGAAAGTTAAGTTTGCAGAAGACGTTATTTTTGTACCCGCATCCAGCATTACTCAGTTAGACTTAAGTCACAATATGGCTCTTGGTGACGTTAAGATATTGAAAAGAACTCTGTCATATTTTCCACGACTCCACACTCTTTGGCTTAAAAACATAAATCTTATGAACCTACCAGGAGATCTCTTCGACGAAAACAAATTCCTAAGGGTAGTGCACCTCCAGAACAATCGTATCCAATACTTTCCAGGACGGTACGCCCGCCCTACCGGAAAAATTGAAGTATTGGATCTTAGAAACAATGACGTCAAGTCAGTGTCACCAAATGTGCTTGTAGGACGAGGTAGACGATTGAAAAGATTAGATTTGCGCGGAAACAACGAGCTTACACCTGAGTGTATGAACGCTCTCCATATCGACTGGCGTATGATGAAATTCTGTGCAGCGAGTGACAAGTTCGAAGGGATTCCGAAGTCTGGATGATATGTATCATGTTGCTGATAATTATCATTTCAATAACAGTGCATGCTACTGTTAGTTTATGCGTAAATATGGGGAAATATGGGGTATTTGCAGCTATTGATTTCTTTCCGCTTTTTTATTAATAATCTACAATGCATTTTGTGTTTTTATTATTTTATACGCATGTCTGCCAAATTTCAATTGTGCCGATATGTTTTAAAATTCGGGTATAAATCAAATAATTCAGGGATCTCAATTTAGTTGCAGTAAAAATGTAATGGTTATATATAATAAATTGAAAAACACATCATCGCTTATTACTGCTATCTAGCCAACTAACGAACTGAATTTCTATGTTCAAGAAGATCAAAAAGTAACTCAGAAATAATTTAATGGGACATATACATATTTGCCAGCTTTTTTTACAATAAAGATTTAGTTATTATGCAGAGCACGCATCACATCTAGCGCCAGTGAGGCCTTGGTAGCAAGAACAGTAAACAAAATCAGGTGCGACTTCTGTCAATACATCATTTATTGTGTCTTCGTCCTGCACTTCACTCAGTAACTCTTCAAACTTAAGAAGATAACCTTCAAGTTTCAGAATCTGGTTGGCGCCCAAACCAAATGACCCTTGACCGTTGTCAAGAACGCTGTCAACTTCATCTTGCAATTGATCAGTATCCGTAGCTAACTGTAAAAGAGTTTGCATAAAAATAGAATGCAAATTAGAATAAACAGAATTTGAGTTAGGAAAACAAACTTATAACTGAATTATGAATCTCGAAAATTACAGTAGGTGATCGGAATTGGTATTTTCTTGAGCGTAAGGTATCTTAAATAAACGTAGCTGATGATCAAACAAATATATAAGGTCGGAAAGGGCCTTTGTTTATTTCTTCCAATGAATTCTTCATAACATGAGGCTTTCTCTCTTTATTTTTTTTTTCAATTTTCATTCATTTAGCTTTCTGCCATCACAATGAAATAATAATTGAGATTACTCGATTTGTCAATAGATAGAAAACACTTTGGAAATACATTGTGGGAATCTGTGAAGCATTAGACTAATGCCTCCTTGCGATTACGTAACATACGACATTTGAGACTGCTTTATCTTTGTAAACTTCCAAAATACAATCCAGATGTGCAACAGTTTTTTTTGGAAATATTGTGTTTGAAAAATAAATTGCTAATTTGAAATACACGCATGATCGATTGTTCTAGTAGTCAGAGTTCCGTATTATTGGCATGTGTTTTGTACGTGTATCAGCACGTCTCAAATTTTCAGTAATTTACCAGTAATTTACCGATTTTAGTTAGAAATATACTACATACTTGTGTATTCAAAATTTGTATCATTTTTTGAGCCATTACATCAACACCAGTTTCGATTTGCTCATTACTAAGATCTAAAGTCAAACATTCTCCTCCATTCATACATCCCATCGAACTACAGAAAAACTGAGCAACGTAAAAATCTAACTCCTCCATTTCAAGTGCGTAGTGCTCTTGTTGGGTCTCTATTTGAAAAAAAAGACAGATTTACATGGATAACAACAACAATTCGTAACATAAACAAAATTATTTTCTTAATCGTGAAACCTTGTTTTAGTTTGACTGGATTGAAGCAAAAATAACAAATACCTAATCAAACGCAAGTAAAAGTTTATAAATATTGTCTGCTGGGTTATTGCTAAATCTAAAAAGGTGCCTCTATCCGAAGAACAAAAATATCACCTTTCGTTTAATATTAAATTAGAATTATCAAAAGAAGAAATCAAACCGTTTTCTGTTTTATTGGTAAATTTGTGAAATTTGAGATTGAAATGTTTATTGGACGCAACAAAAGCTAATTTGAATATTAGAAAATAACAAGAGAGCTATGCTCAAATATATGGACACGGAGCGCCACCTAGCGACAATGTTTGAAGACGTCATAGCACACACAAAAACGAATCTCATACAGGCCACCGGAATATTTGAAATAAATAAAAGTAATAGCCTTCTAGCAAACAATTTTATCTTCAACCAATGAAAATTTCAGAGCAATTGGTCCAGTAATCAAAGAGAAAAGCGATTTTTCAATATCGACAAGAAGAAGAATAACATGATGAAGGACAACAACAACATGCAAACAAAACAATCGTTATGTTCACTAACGTGTCTAATTCGCTATTCCGCGATTTATAATTACTCGACTTTTATTATGCCGAAACTTATGATGGAATTTATTTAATATTCAATCAGTCTACAATACGTACCAACGCTGCTATGTTCAACATCGTCAATATATGTAAGACCGTATATTTGTAACTCTTCCACAACTGATTGCAAACATTCTATTTTTTTCGTCTTACTGAAACCTTAAATGAAATATACACATAACATTAAAATATTCTAGTGAGTTTGAAGAGCCTTTTCTCGGGAAATTGCACAAAGAAAAATTAAATCAAGAGATAATTTTACTGCAATTTGATGTCATTATATTTCCATGTTATTTATATTTATATCAAGCCATTATTTATCACAGAAATTGTTATTCAGTCGAATTAGAGAAATAATGATCATCAGATTAGACCAATAGCCTCCCCAATCGGTTTGCTTCTTCTTCTCAGTACCTGTGGCCATTCTACTACAAAGTTACCAAAAATATACCAAAAGTAAAGTGTTCAGAAATAATCTAATGTAATTGATAGTATCAAATAGTGAAAGTTCACATCTATGAAGTCACGCAAGCGATGACTTTAATATTTTTAGTTAGAAAAAAGAAGTATACGGTTCACGGAAAAAGCATTTTTATAGGTTTGCCTAAATATAATACTCACTTGATATGTCGCACTTAACAAGATTATAACCATTTGTTGATTGTGTGTAAAAAAGCTGTAGCATGACAGTCAATAATCTAATTCTATAGTCCATAATGCAAGGAAGAGTCTAATTAAAATGCTATCACTTGAAAATTCAAAGTATAATGATATTTCAAACTTGCCCAGAAACGAAATTTTGAATCTGCGCCAACGTTATTCCGTGATAATCATACTTCCGATAATAAATGGATATTCGCGTTACCTGAACGCATATCCTATGGTGCTCAAATGTAATCTGTAAAATACACATACATTTCCAGGGATTTGTTAATTGCCTAATTATAATTTCAATACACTAACTAGATTTGAGTGATTGTCTTCAATTTATATTTTATGTAATTGTGTATTATTTTTACATTTCTGTTTCTCGAGATCACGTTAATTTTAACCTATTTTGTAACAACTTATTTTTCGTTGCGTTCAATTCGAACTAGAAAGTTAACTATATTCTATTCACTCTAGGTTTACATGAGTTTTATATGATATATCGGAAATACAGTGAATATTATCACAATCAACATATTAATGGCAGAAAGATTATGAGGGTCATTATATTGTTCATTAGAAGATCTGTTGGCTCTGATATTTGAGTTAATTTTGAACCGTAACCTGTACATTTCCTCGCTGGATATTTTCGTGAACTTGCTCCATAAAAATCCTTCCCATACGTTACCACTGCAAAACTTTTGATGCTTATTGGAACAGTGTTTTCTCGAAATACTGTTTCATAACTATTATTTTTATTAAAATAAAATTACACATCATTCTCATTCGAAATTACTAATAGTCATTTGATAATTTGGTATAAAATCAGTCTTTTCTGGGTTAATTTGTGATTACTGCAATTAAACTAAATCTTAGAGAAAGCCATAATGATCATTGTATCATTTGATTTCTACCTCAAGTAATAACAACTAGCAAAACCGCGTACACGAGCTAATTTATTTATATCAGTAAATAGTTGTATCAGTGAAAAAAGCGATAGAGTACATTTGCATTTAACTATAATTTTGTCAAAATCATAGACTGTCATCTTACCAGGATCTTATTCACAGACTGGTCGTCTTCGTGCACGCATTGAGAGCTGAAATCTCATGCGTATCAGTAGTTAGGCAACAGAGTGTTTCAAATGTGCTAGATACGACTGCGACATTGCAACAAACCGGTTGAATTTTAGTTCATTTATTGAACACATCTCCGACGAGTGTTGTCAGAGATAAATTTGGAAATCGTGATATTCACTAACAGATGTATCGTGTTGACTCACTACACTCTCCTCAAACTCGTTCCATTTAAGTTCCAATTTTTATCATCCCTACATTGACTTAATGTTTGCTGCTCATCTCTGGTTAAAACACCTTGATCACACTAATTGCCCTCACCGAAGTCCACTTTATTTATTAGACAAATGTACTAAGATTTTCCCATTTCTCAACTTTGGCCTCGTGTAGAAGGCAGATGAAATTACATCTCTAATTTGGTGGAATGCTGCTAGATTTATGACTGAAAGTGTTTTTTACGTATGCCCACATTGACATTTTTAAACTCTGTTTTAATAGCAAAATATTTGTTTTTAACCAACGAGCCAGCTGGTAAAAAATAGTAACAATGTTGTTACAGTGAGCAACATGCTAGAATGAGTTTAAATATATTTTATTTTTGAATGTATATTTCACCAGAAAATATGTGGATAACATGATAACAGCACAAAGTTTAATGTTAATTAATTACAATAATTGCACTTTTACATAAATTTTAGAATCCCTTCAAATTTATCACTAGCGACACAGAATTTCATCGTGCGCCAGTCTACGTGGAGGTCATTCAGACATCTGGGGGTGAGATCGTTGTTTCCGCGCAAATCTAATCTTTTCAATCGTCTACCTCGTCCTACAAGCACATTTGGTGATACTGATTTTAATTTGTTATGTCTGAGATCCAACACTTCAATAGATCCTGTGGGGCGGCCATAACGTGGTAAGTATTGTATATGATTGTTTTGAAGATGCACTACTTTCAGAAGTTTATTTCCATCGAAGAGATCACCCGGTAGGTTCATCATGTTTACGTTGTTGAGCCAAAGAGTATGAAGTAATGGAAATTTCGATAAAGTCTTTTTCAATATTTCAACGTTACCGAGAGACGGGTTGTGACTCAAGTCTAACTGAGTAATACTGGATGCGGGTACAAAAATAACGCCTTCTTTTAATTGAACTTTCACTTGATACTTGTTGTTCAATAAATGCATTCTTTCGCCAATGCCGAGCAGAGAGCAATCGATATGCGTTTTGGAAGTACATATATATGAAATGCATATCGGCTTGCAAAGAGCTGTGAAATATATTAAACTTCGATTATGACGGGTTTCTATAATAAAATAGGAGTATTACAGCACCCCGGCATCTGTATAGTAATTCCTTTCAGTATAGTAAATGAATATATGCAAACAAAATGAATAGTTTTGCAAGTTACCTGTCTGGTCTTGAACAGTGTATGTTGTAACCATTCCAATATCTACGTGAGTATTAACATGACAATGTAGAAGCCATTCACCAACAGCATCCGGTCGCATTAAGAGTGTAGAATGCCGCCCAGTATATAAATCAAACACATCTCCTTTGTTTTCGGAGCTGGATCTAATGAGGATTAACATTGAATGATAGGAAGACGTGCATACCAGACTGTTTTATTTACGCTATCCAAAGACATGAGATTTTAATAAACTAACACAAGCATACAGATTATAATGGAAGATGAAATGAGTACAAAAGTAAACTCACTGGTGTACAAATGCGTTAGCGTGGAAATGAACAGCATGAATGTCTTCTTCTCCTTCTGCAAACAAATGCCATCTTACCAGTTCCCCTCTCTCCATATTCAATTCGGGAACATGATAGAGGAATCCATTGATATCTACATATGCATAGAAATGGTTTTTGTTTAATTGCTAATTTACTGATACGTGATCATATGTTATGTGGAAATAGGTAGGTATACTAATTGAAAACATTAAAATATTTTGCATCGTTTTTAAATTCTGAAAAATATATCTGAATATCTGATAGAAATGAATTTTCAACGTTAGAAAATCTCAAACAAATGTGTTCAATGTTCAAACAAATAAGTTCTTATAGATATGATTAGACAATAAATGTGTGATAATTGTGGTACAGTCTTAACAGTAATATAGTACAGTCGTTTACTTACGATTCATTCTGTTACTTTCCACAAAAGATTTATCTATTTTATTAAATATTTCTGGATCAGCTTTTGCAAAATCACGAATATTCTCATCAATATAATGACTCAAATTTTCATCAGTAATGTAAAATAATAAAGAGAACTCTTTATCTGCCATTCCTCCTTTCTTTTGGTTTAATGTCCCTGCAATGCAATTTGAACGGTGTCTCTGCATCGTTACATATATATATGTGTTGCAAGAGTTAACTTTTTTTACCTCGCCTACATATGACCATGGGTCCTCTAGCCCCACTGTAGACATCTCTTCTGAAATCAGCGATAGAATAATAGGCACTGGCGAAACAATCAGGTTGATCCGGATTCGGAGCAAACTCCGGTCTTACCTGTGTTGGATTGAATATTTGTAAAAGGATGCAATGCATAGAATAAATGTAAACGCAAACTCCAGTCAAGAATCTCAGGCATATTTGCGAATGCTAATTAGCCATTATAATATACTAAAATATATTTGAGTTAACACAATAAAATTATGCAAAACAAAAAGGTTGCTTTACGATTGTATTATAAATTCACACGCAGACTTCATTTTCACTTCACTTCATTTTTTAGATTTTGAAAGCAATTCAAATTAAGCTATATTCAAGCACGATGATGAGTTTGTTACAGATTTATTACGTTTACTATAAATTTATACCTGCCAAGTGTAGGTCACGGTTTTTCCTGGTTCGGCGGTTGGTACGGGACCTTGCATAATTCCGACGTAATACACACCGATTGGTAGCACATTGAACTTAATCGTTGCCATATTTTTGAAAACAACCTTTGAACAACACACCGTGTTATTGTTTTTTCGATAAAAAGCTGTCGATTTATCAAACTATATATAAAAGTAGGCAAATGTGATATAAAATGTTATCAAATGATTCACCTTCACTTCGTCACCGATTTCCATTTTTAAAATGGGTCCGTCGAATCCAAGATGCTTTGGCTTTGGTTTTCGAACAGTGAAGGAGTCATCGGTATATTCATAAAATATAGCTTTTTTATACCTTGATCCTGAAAATATCATTATTTTACATGAATTTTTGTTAGTAATGAGAAGATTAGATGTTATATTAGAAGTAAAATAAATACCAAAGACACGTACAAGCGGTTAATAATGTTAATAAGCATATAAGTGTCCCAAATCTATCGGTATTGCACAAAACAAAAACAAAATATAGCCAACTTTAGATACTTCAAGCAAAGATTTAAATTTAATTTAACCTATGTATTTTCCATTCTCCTGGTGAACATATAAATAAGCGAGATGTTCTGGATCATCAACAGAATTTCCTTTATGATCGAATCTACGAGGAAGATAATCCCAAACTTCTTCAACAATGCCGAGATAAATTGTTCGTTTACCAGAAGGCTGAAATTCTGGCTTCGGGTCACTGCAGTATTTTGACTTGAAGAAAATAGAAATATTTGTTAATAGTTTTGTTCTGAGAGGTTATGGTCGTAAAATTGGAGCAAAGTTTGGCCATCAGCCATTTCTCCTTTCTTTTCGTTTAATGTCCCTGCAATACGATTTGAACGGTGTCTCTGCATTGTTATATATATGCGTTACAAAAGGTGATTTTATACATAAAAATAGGTTCCTTATTCCGCCTACATATGACCATGGGTTCTCTAGCCCCATTATGAGTATCTTTCTTATTACACGAAGTTAATGTTTGAGATTTATTCCATTATGTGTAGGCTACTGTGACAGCGTTTTGAACCACTCTGAGTGGTGATCGTTCATGAACGTCGGTAGCTTAATGTTAGCAGTGGGAACTTACACAATTGTACTATTGAGCTGAACTTTCTTCCAAAATCGAAGTTGTTGCAAGATAACACGAACATAATACTTCTATTTATTTACCTCATAAAAAGAGACCATCCCATTGGTTCCATGGTTTGATACGTGACAACCATACACTGATACACCGGGCGCAAATGGGTATACACTCGTCGTGCTGATAACATGGGGGAAAACTCCAGTCATGCCAGTGTACTCGGTTCTTAAGAAAAAGCAACAAGAACTTCAACATTTAAACGTGGAACAAACAAAATTGAAAATCTTTCTAACATTATAAAGTTTTTAAATTATATTTCTAGCCACATAGAAATACCGCATAAAAAATTAATCAAAAAATCAAAAATTAATCAAAAAGGTTTTCAGTCTTCGCTCAATGAACATTTTGACGATAGGAAAAAGCAACTTCATTCAAATATCAAATCACACGTTATGTGTATTCAAAAATGTCAGGTTTTTAACCACGCCTTGTCACTCAATGTTTTCGTTTTTAGAATTAACAGCATAATATCGAAAAGGAAGATTTTTTTCCATATGCTCAGTCTCAAGTTATAACAAAATTTGTAATCACCTCGTTTTCCTTGCAGTTCCGTCTAATATGAAGGCATGATTATTCAGTTCAGAACCCAGAGATAATAAACGAATATCGGTATATTGTTCAGCGCACAACTGCACGCCAAGTAGATTTGCGAACGCCAACCCATTAATTGCTGATAAAAGATAATGAAAAGATAAGGAAAAACTTCCAATTTTAGAGGAACTGTAAAGTAAAATTTAAATTTTAAAATTTCCGTTAAAGATTCGTCAACTATTTCACAAGTGTGACTATGTGGGATATTTAACATTGTTCATTCCACGTTTTTTCATGTCGCCAAGTAGTGGTTCTATGACAAATAGTTTAGTTCATTGAACACGAAATGTATATATGGATCGTTTTGTTATGATGTCGTTGTTGTTCTTGTTCATGTTCAATTTTTTATCAATATTTGGCTTGTTATGAAATAAAATTCTTTTCAATTACTGGGCCAATTGCTTTCAAATTTTCCGTGGTTAAAAATTCCGTTTTTTGGTAGAAGGGTATTTAATATTTATTATTAGATAGTTATTTGATATTTTATTATTACAGCTATTATTTTTCATTTATTTCAAAAATTTATGTCGGTTCCATGTAGTTCGTTTTTCATGCAATGACGTGATCCAAATTACGTACTTTGTGGCGGTATTTTACTGTGATGGACAGCATACCTTTACTACTTCATTTTGACCTTTATGTCCATCTATTTGAGCATCGCTCTCTTATTCCTAATTAATAAACACAGATCTTTAATAAGCTACCATTTGAATCTTCTTTTACACTCTTTACTTTGCTATTGTTATCATGCCCTAAAAGTAAATGTTTTCCAACTCACATTGCATTCTATTTGATTCCTTGAAATCTTCATCATCTTTATCAATCGACGAAGGATCTCCGGCAAATTTATCAATACTTTGTTGAAGATACGGACTTTCGTTTTCGTCATACGTTGCCAACAACATGTAGTAAACTGTTTTCTTCATTTCATCTGCTAACGTCCCTTTTTTAGTATAATATGGAAGTAATATTTATTTTTCACTTCAATAACATTTGTTTTAACGTTAAAAAAATTGAACAGCACATACACCCGAAATAAAATAGGGACAAAAAGAACAAGAAGTGCGACGAAATACTCCCCAAATAGGTAGGCTATATTTGATATTAACCGAGTTGACTTATCAAATCGTTCAACTTCCTGAAAAGGGGAATTCAAAATATATCGTGGTCTGGAAATATATTATACAACATTAAGTTTTATCCAACTGTGTCAATGGTTAAGTAACGCAACTTCTCAATTTTAGGGCAAAATCATTTCTAAACTGCCGATTGTAATTTAGATTTGAATATTTCCTAGGAAATAGTTAAATTGGGGAACTAAATAAAAATCTTCAATGCATTTTCCTATAATCAATCACTAGTCGTTAAATATTTCTTATGGAGTATTTAATTCATCGGAAATTTTTTCGTTTTATTAATTAAACGATTGTATAAAGCGTGATAATAATTTGATAGTTTAATCTAAATCTTTAATCCTAATCTAAAGCGTGATAATAATTGACATTTTTTTACCTCTTTTGCAAATCACGATGGGGCCAACCAGTCCGGTATGTTGGTCAAGATTGATACTGGCTAATGACGTATACATATGTGTAATACAGTTGTCATCTTTTTCGAGAGGAGAAACTCTGCCTGGTACAGGCCTGAAGTTATTAATAAATTCATTACAGCAACATCTTCTTTATGAAGATAAATGCTTATTTTGGATCACAACATTTAGTTAATCAATTTTTTCCGTTTACTCCTAAATGTTTTATAGTGACCCCATGTTGATATCCAGACCACCATAGCATGGTATTGCGCTTCTAGTTAAATTTATTGAGGTGTTGCTGAAGTTTAATTTTTACGTAATTAAAATGGTAAAGTAAGTTACCTGCTTCAACCAACAGTTGTTTAATATTTGTTCAATATGTATTTTGTTCGCTTACCACACATAAGTGTAATTCTCTCCCGGCTTTACTGTCTGTTTTCTAAATGAGAAGACTCCATGAGGATCCATCTCATAGGTCTGTGTAAAATATATATATATAACAAGAGACCAATGCCTAAATATATGGACACGAAAAGCAAAACGAATCAAATTTTTCACAACAACGGTATTCTGATTACGAGATCACTGAGATGTAAGCAAGAAACCTCAATATGCGATGCATAATTTTGATGACTTCATCACACAAAACTTTGAAGTGAAAAAGAATCCTATAGAGACCACAAATATATTTCGTGTCCAATATTATCTAGGATATAACTACTTTCTGGCATGCCATTACTAGAGTTTAATACCATCACGATTTAAACCTATGTTTGAACGGGATACAATATTTCGTGGCATTGCTCTAGTAGGCCAAGAATTATTACTAGGTTGGTACATCTGGATACTGGAGTTAAATCAACAAAGATTTACTTTGATAAAACACGGAATCTGAGTATCCGAATCTTGGACGAATCATGCTCTTCTGCGGCCCTAAGCACGCAAGATTTTGGTTCCCTATATGTGCCTTTCAAAATATTAACATCATAAAGCACACACAATAATATTCATCAAAACTAAACAGTGAGAAAAATATTATTAATAATGTTTAAGTTTATTACTAATTGAGGGCCCAGGTATGATTAGTTTACATGATTTTTTGGAAATAGTTCTCATACATACAGACATTCATACAGAAGTTTAAGATGATACTTGAAAAGGGAAATTAAGCAATAAGTTTAAACGGGCCGATATTGAAGTCTGAGTCTTTTGACCAACTAGAATCATTTCATTAAACACTGGAACGCAAATTTGGCTTAGAAATTTACTGTGGTGCCAGCACTGATTCGAATCCTCACCCGATTAGCTTTGTTCTTAAATACAACATTTATTGTTTCTCCAACTTCGGCATAAATAACAGGACCAAGGATTCCCATTACAGGATCACGTTCCACCTCTACTTGAAATGTATCATCAGTGTATTCTTTATAAACCGCCTTGATATAGATTCCTCCTATTCTATCTGGACCTTTTTTGAAATATTCATGACTTTCCCTTAAACGAATTTGAATTGTGTACATTAGTGTAGAGTACAAACATAATAGAAAGTGTCAAAGCAAAGACTGTTTAAGAGTAGTTATTGTGACTTTAAACATTATGTTTGAATTCTAATACTCTGAAAAATTAATAAAAAAACACAATATGTTATTTGTTTTTATTCGCATTGAATAAATCAAGTTTTTTCGTGGATTATAGGCCCATCCATAGTCACCCTTCACACGAACACTCTCATACATATTGCAAGAGCAAATAATAATTGTATCTTACTGTCCCTCTTCTGCAATCGGTTTTTGTGTTAATATGTTCATTCCAGTTGGTGCATAATTCCATTCCACTTCTTCTGCTGCAACATAATATGTTCGTATGGTGTCGCCTACACTTTCTAAACCTTTCCCGAATTCTGCCCCCAGCGTTGGTTTACAGGTATCATGCACAGTGTAAAACATTGCCATTCCTGGAATAAACCAAAACAATCTGTCAAAGTAAATAATTACTTCTTGATACGAGTGTTTAAAAATACACCAAAAAGCAATGAATACCTTTGATTTGAAGAGAGGGGAAGTTTGTCGACGATTTTAGTGTTAAAGTATTATTTTGATGATTAAAAATGTCGAAAAATTCAACTTTTCCAGATCGGAGCTATCGGCAAAAATTTATTTTAAAAACTACTCACAACAACTAATTGGTGGGTTGGAAGGAAGGATAAATTTAGTTACCGCCAGCCACATGGTTTGTCACGTGACATCCGAAAATCCATCTTCCTGGATTGTCAGCTCTCATAATTACAGTTGCGAATGTTGCCGGAAACAGAGCCACAGCGTCTCCGCGATGTCCATTAATAATTCCCTGGTGAAATTTTCAATTTGTGACATTTTAGTATAAACTTGAGAAGCAACAAAATAATAGTAAATTGCTTTTCAATATGTTTTTTTACATCGATATATTTCACAGGCAATCCATATGCATGACAAATAAGATTAAAATTGCTTCAAATTTTATCCAGTTTGAGCAGTGAAATCTGTAACATTTGATTGTACTTTGAATTTACGCTAGTAAGCGTTGTGACATTTCATTACTTTTTCACTCTCACGACCGAGCCATAATCTGCTAACTAGGAAATGGGAATGCAAAATAAAATCAGCTGGGGTTGCAAGTAACCAACTATCTTTCTCTGCTCTATCACTTTGCACCAGTGGATCAGGATGCGTATATTGCAAGAATGATGTAGCAAGAATAAAGATAACTATTCTATTTGATTAAAGAGTCTTGCTTACTAAAACAAATATATTCATGGTTGACATACGATTGTCTGAAAAAGGCTGACCTCGGCAAAATAAAACGCCACCGGGCAGCAAGACTCTTGAATAAAATAACAAGATAATATATTACGGAATTTCCAGTAAATTGCATCCCATGCATTTCTGAACCCATTCCAATGGTATACCAGTTCACCAAATCCCCTTTGCACATTTCAGCCGATAGACTTAAAAAGATTAATCCATTCATAGCGTGAAATACATTGCTTTCAATGAAATCTGGATCTTTTTTATCTACAGTTTCTGGCTGCAGAGTGTAGGTCTAAATAATTGAAAATATTGAATTGAAGTTCAGGTTTTTATGTATCTGATAGTTTTTTGAATTGTCACTTTTAGGCCGCCTTGCGTACAAGACAGTCTACAAACACGCCAGTAATTTCCACATTAAGTACAACAATATACGAATGGAACATTGGTTTCTATGGTTAATAATAATAATAAACATATGAAATGGATTTCGTGTTACAGCTTTCCAGTGCAGCTAAACCGGTATAATGGTTTTGAGGAGTTAAACCTATCCTAGTAAAATGTGATAAAAGTAATTTAAGCATTATTAGTGAGCCGCCTTCTTGCCTTAATATTTTCGTCAATGTACCAACTTTCAGTTTCGTCAATGACGAAGACAATAATTGCAAATTCACGATCTACATCAGTACGATGTCCCGTGGATGTCAATGTTCCTGAATTGAATGAAAAACTATTTTCGCTTGGAAACCATTGTATCGCAATCCTTGTCGCAATTTCATGAAGCTATTAATTCACAAGTGGCATAATATTCTTCGAAATCAATTTCATCATTAGTGTAATATAATTAAAATATATTTATTCGGTACGTATCGTTTGAACCGACTTGCATTGATGCTATCTACTTTTACTATGTTTTACATGGTACCCTTATCCTGTAATCGGTTGCTTACTGTAAATGTCTCAATTATAACAATATGGGCGAATTGATGGTAATGGACGAATTGATGGACTGAGTTGAACGATTGTGAACACCGGAGTGTTATATCGATATCAAAGTAAGTACCAAGGCTTTGTGTGGCATTTTTTTGAAATCAGAAGCAGTTTTTGATAATTTTTTTACAAATACCAAAGCGTGTATATCTCTATGAAGATGAATATTTATGTTTTCCGTCTAGTTGTCTGTGGGGGTAATTTATGCCTTGCACTGAATTCAAACGTTGCAAATCGTTTATTTCACAGTCATTGCATTGTTTGTAAAACTTCAAATTATTCGTGCACGATTTTAATGCCTCTAGGTAGGGCTCAATAAACAATATGCCTGGTACTAACGATTTTTGTCGTGATAAACATGTCAAGAGTTCACGATTATTGAACTAATAAATAAATACTTTAGTTGCGCTGTTCTACCCGAAGGCGAAATATGAATTTAATTACAAAATGACACGGAATTTACATTTTTAAAGTGATAAATAATATTTAAAAGTCGATTTCAATGCCACATCGAGTCAACTCTGAAGAGCTATCTAACTGTATTATATATCTCTTCTTATAACAAATTTCCATTCGTTTTAATCGACATAAACCGGACTCGGCATTTACTGCTTCTGTTCACAAAGCCTTCAAGATTATTCGTCAAAGAGTTTAAAATACTTAGCATAGACTGGTTTATAATTAATTTTGAACATTATTCACAAATTTCCATTTTCTTGTTAAATAGGTGATTTAGAACACAAAGACAATACCCGGTTTTGAAAAATTTGTCGATTCATTGAGCCATTTAAATATATAAGATATTATGAAGTCCACACAAACCAGATCCTCATATAAGAGTTTCACTTGGGAAGGGTCCTATTAAGCTTTGATAAGATACCTTCTTTGCACGTGAGGAGAGTTCCGATTAAGCCAGTGTGTTGGTCTCGTGACGAGTGAACATGAGAATGATAAGCCCACGTTAAGCAGTTTGGATCCTCTTTTCCTGGGGCATATCTGCAAAGTGAGTAAATGATATAAAGCAATTAATTTTTTTGTGAAAAGATTAGGAAATCTTGCGCAGAATGAAATAACAATTAATTAATCGATAGTCGGTCAACGCGGAGTATAAATGAAATCATTCTCAGATACATACTCGTCTCTAACTTCCCAGATATATTTATGTTTTCCTCCGGGTGGAATTGTGTCATCGACTTTATCTGAAGATGTTGTGTTGTCCGAGTACAACGCTCCCTCACTGGATTTCTCGTAAAAAACGCCATGTGGATGAATACTATATGGTCGGGTGGCCCGGTTGAAAGCATAAACAACGATCGTGTCTTTCACCTGGATATAAATACTGATTTCAAACCTAAATTCTGAAGAATAGCTAAATTTGGTATTACTCCCAACAACAAAACAGTGTCATACCTCAGCTCTAATAATAGGACCAAACAATCCCAATGACTCCGGTCTCGGACTTCGAGTGCTGAAGGTTGAATCAGTGTATTGACGAAAAACTGCTTTTCTATATTCTCCTCCTATCCTGGCCGGTCCACGACGCCTAAAAAATCGGCTGCAAGAAAATTTTAGATTCATATCAATGTATTGTGAAAGGTTGTTGAAGATTGATTAAAGATTTCGGATTTAGATTTGAGGCGGTACATTTTTCAATCTCGTAAAAACTGTATCGGATATATGCAGAATGGTGTTATGTCTAAACGAACTTTTGCTCATTCGAATATTTTATTTCCTGTGTTATTTATAGATTTTCTGAACACAATACAGTTTATTATTTTTTTGCTAATTACATAAAAATAATTTCGGCAGATTTACTGAAAAATACATTACTGCATTTCTCAAATATGTAATGGATTCGGGTAAAATATCGCTTTTTATAGTCATCTCGTCAAAATTATAATTTTACATTACTAGCATGTGTATCGGATTAATATCTCTAATGCTCTGATCCTCAATTAATTCAATTAACTCAAATCATACCTGCTCTCAGGACCGTTGTAATTCCAAACTATTTCTTCCATTGCAATGAAATACTCACGTCTCATTGCCACTATCTCCCCAGCGCAAAATATAGAAACCAAAACAACGATATAGTACATTTTGATATTTGATATATATAAAATAAATCAAATAACCTTCCCATTAAGCCTACGAAAGACAATGGCAATTTAGATTATCAGACCCTGAAACGCCTGTTAACCGGCTAAGACGTTTATTGTTTAATTTAAAAAAATTCGACAGTAAACACTTTCAGCAGGGTAATTCTAATACAAATTATATATAGAATCTAATGTGTAATAAATGGAACAGTTTGCGCAAGTATGTTAACCACAAGTCTTATCACGTCAGACATCTGGTATCTGCACGATTGGTTTATGTTATACGCGATTGTATACGTTATAAAACAAACTGGCATATACAACAGTATATTATAAAATCTGTGTATCGTAGATGATTACAACTACGATAATTTTTGAAATGACTACCAGAAAAACCTTGTTGTTACCTTGTTGATAGGCTAAGAACGTTGCATGAAATTATTTTGACACCGTTTGAAAACTGACGCAAAATTTTTCATTTGTTGTTTTGACTTTTCAGTAAACATTGCTGCTTTTTGTGAATATGTGCCCCAACATTCGAATAACAAACGAAATCTTAAATATGCCAACATGACTTGGATAAATTCATACTTAATACATACTTCATTTGCTTATACTTATACCAAATTCAACCAGGCATTTCTGTTATTTCTAAATGACGCTCAAGCATGAGGTAAAATGGAACGAATAGACAACATTATTGAGGACGTATATACAATGTATAATAATGTAATATATATAATGTGTCTGGCAAATTTTTTTTATCGATTCTTCATACTTTTTAGTAGACACCAGAATATATATTTACCAAAAAACAACAAGAGCAACATAATAATAATAACAAAACGATTCATATGTATACACGTGCCCAATAATCTTTAGTTTTCCTACACGGATTTATTTAAATACATATAACCACCACACCACGATAAAAAGATCACGTTTAGCGATCCTGACGACTGGACGTGACTGACTATGACAAAAAATTATTACCTTCGAATGGTTGAATAATCGTGACTAAACGAGTAAAAGTTTGTTTTTTAATTCATCAAGTTTCATTCAATTGAAACGGTCTAGAGTCTAGACTCTAGACCAGGGGTCACCAACCTTTTCGCAGCCGAGGGCTACTTTTTGGGTACAGATTAAGTTGTGGGCTACCAGTTCAATGTACACTTCTAAAAAAGTCAGTTACTCGATTAAGCTTCAATTATTGATATAATTACTGGTATTTAGTGAAGTAGAGACACTAATAAACTTTAGGATTCTTCAGGAAATCAAACGCATATCACAACGTTGCAAATAAATTTCTATCAATAACACTTATATTTCAAAACTGAGTGTTTTTAAATTGATTTTCAACACTCTGCACAAGTCCAAGATAAAATAGACTTAACAGTTGTACTATCAAATGTTGCAGAGTAATATAATCCGACGTGTAACTTGACACTGTAACTCTGAGCGAGTCTTGCAGATTTTCATCAGTGAGGCGTGTTCCATGTTTGTTCCTGGTGGAGTGAGTCGGGGCGCTATGGCCCATCGTGTTACGCGTTAGGTATGCAGTTTAGAATCCCATGCGGGGATAGTTATGTGCGAAAGGATTTCTGGACTCCTCGCCGCCGTAGGGTGGTTCACGTAACCGCCGGTCGGTTAGGGCTTTCTTCGCCATCAAGTCCAGGCTTCCGAAAATAAATAACTAACTAATCCCATACCCGACATCGAATGGTCACCGGCGAGAAGCCGTGGTTTGTCCTATCGGCTATCTTCTCCCCCGGGATAAATTGTAAATCTCCTCCTATCCTGAGTTTATGTCAAAAATGTTGATTCGAAAGGATAGGTTGAAACAAACGATGGTCTTGTAAAATGGGATTGCTGTATGATTCGAATCGCGAGCTTTTTCTGTCCGTACTGTGCTGACGAGTGGGTAGTTAGCGCGGACGATTATGTGACAAGATGTGAAATATCTCTCCGCTTTGCCGTCGCTAAAATCGCCCCACTAATGAGACACACGCAGGCTGTTTTCATGGTGGTAAAAATATATCCACCTCCCATTCATCGTGAAAATAATGGATTTTTCTTTGGAATCAATAATTGTATTATTACTGCTCCGCTAACCAACGGACAAGAAAAATCGCGGGTTCGTGGAAAGTGATCTCAGCGTGATGTCATAATTGGAAGAGTGTTAATTGACCCGTCGCATTACTGAGGACAAATAAAAATAAGGTTGATGGTTACAATAATTAATATAGTGTCATTTCTAGTTCTCATATTAGTGTGATTTATACTAGAATAGCAGGACAAAATTTAATTGATGTAGCTTACTTATAAGAGCCGTTATTAAGCTTAGTTTGGAACAGACCTGCGGGCGACTCATATGGTCTTCGCGGGCGACTTGGTGCCCGCGGGCAACGTGTTGGTGACCCCCGCTCTAGACCAATGACCCCCAATGATCTGCGAAGCATTTCCAGGGCGTCCGCGATTAAATTAAGATTTTAGGAAATTATTTGCAGATTAATATCGTTTTTTTGTAATACGCTCAAAAATTTGCTGCCGATGACAATGTGACAAAAGCCTACAAAAACTATTTTGATTCATCTCCCGTAGACCTATTGTGACAAATACGAGTTATGACATCACAATGATAAATACGAGAACGCAGCTACAGTGATCACTTTATCAGTTTTGATGCGCCAATTTGCCGTCGTACCCAAAAGTATCGATGGAAGCATTTCGCGTTATTGTTCCATTCGCCTCCACTTACCTTTGTGAAAATGGATTTTCTGCTTTCGTTTATATCAAATCCATGATCGTAACCAACTAAACGTCGAAGACGATATGCGTCTATCGTTATCAAAAACATGACCACGTATTTCAAGTCTTGCTTCTGATATGCAACAGCAGAAATCCCATTAAGTGTGTTCGATTTGACAAAATAAATGAAAATGTCCACTAGTTTGGCGTTATTTTTGACTTGGTTAAACCTGTATGGAACATTAGGTAGCTGTTTAAGCTATAAACTAAATTTCAATTAAAAAAACATTTGAGGGGTCGGCGAACGCTCTGAGAGCACTAGAAGGGTTCGCAAAGACAAAAAGGTTGAGAACCACTGGGTTAGACTCTAGTGAATCAACGCTCGAGGTCCAAACAAAGGCCAATGTACCAGGGATAAAAAGGGTCAAAACATCTTGTTTAGTGCAAGATTATCATGTCCATTTTGTCATGGGAAAAAAAATTCTTCGGATTCGTCTGGAAAATTTCTAACAACTAGCTAGTATCTAATCATGGGTTAATAAAGCGTTCAGTTGCAGACAGAAAGGTGGAGCAGTAGGGGGTAAAACGTAAGGAATTTATACTATCGGTTGTTCAAGACAATACCATAGTGTTAATCAGCACCAGTAATATTGAAGCACTTCATGCCGCTAAAATGTAACACTAGCTCAAACTAAAGCCAAGCGTAAAACAGACGACCCAAATGAGCTTATTATCCTTATATACATTACCTTTTCATTAGAAGCTTGTCAAAATGTTTACAGTCGTGTAGACTTCTGTCAAAATGTAAAATGCCGTGAAAAATTGATTGTGCAAGTATGTCACTCTGTACAAAGTATGTAGAGTAACGGCACCAATTAGCGATTCCAGCCAATAGGGCGAAGCCTAATGTCGGAGCAGAAGGCGGCTATAAAAGCAGGGACTCAGACTCTCGAAAGTCGTATTCATCACTACCAGTGGAAGTGAAGCAAGTCATGCCGCTATAAATTTTCTACCAGAGCCAACGGTTTAGAGACGCTTGTATCTTTATATCCGACATAGGTTACCACTTTTCATTGCAGTCGTGAAGAAATTGTTCGTGTTATTGGGTCGCTCTTTTCAAAGTATGAAGAGTACCCGTATCACCTAACAATCTCAGATAATAGAGTGAAGAAGCGACATATGAAACCAAATTGTACTTTTTTCAAAAATCTGGTTCAAATTGACAAATCATTGTTTTTCTTGATATAATCTTTAATCTCAACTCGCAACGTTCAGGCTCCTGTGTCAAAATGTGTATGTTACCCGAAATAAACTGGTGGATGTCTTTGAAACGTGAGAGTGTTTGTATTGACTTTCAACGTCATGCTGCTTTACTCATCAATTGATTGTATTGCCTGTCACGCGGGTTGCAGTTGTAACTTATACAACGCTTTAGATGCAACGCATTTACCGCAAGTAGCTGGTGCTAGCAAATGTGGGGTTGAGTAAAATCATTGCTGCTAAATTATTAATTCAATTACCAGTTGACCAAAATACATTATTTTATAAAAGCCGAGGGAAGTTTTTGCAAATTTGGAAAATTGCATTCAAGTTGAGAAAGTAAATATAACCAAAAAGATACATGAAATATTAAATTAAAATTCATAAACACAATTAAGGTTACAAGTATATTGTATATTCAATGCAACATGAGAAGTTTAGTTTATGTTCAATTGTTTTTGGTTTCTATGCAATTTCTTACTCGGGTGAATTATGCCCACAGGCAAAAGTGTGAGTATCGACCGACGAGAAACGATATACAATGGGAAAAAGTGAGTACAGTATTGATTTCAGGCCTAGCTTTGGAAATATATTGGTTGCATGTTTAAATATTACTGAACAACGTTATGGACGCAACTTGTGTCGCGCCGAAAATTAAATAAATCAGTGATTGACGCGGCGGCGCTCCAAAAATGTGTGCACCAATATGGAGGTAACTAATTTTGTTCGCCTATAGTTTATATCAAGCTTTGTGAAGTGACTAAAATCTATGGGATTATCACTTGGCTAACACAGACAGTCCTGCAACTCGTAATAGAACTAAAATAGGGAAAAATCGGAATAAAATGTTCACGTTTGATATCGCACCAATGGTTATATTGTGGGTTCGCCATTTCGAATTCTATGAATCATAAATATGTCCGGGAAATTGCTGAACACCTCGCTGTTGGGTGATTCACGTCTCTACTGTTCAGTTACGGATTCCTCCATCACCAGTTCCATGCGTGGAGAAACAAAATAAATGGCTGACTAATCCCATACTCGACATGGGCTATTAATAGGACGAGGGGCCGCATATTGCAGTTTGACATACGATTTAGACGTTTCATCGGCTTTTCTCACTCTCGGGGTAAATATGACAATGCTATCTTATCAAATGGTATTGTTACTATTAAGTAGAAAATTTCATATCGCATGTATATGATACTTTGTCAAAATCCACAATGGAATCTTAACACCATATTTCTCCGACATAACAAAGATAAAATAGCAATCAAATGAAGATAAAATTGGGGACTAGCAAATGAGAATATTACAAATTCATCTTGAGAAACGTCGAGGTGTATATAAATATATCTTTTGTCTCTTCCACTTTCAGCTTGCAGGTAAAACATTTTATAATTCATTGAATGATGGTGATGCCGTATCTGACGATGTAGCTTGTGTTAAAGTACATAACATAACTAAAGTTGACGATGGAGTCAAAGCAACACTGGATAAGTATCTATTCAGGTACGAAGATTAAAGAAATAGCTGATAGAATTTAGTTTTTGTCAATATAAATTACAATCGAAAAAGCAAAAATCAATCAGTGTCTTTGATTATTATCATATTTACAGCTCACCGGACAAACCCGATGTGATACGCCTCCACGCACAAAAAAATGGGCCGGGTTTTTACATGTTGGACAAAAACACAGGTTTGTTTTTTCAGTTCTCTCGTAGTATGTGCACTAAGATGGTGCACAACCTGAACATAGTATGTGTACCAGGTTAGGGTTATGGTTGTGCTCCACCTTGGTACACATACTACGGGAGCGCCGTTTTTTTTATCGTCCACATTTCCTCTTGATGCATACTTCATATTCACATAATTAATACATTTGGATATTGTACCAAATAATAATCTAAAATGGGAAAATTATTTTGTCTTGCATATTTTAATTAATAAAGCTGTAGCCTACTTACAGGGATAAGTGCATATGTTACAATGTGCATTTCCAATATATTTGTTTCAGACTCGGCAATAATGCGTGATGTTATAAATGAACATGGTGGAATAAACGAGAAAGCCGTAATAGAAAGTGAGTTAGTTTTCTGTTTTGTCACAACACTGACTTATGTAATAAGATAAAAGTTAAATTATCACATTTTACCAGTGAAGCATTCTATTGCATTTATGTCATTGGGAACACCCAGTTTTTTTTTTTGGAATGAAATCCTTCTGTATTTATGCATATACTAATGCTCATATTATCAAAATAAAAGACTAGCGAAATTAATCTTTTTAAATTTTCACAAATTAAATTTTTAGATATCAAGGTGTCACAATCCGATGCCGAATTCCATGTAACAGATTATGAAAATTACTTCATTATCGTTCGATGCTCCGATGAAGGTCAACTTTATCTTTTTATATTATCACTGAAGAAATATCTAATTAAAAGCGCGAAAATTACATAACTGATCTGTCATCATATTTATGTCACAAGCATCAAATAATAAAAATAGAATAAAAAATTGAAATACAATAAAAATAGAAGTTGAATAAATATTTCATCTCAGAACTTAAAAAAATGTTTTAATTATAATTTTATTTTGGTGTCACCCATCAATGTGGTGTGTATCCCTCGTTTTACCATTTAAAATATCGTGACCATCTCACCGATAAAGGGCGTCTGTATGATTGGTGCAAAACAATCAATGAACCAAAGTTGGAAAAAATCCAAGTTCCATTACTATAACTTCCATGCTCGACAACGTCAACCACACTATAAAATCCGAGTCTCCGGCCATTCCGGATCGACAGAAATCTCGACCTTTCAAAATCAAACTTTTAACTACAAGACCATTTAGTTTGCATTGTCTTTTTCGGTTCATTTTTTACTTTAATCATCGGGTATTTAAAAACACGACCGTCGCTCGGACTTTAACTTCAGGGGATGACCCAGGGGTCCTAAATATTATGATTGTTCTGAAGGTGCATCAATATTTTCTCATAAAGGTGAACAGTCAGTGAAATATTGTGAAAAAAGTACTATTCCAAACATCTTATCTAAGTATTCTATTACAGGTCGATGGTATGTTCAACCCCACACTAGTGGTTCAGTCCCTACTGCAGAGGATGTTCTTCGTATCTGGAGAGCTTTATACGAAAATGGAATAAATCAACCGCTTTTCATGTCACATTGTTCAGAAGTCTTATAGTTACAACGTACAAATTCCGTGGACAGAACTGGAATGGTTTTACCCACAGTTTAAGTTTTCGTTTATTGTTGGCTCATCTATCATCGACTGCTGCTTCATTGTAATAAATTTCAATTTCTCATTATCAACACCTTGTTATTTTTCTAGCTGCAGACCAATCTTGCCAAATTTGGGGATTCTAACAAAGATAAGCTTCAGTTGGCGAAAAATCGTTTCTCAATTATTGGATCGACCGATTTCAAACTTTTAGTACATAAAAATGGAAGAATTCACTGTAAGACAAATATTTATTTCTAGCAAATGGACTCAAAGCCCCATTGAACCCGATATTTCACTCTAAATTTCGCTTTTATTTCCGCGTGCCGTCCTCCGTTACTGTAGTACGCCGTGTTTCTCAGCGAACTTGTTGCTATACGTTTTATCATACTACGTTACCGATGTTCACGTTAAAGTTTATAGCACTCAAAGCAGACCGATGCAAAAATCGTATTGAGAAACATAAATATGGCAACTATGACGCAAAACAGTGACACTTAAGCAATTTCTCCTCATATTGGGTCTCAAATCGAATAACCTCTGACGCTTCCTAATCTCGGATCGAAAATTCGGTATTGTTGGCTACTTCTTGATATGCTTTGGTATACTTTATTAATTTAGAACGCAAAAATATAGTTAATACAGAATAAAAGTCTCAAGGAGTAAACTTGACGTCGCATAGATCAGCTAAATTTTCTTACCGTAGTGCGATTTCTACCTTAACCCGCTATCTAGGCATAAGAAACAAACACACAATATTTGTCTGTGAAAAGATGGGTCGTGAAAAGAGAACAGCACAGAAAACATTTTTTTTTTCATTATAAGATATGCTTTTTGGTCTAGGTTATTAGTTATTCTACGTGTCCATATATTTGAGCATCACTCTCTTCTTTTTATATTAATTAATTTCGGTTCGCGTCTGATTACTGTTAAGGTTGGTGTGTTCTCGTTACTTGATTTATCTGTTCATTTCCTGTATTTCTGATGGATAATAACCTTCTTGACCTGCGTTATCGAACTATTTTTTTGGTTTAAGGTACCTGCCTTTCGAATGGCAGTTGAGTATCTTCACATAATGATGAATAAATCACTGTGTTGTTTTCCTTAAAATATTTTCATTTTTTTAAATAAGCAAATATGTTTTATGATTAAGACTTTAGAAAGGTTTTTTCTTTCGAGAGATATGTCAGTAGATAGAATTTGACAGGAAAATTTAATAAGTGTTGATTGATAAACAAGTATCACATCGCGATAAGCTTGTGGTACTGGTATTGTATTCTACGGTAGTTCAACCAATCAAAATCGCTGACCGGAGAAGGAATCGCTTATTAAAATTTGTTCGAACAGGGATTATTGCAATTCTCATGAAGTCCTGAGGCATTTCATAATATAATTACTTAAATTGACATATTCTAATTACCACAATATCTAAACAATATACTCTACTCCAGTAAAACTGGGTGTTTATTTTGTACAAATCAATGTTGCAGTGCGTTCAAGGTATGACCCAGCAAAGTAAATGAGCGGTTAAATTAATAAGAAGCGAGTGATAACGACAAATTAAGCAATAAAATATCATTTTTAGTAGAATAAGCGGCTGGTAATCGCTGCACAAACACAAGTTTCTTGAAATTTAAATTTTATAATCTGTTTCAGCAAAATCTGGAAATTTGGGAAAAATTAAAATTATTTTCAAATTTTTTTTTCGAATTTGGATAAATTTGGGGTTTCTGTTGCTATAAGCAAACCAACCACCATTTTCCATACAAAATTTATGCTTATGGATTTATATATATACGTTTATCCTAATAAAAGAAAAATTCAAGGTACCCAAAATATGAAAAATTAAAAAGTACTTCGATTTCGACTCACAATTGAGGAGATTGTCAAAATTTCCTAACACTTTTGTTGATGAATCCTTTAGAACACATATTAAAAATTTTGATCAAAAAATTATCAGACACATATATTAATGTTTAATGCTATGAAATACAGATTTGTGTGAAAGATAGCAAAAATCGGAATGTAGAAAAAATTATTTGCCCATATAATAGGGTCCGATCATCGTGAACGTCCTTCTGCATTCACATTTGCATGGAGTCTGTATTAAAAAAAGTAATATGGAACCAATTAATTGATTTTGTGCATGCCTTTTTTATTATAGTTTCAAACAATGTCATATAACCTTCCAGCAAATTGTGGTGGATTTTAGTTCTTAAACAATAAAAAAGAATAATCAGAAATAAACTTGAAACCCTTTCCGAATGTGAATAAATATAAATGTAATATATTTCAAGACTTTTGAAAACTGAAAAAGACACAAACCTTTACTGTGACGTTTCCTTTGAACAGTTTTCCCCCTTGTTCGTAAATTGTCATAATTTCACCAAAGCACCAGATAGTCTGACATTCGCAAGAGTCATCATCTAAATCTTGGAATTTATGCGGGTCTGGATACAAGGCATCAGCTCTTCCATCGTTGATATTGTCATTGCCACACGCTTTCTTTGGCTTTCTGTGAAAAAAACGCCAATTTTCAATAGCCTACAGAAAGAAAAAAAAAATTAAATTGTTGCACCACTTTTCTATACAACTTGAACTTACTTGCACTCAACGCCGTAGTGTTCGAATGGTTTGAACAATTTGACTTGTGAAATACATTTTGTTGAACCGTAGTAAGATATGTGAGTACATGTCCGATCTCTACAAGTTGAGTATTTTTCATCACTATGTGCCGAACAGACTTCGTCTGAGCCGGCAGTATATCTAAATAATTATTAGCAAACCGGAATCTTAACAACAAGAATTAAAGAATAGATACTAAAAGCATTGATCCTGAAGTAGACCGACGCAGCTTGTCGAGAAACCGCAATTCGCAGAATATATAAGCCTCGGTAGCAGCTTCTCCCGGAATAAATACACAAAAATCATATATATCAAATATATTGTGAAAGTTTAGGCATGTACAAAGTAAGTCAATTTTCAAGCGATACTTACAAATTCTTCCAGATTGCTTCATAAACATTCAACTAATATCAACTTTTGAACTATTTTGTAATTTAAATACATAAATGTAATGCTTCAGACATCATACCTAATTCTAGCACATTTCGGATATTTTTTGGACACAAATCCCTCTTGTTTTGGAAATTCAAAATTTTTTGCTTCGCTCACAGATATCTGTACAAAATATGAAAAACAATTTGAAATATGGAATTTGTAATAACAATAAATAAATGATATAATCTAACAAACCTTTTTGTCGAATCGTTCAAAGAATTCCGAATGCACGAATTCTTCTTTTGGCAAATAATCTGCAGTTATCCCAGAAATGAACATCAAACATATAACAGTAATTTTATTCATGTTTGTTCTTGATATCAGATTATCAGTTTTTAAATTAAATTATGATATAGAAAAAGAATGACCTGAACGAATAAATATAAATTACCTAATTCATTGTTTGTTCGTTACTTAATAAAAATATGAATTTAACATTCACTCCATTTCGCTTAATTTACCACTCGTTGAATTTTAATTATTATTTTCCCAGACGACAAGCTATCTATCGGTATCCCGCACGACACTGCAATGCAAACGATAATGAGAGATCAAAAAGACATCACGTATTAAAATATCCCTTATGAACTTTCATCTTCGACTAATTTTGAGAAAGCACCAAAACATAGCCTCAAGAGCATATACAATTTAGAACAAACATTTATTGGAACTGACATGAAACAAAATACCATATTTGCTTCATCATGGCCTTTTCTCTATCCAAATTACAGTTAATAGTTGCGAATGAATTTGGAAACATCATGGCATTCAGAGTGATTGAACTGTATATAAGTTAGAGCTAAGTTAGGAATGTCGGTCTGAAATATTAATCATTACGCTTGGGCCGGGTCGGGTCGGGCCTGAAATGCCAATCATTACGTTCGGGTTGGGTCGGGCTTCTCTGTCGCTGACTTTTTTGAAATAAATATATGTTTATTAAAATCTATGTGTGGATACTGAACAAAAGAATACTTGTTATAAAAAAAAAAATTTGAATGAAACAGAGAAGAAGCTGTAATGAATCTTTCCCCGACCTTTGAATCCCGAAAATATTCTTCCTATACTTTACCATACCCGGCTCGGGCCTCCGAATCCAGTTAATTAGTCGGGCTTGGGTCGGGTCGGGTTTAATACCCACGGGCTCGTGTCCGGTCGGGCTGGAATTTTTGGAGGTATCACGTTGCAAGAGATACGCCAGCGAATGAAATCCGACAGAAAAAAAGTGTTGATTGATAAACAAGTATTCACATCGCGATAACCTTTTGTCACTAATATTACATTCTGCGATAGTTCAACAAATCAAAATCGCTGACTGAAAAAGAAATCGTTCAGTTAAGTTTGCTTGTATAGGATTATTGCATTTCGCATAAAGTCCTGAGGCATTTCATCAAATAATTACTTAAATCGACATATTCTGATTACCACAATATTTAAACAATATTCCCTCCTCCAGTAATGCTTATCTCATACAAATCAATGTTGCAGTGCGTTCAAGGTATGTCGCAGCTTGTCAAAGTAAATAGGCGGTTAACTTAATAATAAGCTTGTGATAACGACAAATGAAACGCTAAAATATCCTTTCTAGCAGAGTAAGCGTCTGGTAATAAACGCTGCACAAGAAGAAGTTTCTCAAATTGAAATTGTATAATTTGTTTCAGCGAAATTTAGGAAAAATTAAATTTATTTTCAAATTTATTTTCGAAGGTGGGTAAATTTGGGGTTTCTGTTGCTATAAGCAAACCAACCACCAATTTTCATACAAAATCTATGCTTATGGATTTATATATATACGTTAATACTAACAAAAGAAAAGTACCCAAGATATGGAAAAATTAAAAAGTACTTCGAATTCGTCACACATTTGAGGAGATTGTCAAACTTTTCTAACACTTTTCTCATTGAATCCTTTAAAACACAGATTAAAAATACTGATCAAATAACTTCTTTCTCAGTCACATATATTACTGTTCATTGCAATGAAATACAGATTTGTGTGAAAGAAAGCAAAAATCGGAATGTCGAAAAAATCATTTGCGTCCGGTATAAGGTCCGGTCTTCGCGAATCTCCTTCTGCATTCACATTTGCACGGGGTCTGCAATAAAAGACGTGATATTAAAACAGTCAATTGATTTTTAAACATGACTTTTTTATTATAGTTTTAAACAAAGTCATACATCCTTTCATCAAATTGTGGTGGATTTCAATTTATACACAGTAGTAACGAATAATCATAAATAAACTTGAAACCGGTTCCGAATGTGAAATAAATATAAATGTGATATATTTCGAGACTTTTAAAAAAAATTATCAGAAAAACACACAAACCTTTACTGTGACGTTTCCTTTGAACAGTTTTCCCCCTTGTTCGTAAATTGTCATAATCTTACTAAAGCACCAGATAGTCTGACATTCGCAAGAGACGTCATCGAAATAATATGATCTATATGGGTCTGGTAGATAATACAAGGTATTATCTCTTCCATCATTACTTTTGTCATCGCCGCACACTTTCTTTGGCTTTCTGTAAAAAATTGACCATTTTCAATAGCCCACAGAAGAAAAAAAAAGATCGGTTCACCACTTTTCTATACAACTTGGACTTACTTGCACTCAACACCGTAGTGTTTGAAGGGTTTGAACAATTTGACTTGTTGATTACGTCTTGTTGAACCGTAGTGAGATATGTGACTACATGTCCGATCTCTACAAGTTGAGTATTTTTCATCGCCATGTGCCGAACAAATTTCGTCTTGGCCGGTGGTATATCTAAATCATTATTAGCAAATCGGAATCTTAACAACAACAATTAAAGAGTATGTACTAAAAACATTGTTCCTGAATTAAGCCGACTCATCTTATCAAAAGACTGCAATTTGCTGAATATTTAAGCTTCGGTAACAGCTTCTTCCAGGATAAATAAACAAAAATCTTATATAACAAATAATTTCTGAAAGTTTGAATATGTATAAAGTAAGTCAATTTTCAAATAATATCAACAAATGCTTCCAGATTGCGTCATAAACATTCAACTAATATCAACTTTTGGGCTATTTTTTAGTTTATATACATAAACGTAAGGCTTTAGACATCATACCTTATTCTAGCACATTTCGGATATTTTTTGGACACAAATCCTTCTTGTTTTGGAAATTTAAAACGTTTTGCCTCGCTCAGAGATATCTGAACAAAACATAAAACTTAATTCAAAATATTAAATTCAAAATAAAAATAAATAAATATTATAATCTATCAAACCTTTTTGTCAAATCGTGCTAAGAATTCCGAATGCACGAATTCTTCTTTTGGCAAATAATATGCAGGTATCCCTAAATTAACAACAAATATTTAACAGTAATTATATTGTTGTTTCATCTTATATCAGATTATCAGTTCTTAAAAGGAATTATGAACTCCAAAATAATACGGCAATCCGCGAACATAAAAATGTGTGCCAAAGTATCCGATTACATTTTATTTTTATTCGTCTTATCGCAAATTACACCAATATGAGCTGTCCCAGCAATTCTTACTCTGCTCCATCGCAATGCTGCCACTGATTAATTTGAAGATTTCACCATTAGAGAAATTCCCAAGTCTGCGATAAAATACCACGGAGTAAAATTTATTTCAAGTCGGTCGTTTTAGAACACTACAGGTGTGCCCCAGACACAAAGAATTAATGAGATTTGCAATGTCTAGGGAAGTGTTTTTAAGCTGTCGTGGTCCAAACCAAAACAAAACTCATGGTGTATTCCATTTTGTTTTTATTATTTTATGATGCCGCTTTTTCAATCAAGAAATTTTTGGTTGGGGGTTCACTTCTTTATTCTATCTATAGCATCTCGTCGCTGATGATTATATAATAAAACTAACTCGTTTTCCTCACAGGTGTCATGATTCCACGCAAGATCCAAAAAAAGTAATTATCATCGTCTTCGCGGCACAAAAATAATTCGAGGAAATTTTCTGATTTAGCGAGATCAAACACCGAAATAAAGATTTTACGGCTTAAATAACACGTCACGCTGACGAAAACAGTCGAGATTTATGCAAAATGCAATCGCAAACATCATTAGCGACCATATTTTTCACTGATCGGGGAAAGGTCTATATGCATCATACCTATTAAAAATTGAACTGTTTTTCTTCATGCTAAAAATGTACATCATGGTAGGGGGGTTGGGCGCGGTGGGCACGGCTTAGAAAACTTAAGAACCACTGGTTATATTTCCAGAATGTTTATTGTTATCTCATACGGATTTGTTAATGTGTGACGTCAGAATAGCAAAAACAAGAATTTACCAAACGATCCATGGGTCAATTCCGTATTTAACAATTGCATTGTATACTATAGATAGGAGTGTTTGTTCAGGGTCGTTTCAAACAAAGTCCACAAAAGTTTATACAACGGCTACAAATTGATAGTTGTGTAGTTTCACATAATGATGAATGAATCATTGTGATTAACCAGTTACTTTAAGCAAAGATACTAAATCGTTTTGACAATTACCTGTCTGATCTTGAACAGTGTATGTTGTAACCATTCCAATAACTACGTGATCATTAACATGGCAATGTAGAAGCCATTCACCGACAGCATCCGGCCTCATTAAGACAGTAGCATACCGTCCTGTATACAAATCAAACACATCTCCTTTGTTTTCGGAGCTGGATCTAATGATGATGAACATAGGCCATATTGAATGTTAGAAACACGTGTGAACCAAACTGTTTTATTTCCGCTATTTAAAGACATGAGATCTTTATAAACTAAGAAAAGAATACAGATTAAAAGAGAACATGAAATGAATACAAAAGTAAACTCACTGGTGTACAAACGCGTTAGCGTGGAAATGAGCCGCATGAATGTCTTCTTCTCCCTCTGCAAACAAATGCCACCTCACTAGCTCTCCTTTCTCCATATTCAATTCAGGAACATGATAAAGAAATCCATTGATATCTACATATGCATAGAAATGATTTTTGTTAAATTGTCACTGAAAAAGTCACTGATACGCTATCATCTGTTATGTGGAAAAAGGTAGGTATAAAAATGTACTAATTAAGAACATTAAAATTTTATGCATCATTTCTAAATTTCGTAAAAAGATATCGGAATATCTGATAGAAATGAATTTTCAACGTTAGAAAATATCCACCTGTTCAAACAAATAAGTTCCCATTCGAATGATTAGACAATAAATGTGTGATAATCGCGGTACAGTCTTTACAGTAATAAAGTACAGTCGTTTACTTACGATTCATTTTGTTACTTTCCACAAAAGATTTGTCTTTTCTATCAAATGTTTTAGGATTAGCTTTTGCAAATTCACGAATATTCTCATCGATATAATGACTCAAATTTTCATCAGTGATGTAAAATAATAAAGAGAACTCTTTATCTGCCATTCCTCCTTTCTTTTGGTTTAATGTCCCTGCAATATGATTTGAACTGTGTCTCTGCATCTTTATATATATGTGTTGCAACAGTTGAAATTATACATCAAAATAGGCTGATTACCTCTTCTACATATGACCATGGGTCCTCTAGCTCCACTGTAGGCATCTCTTCTGAAATCAGCGACGGAATAATAGGCACTGGCGAAACAATCAGGTTGATCCGGATTCGGAGCCAACTCCGGTCTTACCTGTGTTGTATTAAATATTTTTAAAACGATGCAATGCATGAAATAAATATAAATTTCACGCAAAGTGTAGTCAAGAATCTCAGGCATATTTGCGAATGCTAATCACTCATTATAATATACTACAATATATTTAAGGTAGCACTACAAATTTATGTAAAACAAAAAGATTGTTTTACAATTGTATTATACATTTCAACCAAAAATTCACACTTAAACTTCATTTTTTTTACATTTTGAAATCAACTTTTTTGAAAACTATATTCAAGCAAGATGATGTCTTTGTTACAGATTTTCTACGTTTACTATAAATTTATACCTGCCAAGTGTAGGTCACGGTTTTTCCTGGTTCGGCGGTTGGTACGGGACCTTGCATAATTCCTACGTAATACACGCCGATTGGTAGCACATTGAACTTAATCGTTGCCATATTTTTGAAATGAACCTTTGAACAATACACCGTGTTTTTGTTTTTTCGATAAAAAGCTGTCGATTTATCAAACTATATATAAAAATAGGCAAATGTGATATAAAATGTTATCAAATGATTCACCTTCACTTCGTCACCGATTTCCATTTTTAAAATGGGTCCGTCGAATCCAAGATGCTTCGGCTTTGGTTTTCGAACAGTGAATGAGTCATCGGTATATTCATAAAATATAGCTTTTTTATACCTTGATCCTGGAAATATCATTATTTTACATGAATTTTTGTTAGTAATGAGAAGATTAGATATATTTTTTAGAAGTAAAATAAATACCAAAGACCAAATACCAAAGTACAAGCGGGTAATAATGTTTTAATAAGGATACACGAAGTGTCCCAAATGATCCATCGTTATTGCAAATAAACAAAATATAGTCAACTTTAGATTTTTCAAGCAAAGATTTAAATTTAATTTAACCTATGTATTTTCCATTCTCCTGGTGAGCATATAAATAAGCGATATGCTCTGGATCATCAACAGAATTTCCTTTATGATCGAATCTACGAGGAAGATAATCCCAAACTTCTTCAACAATGCCGAGATAAATTGTTCGTTTAGCAGAAGGCTGAAATTTTGGCTTCGGATCACTGCAGTATTTTGACTTGAAGAAAATAGAAATTTTTGTGAATAGTTTTGTTCTGAGAGGTTATGGTCGTAAACACGACGTTAGTGATTGAGATTCATTATATTATGTGTAGAAAAAATATGAAAGCATTTTGAAGTCTCTGAGCGATAACTTTGATGAACGTCTGAAGCTTAATGTTAACAGTTGCCACTTAATCTATCAAACTATTGAGCTGAACTTTCTTCCAAAACCGAAGATGTTGCAAGATAACACGAACATTGTACTCTTATTTACCTCATAAGAAGAATGCATCCCATTGGTTCCATGGTTTGATACGTGACATCCATACACTGCTACACCAGGCCCAAATGGGTATACACTAGTCGTGCTGATAACATGGGGGAAAACTCCAGCCATGCCAGTGTACTCGGTTCTTAAGAACAAACAACAAGAACTTTAACACTGAGACATGAAACAAATAAACCATTCTAAAGTTTTTAAATTTTTGTTTAACCAAATATAAATACTGTTTAGGAAATTAATCAAAAAGATATTCAGTCTTCGCCCAATGAACATTTTGACAATGAGAAAAAAAAATCGTCATTTAAATATTAAAACACACGTTATGTGTATTCACAAATGTCAGGTTTTCAACCATGCCTTGTCGGTCAATGTTTTTGTTTTCAGGTTTAACAGCGAATATCGGAAAGCAATGGTTATTTCATATGTTTTTACTCAAGTTATAGCAAAATTTGAATCACCTAGTTTTTCTTGCAGCTCCGTGCAATGTAAATGCATGATTATTCAGTTCAGAACCCAGAGATATTAAACGAATATCGGTATATTGTTCCGTGCACAACTGCACGCCAAGTAGATTTGAGAACGCCAAACCATTAATTGCTGATGAAAGATATTGGATATAAAGGATAAGTAAACTTCTAATTTTAGATTAACTGAGTGAATTTATTTTCTACATTCAAAAACATATAGTATAATTTTACATTTCCGTTAAAGATTCGTCAGCTACTATTTTGTTGTTGTTGTTCTTGTTCATTTCTCTATTAGTATTCCTCTTGTTATGAAATAAACATTTTTTTAATTACTAGACCAATTGCGTTGAAATTTCCCGCTGTTAAAAACTCTATTTTTTGCTAGAAGGCTATTAATTTTTATTTATTTCAAAGTTTCTGTAGGATTCTTGGGGTCGTTTATTGGCAATGACGTCATCAAAACCCCGCACTTTGTGGCAGTGGTCTACTGTGACAGATTGCCAGTTTCTCAACTCACATTTCATTCTATTTGATTCCTTGAAATCTTCATCATCTTTATCAACCGATGAAGGATCTCCAGCGAAAGCATCAATATTTTGTTGAAGATATGGACTTTCGTTTTCGTCGAACATTACCAACAACATGTAGTAAACTGTTTTCTTCATTTCATCTGCTAGCGTGCCTTGTTCGGTATAATACAGAAAGTATTATTCAATTTTTGCTATATCAACATTGTTTTACCGTTTTTTTTTTATTAAAAAAAATAGAACAGCATATTTATAGGAAGTAAATTACACATAAATGAGGACAAACAAATAGTATTGCGACGAAATACTTTTCAATTAGTTACAAATAGTTAAATTACTTCAACATTAGGTTTAAATTGGGAAAATTGTAAAAAAATGTAGTGCATTTTAGTGCAACACTGAAACCAATATAGTTTATGCAAACATAATCTAAAGCGTGATAATAACCGACATATTCTACCTCTTTTGCAAATCACGATGGGGCCAACCAGTCCGGTATGTTGGTCAACATCGATACTGGCTAATGACGAATACATATGCGTAATACAGTTTTCATCTTTTTCGAGTGGAGAAACTCTGTCTGGTACAGGCCTGAAGTTATTATTAAATTAATTACAGCAAAATACGCTTAATGAAGATAAACTTTACTTGAGATTACAATATTTAGGTAATCAGTTTTTGCAGTTTACTCTTAAATGTGTTATAGTGATCTCATGTTGATATGACAGACCATCTCACCATAACATGGTGTTAGTTAAATTTATTGCGGTGTTGCTGAAGGTTAGTTGTTTACGTAAGTTATGGCAAAGTGAGTTACCTGGTTCAATCAACAGTTGTTTAATATTTCAAAAGTTACAATATTTTGTTCGCTTACCACACATAAGTGTAAGTCTCTCCCGGTTTTACTTTTTGTTTTCCAAATGAGAAGACTCCGTGAGGAAACATCTCATAAGTCTTTGTAAAATATATAAAAGGAGAGAACAATACTCAAATATAAGGACACGAAAGCCAAAACGAAGGAGTATAAAATATTTCACAGCAACGGTAGGCTGATTACAAGATCACTAAGTTGTAATCACGGAACTACGGGACGCAATCAATACTTTTTAGATGGCTTCGTCGCACAAAACTTCGAGGTGAAAAAGTATCCCATAGAGACCACAGATATTTTTTAAAATAAGTGAAAGTAATAGCCTTTTCGACAAAACCAGAGAAAGCTTGAACCAGTGAAAATTTCCAATTATTTTGATCCGGTAGTTGACGATAAACGTGATTTTGTACAACACCAGCCAATAACAAAACGATCCATGCGTCCATTTCGTATCCAAAGACAATTAGGATTAAACTATTTTCTTTAATAGCTTGTATTAACATCACGATTTTAAACCTATGTTTGAGCGTGATACAATGTTTCGTAACATTGCTATAGGCTTAAAATTCATACTAAGTTGGTATGTCTGGATACTGAAGATTAAATCAACAAAGATTTACTTTGATGAAACACGGAATCTGTGTATCTGAATCACGTACAGATAGATCATACTCTTCAGAGGCCCTAAGCACGCAAGAATTTGGTGCCCTAAGTGTGCCTTTCAAAATATTAACTCCATAAACCACACACGATATTATTCAGCAAATTGGATCAAAACTAACAGTGAAAAAAAAATATTAGTAATGTGGAAGTTCATCACTAATTTAGGGCCAAGTTATAATATGTTTACATTCATTTTTGGAAATAGTACCTATCTACATACCCTACCACCTCACCCCATACCTACAAACATTTATACAGAGGTTATAGATGATACTTGGAAACGGAAAAAGAAATTGAGCGAAAGTTCAAACGGACCGATATTGAGGTCTGAGTCGTCTGACCAATTAGAAGCATTTTCCTAAACACGATTACAAATTTGGCTTTGAAATTTACTGTAGTGCCAGCACTGATCGAAATTCTCACCCGATTAGCTTTGTTTTTAAATACAACATATATTATTTCTCCAACTTCAGCAAAAATAACAGGACCAAGGATTCCCATTACAGGATCACGTTCCACTTCTACTTGAAATGTGTAATCAGTGTATCCTTTATAAACCGCTTTGATATAGATTCCTCCTATTCTATCTGGACCTTTCTTAAAATATTCATGACTGTACCTGAAAGAAATTAATTGTGTACCTTAGTGTAGAGTACAAACATAATAGAAAGCGTCAAAACAAAGCACTGTTTACGAGTTGTTATTGTGCTTAAATTTCTAATACTCTCAAAACTAAATAAAATAACACAATATGTTATTTTTCTTTTTTATTCGTGTTTAGTAAATCAGGTTTTCGTGGATTTTAGGCTCATCCATAGTTACCCGTAACACGAACCCGCTTATACATATTGCATGAGCAAATAATAATTGTATCTTACTGTCCCTCTTCTGCAATCGGTTTTTGTGTTATCATGTTCATTCCAGTTGGTGCATAATTCCATTCAACTTCTTCTGCTGCAATATAATATGTCCGAACAGTGTTACCAACACTTTCTAAACCTTTTCCAAATTCTGCCCCCAGCTTTGGTTTACAAGTATCATTTACTGTGTAAAACATTCCCATTCCTAGAATAAAACAAAACCATCTGTCAAATTAAATAATTACTTCTTGATACATGTGTTTAAAAATATACCAAATGGCAATAATTTTGATTTGAAGCGAAGGGGAATTTGTCGACGCTTTAAGTGATAACATAGCATTTTGATGATTGAAAATGTCCATACCAAATGACAATAATTTTGATTTTAAGGGACAAGTAATTTGTCGACGCTTTAAGTGATGAAATACCATTTTGATGATTGAAAATGTCCATACCAAATGGCAATAATTTTGATTTGAAGCGAAGGGGAATTTGTCGACGCTTCAAGTGATAACATAGCATTTTGATGATTGAAAATGTCCATACCAAATGACAATAATTTTGATTTTAAGGGACATGTAATTTGTCGACGCTTTAAGTGATGATATAGCATTTTGATTATTGAAAATGTCCATACCAAATGGCAATAATTTTGATTTGAAGCGAAGGGGAAATTGTCGACGCTTTAAGTGATAACATAGCATTTTGATGATTGAAAATGTCCATACCAAATGACAATAATTTTGATTTTAAGGGAAAGGTAATTTGTCGACGCTTTAAGTGATGAAATAGCATTTTGATGATTGAAAATGTCCATACCAAATGGCAATAATTTTGATTTGAAGCGAAGGGGAATTTGTCGACGCTTCAAGTGATAACATAGCATTTTGATGATTGAAAATGTCCATACCAAATGACAATAATTTTGATTTTAAGGGACATGTAATTTGTCGACGCTTTAAGTGATGATATAGCATTTTGATGATTGAAAATGTCCATACCAAATGGCAATAATTTGATTTGAAGCGAAGGGGAATTTGTCGATGCTTTAGGTGATAAAATAGCATTTTGATGATTTAAAATGCCAAAAATTTCAATTTTGGAAAATACTGAAAATTATTTGGCAGATGAAAAGAAAGAGGAAATTGAGTTACCGCCAACAACATGGTTTGTCACGTGACATCCGAAAATCCACTTTCCTGGATTGTCAGCTCTCATAATTGTAGTCATGAATGTTGCAGGGAACAAAGTCACAGTATCTCCTCGATGTCCGTTAATAATTGCCTGATAATTTTTTTAATAGTTTGAATAAGTTACTTTTTAGCGTAAACTTGAGAAGCATTAGAATGATAGTAAACTGCTTTTCAGTATGTTTTTCAAATTGATATATTTCACTGGCAATTCATATACATGCTTCAAATGTAATCCAGTTTAAGCAGTGAAAGTTGTAACATTTGATTGTGCTTTGAATTTACGCTAGTAAGCGTTGTGGCATTTGATTGCGTTTTCACTTGCCCGACTAAGGCTCAATCTGCTAGCAAATGCAAAATAAAATCAGTTGGTGTTGCGCGTAACTAACCATCTTTCCATGATTCATCCATCCCGCATGCGTAATGCAACAACGCTGCAGGAAGAATAAAGATAACCACTCTGTTTGATTCAAGAGTCTTGCTAACTAACACAAATATATTTAATACAGTTGAAATATACTCGTCTGCAGAAGCCTGACCTCAGTCAGAGCGGACGTTACAAAAATGCATTTGTGATAGTGTGCAGCAAGACTCTTGAATAAAATAACAAGATAATATATTACGGAATTCCCCATAAATTGCATCCCATGCATTTCTGAACCCATTCCAATTAGATACCAGTTCACCAAATCGCCTTTGCACATTTCAACCAAGTGCCTTAATAAGATTTTTCCATTCATAGCGTGAAATACATTGCTTTTAATGAAATCTGGATCATTTTTATCTACAGTTTCTGGCTGCAGTGTGTAGGTCTAAATAAAAAATGAAAATTTGATTGAAAATCTTGAATTAAAATTTAAGGTTTTATATATCTGATAGTTTTTTGAATGTCAATTCACGCCACCTTGCATGCGTACAAGACAGTCTACAAACACGCCCGTAATTTCCCCATCAATTAGGTTCAATATACTAATGTAACATTGGTTTCTATGGTTAAAAATAATAATAAACATATGACATGGATTTCGTGTTACAGCTTTCCAGTGCAACTAAACCGGTATAATGGTATTGAGGTGTTAAACCTATCTTGATAAAATTACACAAAAATAATTTTAAAATTATTAGTGAGCCGCCTTCTTGCCTTAATATTTTCGTCAATGTACCAACTTTCATTTTCGTCAATGACGAAGACAATAATTGCAAATTCACGATCTACATCTTTACGATGTCCCGCGGATGTCAATGTTCCTGAATGTGAAAACAATAATTTTTGCTTGGAAACTATTGTATTGCATTCCTTGTAGTAAATTCATAAAGCTACTAGTTCATAAGTTGCATAATATTCTCCGGAATAAATTTTATCATCAGTGTAACGCCTTTAATTAAAGTATATTTATTCGGTACGTATTATTTGGACTGACTTTCATTGGTGCTATCTACTTTTACACAATGTTTTTTATGGTATCGTATCGCTGTAAAGTAATTGGTTGATTACTATATAAATGCCTCAATTATAACAATATGAGCGAAATGGTGGTAATGGACCAATTGATGGACAGTCCTGGAGTTGAACGCTTGTGAACACCGAAGTGTTATATCGACATCAAGACTTTGTGTGGCACACGAGAATTATTTTGAAATCAGAGGCAATTTTTGATGAAATTTTTAACAAATGCCAAAGCGAATGGATATGAGACAGTTTTTTAATGGGCTAATTTATGCCCTGCACAAATAAATCGTTTATTTCACAATCATTGCAATGTTTGTAAAACTTCAAAAATTATTCGTACAAGATTTTAATGCCTCTATGTAGGCCGTAGGGTATGCTCAATAAACAATGAGCCTGGTAAAAACAATTTTTTGTTGTGATAAATATGTCAAAAGTTCGCGATTATTGAACAAATAAATACATTGGTTTTGTTGTTGTACTCGAGGGCAAAATATAAACTTAATTGCAAATTGACACGGAATTCATATTTTTAAAGTATTATACAATATTTATAAGTCGTTCCCAATATATACCGTCATAGTCGCCATATCATATAACTCTTCTCATATTAAATTTTCCATTTGACGTATATTCGTTTTAATTGATACCCCAGCCTAAACTGGACTCGGCACCTACTGCTTCTGTTCACAAAGCCTTCCAGATTAATCTCACTAAACAGAGTTCAAACTATTCTGCATGAGTGCATTGCTTGATTTAACAATAATTTTGGACATCATTCACAGATTTCCATTGTTTTGTTAAATAAGCCAATTTAAAACACAAATACAATATCGGTTTCAAAATATTTGATTCATAATGCCATACAAATATATATATATATATATAATAGTCAGTAAAATTGAAATTAGTGTGAGAAAGAATTCTGATTTATTATATATTGAACCAGATCCTCATATAAAGTTTCACTTGCGGCGTCACTTATTAGGCTTTGATACAATACCTTCTTTGCACGTGAGGAGAGTTCCGATTAAGCCAGTGTGTTGATCTCTTGACGAGTGAACATGAGAATGATAAGCCCACGTCAGGCAATTTGGATCCTCCTTTCCTGGAGCATATCTACAAAGTAAGTATGTGATATGAAGCAAATATTTGTCTTGAACAAATATTTGAAAATCTTGCTCATCAGAAAGAAGAAAAAATTCTCAATCGATAGTCGGTCAACGCGGAAAATATTAGAAACTTATTTTATTTCTAGACTCAGTTACATACGCGTCTCTAACTTCCCAGATGTATTTATGTTTTCCTCCGGGTGGAATTGTGTCATCGACTTTATCTGAAGATGTTGTGTTGTCCGAGTACAACGCTCCCTCACTGGATTTCTCGTAAAAAACGCCATGTGGATGAATGCTATATGGTCGGGACGCCCGATTAAAAGCGTAAACAACGATCGTGTCGTTCACCTTGATACAAATACTAATTTCAAACTTGAATTCTGAAGATTAGGTAAATTTTATATTCGCATCAACAACAAAACACGTCATACCTCAGCTCTAATAATAGGACCAAATAATCCCAATGACTCCGGTCTCGGACTTCGTGTGCTGAAGGTTGAATCAGTGTATTGACGAAAAACTGCTTTCTTATATTCTCCTCCTATCCTGGCCGGTCCACGATCCCTAGAAACTGAGCTACAAAAATTTTTTGACTTCATATCAAAGTATTGTGAAAGATTGTTGAAGGTTGAATAAATATTTTGGAGTTAAATTTGAGGCGTTACGTTTTTTGACATATATCATAAAAACTGTATTGAATATATGCAGAATGGTGTTATACTCTTATGTTTAAATGAACTTTTGCTCATAAGAATATTGTATTTCCTAAATTATTCGTAGATTTTATGAACACAATACAGTTTATTATTTTTTCCACAATTTATAAAAATAATTTTGGCAGATCGAAAGAAAAAACATTGCTGCATTTCTCAAATATGTGATGATTTCGGGTAAAATATCTCTTTTACGTCGTTTGGTTCATCTCAATTAATTCAATTAACTCAAATCATACCTGTTTTCAGGGCCGTTGTAATTCCAAAATATTTCTTCCATTGCAATGAAATACTCACGTCTCATTGCCAATACCTCCCCAGCGCAAAATATAGAAACCAAAACAGCGATATAGTACATTTTGATATTTGATATATATAAAATAAATTTATATAACCTTCCCAGTAATCTTATGGCAGACAACCGTGTTACCAACACTTCCAGCGGGGAAATTGTAATACAAATTATATAAATCTAGAATCTATTTTGTAAAAAGGCATCACTTTACACGAGAATGTTAACCAAAAGTCTAATCCCGTCAGACATCTGGTATTTACACGGTTAGTTTATTGTTATCCCGATTGTATAATACGTGATATCTCTCGCCACAAAAACACAATGGTACATACAATGGCGTATTATAAAATCAATGGGTGCTCCCGAAGTATGCGAACCAAGATGGCGGACATCGGAACGTAACATGGGTAACAGGTTAGGGTTAGGCGATAATTTTTTTCCAATTTTCCTTATTTTAGTCCTATTATCAGTTCGAAGACTAGCCAAGAGCCTCCCGTAGTATTTATACCTAGAATTATGGCCTAACCCTAACCTAGTACCGATATTACATTCCGATGTCCGCCATCTTGGTTCGCATACTTCGGGAGCCCCAATCAATGTATTGAAGATAATCACAATCACAATAATTTTTTATATGACTACCAGAAATATATGATACCTGATTGATAGGTTAAAAACGTCACATGAAATTGTTTGACTTTAAATGTTACATCGCAAATATACTATACACTTGCAAAACGTGGGGATTCTAACAACGATAAGTTTCAGTCAATTTGACTGATTTCAAACTTTCCGTATTTGAAAATGGGAGAATTCACTGGGGGGCGATCACTTATTTTTAGGAAATGGACTCAAAGCCTAGGGACCCGATATTTCACTCCACATTTTGCTCTTCTTGTTCCGTGTACCGGCCTTTGTATATTGTAGTACGTCGTGTTTCTCAGCGAACTTGTTTCGAAAATATATATTGGGAAACATAAATATGGCAACAGAAACAGAAAACTGTGACACGTAAGCAATTTCTCCTTAGATTGTTGTCATATCGATCTGATGCTTCTTAATCTCGGATGGATAGTTCGAGTCGGTATTTTTGGCCACTTATTGATATGCTTTGGTGTACTTTAATAATTTCCATAGAACGCAAAAATGAGACAAGTGGGACACGTGGTACAAGTGGAACAAGTGGGACACGTGGGATAAGTGGGACAAGTGAGACACGTGGTACAAGTGGCACAAGTGGGACACGTAGGACAAGTAGGACAAGTGGGACACGTGGTACACGTGGTACAATTGGGACACGGGGTACAAGTGGGACACGTTGGACTCGTGGGACAAGTAGGAAGAGTGGGACAAGTGCGACAAGTGGGACAAGTGAGACACGTGGGACAAGTGGGACACGTGGAACACGTGTTACACGTGGGACACGTGGGACAAGTGGGACAAGTGGGACAAGTGGGACAAGTGGGACAAGTGGGACAAGTGGGACAAGTGGGACAAGTGGGACAAGTGGGACACGTGTAACACGTGGGACAAGTGGGACACATGGGACAAGTGGGACACGTGGGGCAAGTGGGACACGTGGGACAAGTGGGACACGACATTTTGGAGACACCCGTAATTGTGTATCTTCAAATAATGATGAATGAATCACTGATATTTTCCTTAAAATATTTCCATTTTATCGAATAAGCAAAGATGTTTTATGATTAGGACTTCAGAGGTTTTTTCTTTCGAGAGATATGTCAGTAGATAGAATTTGTCAGGAACATGTAATAAGTGTTGACTGATAAACAAGCATTCACATCGCGATAAGCATGTGGTCCAAATATTACATTCTGTGGCGATTCAACAAATCAAAATAGCTGGCTGAAGAAGGAATCTTTCATCAAAACAAGTATATATTCACATCGCGATAAGTTTGTGGTGCTAATATTACATTCTGTGGCATTTCAACAAATCAAAATTGTTGGATGAAGAAGGATTTATTCTCGTTTTATTGAAAGTTATATAAACGGGGAATATTACATTTCTCATAAACTGAGGCATTTCGTAATATAATTCCTAAAATTAACATAATCCAAGTACCACAATATTTAAACAATATTCAAGTTTCCAGTTAAAATTGAGTTTTCTCGTCTTTTGCGTCACAACCCGGTACATTTCTACGGAATAAACAACTTTAAAACAGCTCAAACCTCTGAGACTGCCTATCGGTACATATCAGTTGCAGTGTGTTTATGGTATGACGCATATTGACAAAATCTAAGCAAGTGATAACGACATATGAAACAATACAATATCCTCTTTTGTAGAGCAAGCGTCTGGTAATAAATGCTGCACAAAAAAAGCGTACAAAAAATTTGTATAATTTGTTTTTGCGAAATCGGGGAATTTGGGGAAAATTAAATTCATTTTGCTATAGTTTTAATTTGAATTAAGATAAATTTAGGGTTTCTGTTGATAAACGCAAACCAATCATCATTTTTCATACAAAGTTCTTACTTTTTATATATATTCATCCTAATAAAAAAAAATTCAGGGTACACAAAATATGAAAAAATAAAAAGTAATTCGAATTCGTCTCACAGGTACGGAGATTGTCAAAATTTCTTAACACTTCTTTCACTGAATCCTTAAGAACACAATTTTAAAATACTGATCAAAAATATTCCTTCTCGGTCAATGCATTGGAATACAGATGTGTAATGGAGAGCAAAAATCGGAATGTAGAAAATATATTTGCATCAATAGCATGGTCCGATCATTGTGAACCTACTTCTGAATTAACATTTGCCTGGGATCTGTATTAAAAAACGTGATATGGAACTAAGCAATTGATTTTTTACATGCCTTTTCTATTAGAGCTTTAAACAAAATCATACATTCATTTCCACAAATTGTGGTTGATTTTAGTTTTCACACTATAATGAGAAATAGTCATACCTATAACTAAAACTGAAATGATTTCCAAATGTGTGTATCGATTGGATGTTTACAAGTTTATAATGAATAAATAGGAATACATATAAAGTCAAAAATATACCTATAGCGCCAACTAAATATACATATAGCGCCAAATCAATATGCGTATACAGCCGATTCATGTTCAAATACAGCCATATTGGTGATGTACATACACAGTCAGTGTCATATGTATATACAAACAATTTTTCCACTCAATCGTTCGTCGATCTTGTATTAACAAACTCAGTGGTCAGCTAGGGCCTCATACGCGATCTTGACGTAATTGTATTTCAGCATTGCTTGTCCATATTCATGATGTACTTATCTGTCGGGCCCAATTAAGGTATTTCTCATTTAGTTTAAGTTATCTTTCATAAAATGCCAAAATAGTATCTGGTCTGGTCTATTCTAGATTGGAAAAGTTTTTTAAAGCGTATTCAAAAGAGTAAATTATTTTGTTTTGGTTGAAATTGGACATTTTTACTTTTTGATATCTAAATGTGGATTTTGTTGTTTTATTGAACACATTAATCATTACAGTAATTAAAAAAAATATATACACTTTCCTTTTTTGAGTAAAACCAGTATGTGATGTTTATGACCATTTAACGAAGAACTGTCATTACTTAGAATGGAAGTTACAGAACTCAGTTTCAATTAAAATTGAACATAAACCGAAAGTGAAACAATAAATTTATTTCAGATTTAATTATAAGAATCTAAAATATTTATCTAGTAATTCTATAAAGACTTTTTAGATAAGCCCGTCTTCAAAATAATTGTATGTTGCCAATGTGAAAAATATTTTTGAAGGAAGATCTAGAATATTTCAGTTGACCATTAATTTCAAAATTATTAATTCTACAAATTTGAAGACCCGCATGTCCTTAGATGGTGATACTGACTTGTTGCCAGTTTTTAACGGCATATTTCGTTGGATTTGAAAGAATGCCCCATAGTGTCAGAGAGTGTGTTCAAATCCACCCCACCAACGCAATGGGACTGACGAGAGATTTTCAGCCAGCACGTTTTTCGTGTTTTCGACAATCAGCTAGTGTGTGGTATTATGACATCATAGATTTGGCACATACTGGATATTTATGAAGAACTGAGTTGGCGACTATTGGATATTTCTCAAGAACCACGGGCACTGAAAAGGGATTTTCAGCCAGCACATACTTGTTTAATCAAAGATCAGCTGTTGCAGGGTTTTGTGATATTAACACTGGTACTTTTATGTCTATTTGTCGCAATCAATATGTATGTATGTATGTATGTATGTATGTATGTATGTATGTATGTATGTATGTATGTATGTATGTATGTATGTATGTATGTATGTATGTATGTATGTATGTATGTATGTATGTATGTATGTATGTATGTATGTAAAGCCTTACACCTATATGCGAATGCCTTATCGATCACTAGCGCTTTTGAGTTTTACGCTTTTTAATGCGCTAATTATATGAACGACTGGTGATGTACATAAAATTCGTAGATGCAACCGCATATACATAAATTGTATTCTTACAAAATGATCTGGCAGTATTTTACATCATTTTAACGGCTGTATTTGTATACTGAGTTGGCTATATATGCATGTGAATTGATAGTATATGTATATTTGATTGGCTGTATATGTATATGAGTTGGCGGTATATGCATATTCTTGGCAGTATATGTATAGCACGTTACCAGCCCTATCGTCCAGGCCCGCGTAGATCACAAGTTTTAGGTGATGATTCTTGCAAATGCTTTGGTGAAATTATGACACTTTGCGAAGAAGATGACAAACTGTTAAAGGGTAAGTCACAGTGAAGGTTTGTTTGTATTTATGGTAGTTTTTCTAATGATATGGCAATATAAAATTCATATTTAATATTTATTATTAGTATTGATTAATCAATTTGATTTGAGTGTGCAATATTTACCTTTGAGACTTTGTTCTACATTATTGATTGAAGACTAAAATCAACTTCCGCTTTACAGGAATCGTTGAAAGTATGTAGTAGAACTTGGTTTGAAATTATATTAGATTGAAATCTGAAAAGACTGAGTTTACCAAATAATAATTAGTGGAGATGATAACCCATAGATACGTAATTTTGCTTGCTTTACTTATTTTAGGTCACATTTTATTTATTACAGA